GTCGATACTAGTTTTGTACCTTTTGTTAACATTTTAATACGTTTTTTTTCGTAATTAATTAGGATGATACACCATAGGCGTAGTCAAAACAATTATCAAAAAATATAAATATTGCTTCAAACAGCTAGGTTAAGAAAAATATGTGCCACGGCACTGTTTGGTGACATCCTCGTTATTTGTCCTTGGATCCGTGATATTTGTCCTTGGATTCTTTAGTCATTGCAACTAACTAACCTCTCTCTGTCTTCAGCATACCATTTTATATTTGTCCGCTCGTCCCAATCATCGGCGGGTGCGTGCTCAAAAATCTCCTTTGTATATTTCCAGCACCGATGTTTAGTACGAGCTTGCCTTGAAACATCACGCTACATCGACCTGACTTTAATTGTTTTAATTAATAATGTTTACTATAAGAACATGTCTAGGTCAACGTATACGTGAACGATTCCTTGGATCTACATCAAATTGGTTTACTGGAATTATATTTTACATGATTTTTCCCAATTTGATGCAAACCCAAGTTGGCCTATATTTAAGTCTTGACAATATACCAAATCTCGTTTTTTTTATCTGAAAAAATAAACAAGTTATTAGGGTGAGCCACTTTGGAGGCGCAATCGGTATATTCATCTAGTGGTGAAAAAACAAGAATTCTTTTCAAGAAAAAAATGTTTAGTTATTTTATTTATACTCCAAATGTCGGTCTGTCTACTCAAGTGCTGTTTTTAATATAAAAACATGATTTTATAGTTAACTATTTCATGTATTTTCTGCCAATATATAGTAAATATACGTTTGCCTATAAAAGTTGGCCGCGAGTTTGTCGGAATGGTATCAGCAGCAGCTGCTGTGGAAAATAGTAAATGAAAGCCATTACCATGGAGAGGTGTCAGCTACAGGCTAGCGCCCATTGTTTGATCGGAGCGATTGTGTTTGAGAGACCGTCAGGGACACCCGGACGACGTTTAATAGCTTCGCCATCGCAGTTCCGGAGCTCCACAATTTTGCAAACCACCTGGAACTACTCTAACAACTTTACTGTACAAGAAATGTTTTTTTTTAAGTAAAGCGATAAACCAAAAAGCTTTTATTTTACTTAAAGAGTCCATTTCTCTAGTCCAAAAAGTAGCAAAATAAGCGTTCATCTTTTGAGGTTTTATGTAAAACTGGCTAGGTATTTTTACACAAATAAAGAAGGAAATTAAAGATAAAGGATTATACTATATCTGTATTGTAGCACATTTTTAGACAACTTTTTTATTTTTAATGTTTTGATGGTCAAACATCAACAAAATATTCCTTATATTTGGACTAAATTTTCTCGAAAATAAAGACATAATTTAAAATTCCGTTACACTATGGAAATAGATTGAAGTTTTGTGATTACAGTGATATATAATTTATATGGTTTTGTAACAAATTGCTCGCTATTTTATGGCAAATGCTGAAGCTTTGCAAACCTTAATCAAGGCTTAATCAAAGCACGTGTGTTTGGAATTTTGGCTGTGGCTTAACACGACAGGATCGGGCTAAGCCTTAGGCAGATTTCTGAAATATAATATCTATTTCCTTCGGCCACACACCCACTTTACCTGAACCCTGAGAGCGACCCGAAAGTACAGCGTAATAGACTCTTAAGCCAATTTTTCATGAATCCAAATTTCGAATTTAAAAAAAAAAGTTTGAATTTAACGTTTTCATTTTTCATGCATCCAAATACCGTATGATCGAAAAAACGCGGCGTTGAAGACTCCTGAGGAATGACAATCGATAATAATTTTGGCCAGGTCAAGGTCTAGATGTCATTTACTTGGTCCGTAATCTTCTTTGTGTTTAATGGCGCTTACTGCCAGTAGAAAAATTTAAGAAGATTGCAATTTATTTTTACGAGTATATTGAGTAAAAATGATTTTTAAATGGTGTAGTTTAAAATTCGAGATAAAATATTTTTTTGGAAACAGATTTGTGTGTCTGGAAACCTTTTATCCTTTTTAATCTTTCTATAATTATTGTAATTTTTACAAGTTTTATGTCAATTTTCGACTTATGTCAATGTAAACGACGTCTAGAGATTAACCTTGTCAAAATTATCTACGATTGACATTCCCCGGTCGTCTTCGACACCGTTTTTTTTTCGGTCATACGGTATTATCCCACGCTATTTCAGTTTTGCCAGTTGTCAGTTAGGCAGCATGCAGCTGTCAGATTTAAAACGTCTGAAATTACAAATTTTGTGTCCCCATATTGTTTTTCACAGAAAATGTCCGAAATTCAGATGCATGAAAACTAAACTTTTCAGCTAAAGTGACCTTTATGCTACTTTATACCTATAGTTTATATCAAATAAAGTTTTAGTCACGTGATTAAGTTTGACCGGCGCAGCGTTGCCCACTTTTACATATTAGTTTCTTTTAACCAAAATATTTTAAGAAGCAAAAATAAATTAGCATAAATATATAAACAGTTATTATTTACATTAACAAAACTCACTGTCTTAACACCACTTAAGGGATATAGAGGGCCATTAGGTACTACCGCTTTCCCGTTCAAAATATTCTAATAAAGTTGCGATGAGTTTTTTGCGGCTATTAAAAATTATCTTGTATATTTCGCACTAAAAGAGGTTCTAAAAAGAACAATGTTCGACTGCAAGGTCTGCTAGTAAACATTTTTAAGCTTAAAGTATCACTACATAATTTATTTAAACTAAAAACTCGTAATACAAAACTAAAATGTCAAAACGAATGACAATGTCAGGAAATAAATAAATAAATGTGACAACTTGACATTTTTACAGCAGAGCTACCACCTGAATCCCCAGCGGGAAGTTTAAATTCCAGTTAGTCAGCCTGGTACAGAATATGCCCTTGATGCCTTGGTTGGCAACAATGAATTTAAAAATTGCGCCCTCGATTACGTAAGTAAAAGTTTAATTGTATCAAATATATTTATGCTACCTTAAGAAAAAATTAAAGAGTGGAAGGAAAATAATATTATTAGTAGTATTAGAGTCGAACTGATTGATATTAGTATTTATCTAGAAAGTAGAGTGGATTCGCTCCGTGTTCGAGACGCTTCCGCTTCGAAAGCCAGACGACCCGTGTGCGGACGCTCTTAACATACAAAAAGAATATTGAATTTTCGTCTTCCGGAGACTAACCCTTATACAGAAAGGGTTTTTACAGTGGTTAGTAAGTTGTAGATTGATATCCCCAGAAATGACACAATTTTCTATTTCCATTAAAATGTATATTAATTGCAAAATGAAGTACTTACGTATGATGCGGTGAATATTTTGTTAAAAAGTAGGATTTATTCCTCTGAAAACTATGCGAGTGTTTCGACAGAATGAATATTTTATACTTTCTATCCAGTATATTATTTTCAAGTTTTTATAGTAGAGGAGCCCAAGATGCTAAATGGGGATTCAGATATTAATAGTGCATAAGCTCAACGTGTTTCTGATAACGCAGAGATATCAATATGTTGGTTTGCATGCTGGAGAGAGCCGTACGAAGGGGTAGAAAATGAGAGTAAAAACCATGTATTTAAGTTCGTCAGATATTCAAAATGGATGTTAAGTGAACCCTAAAGAAGCTTTTATTTAGAAGACTGACTTGGACGCTACCAAAACTCATGGAAGGTTTTTTAGAATTATACAGGATGTCCCATCAATAAGGGTAAATATTTTAACTGGTAGTATATTTTGGCCCCAGAAACACGCCTATGAGTTTTTGTTGCGAAAACAAATTGTTGAAAATTTTATTTTTCTTGACATTTTCCGGGAAATTAAAAAAAAACTTTTTAGTGCCACTTGTTTATTCAGTTGAGGCGTCGAATAAGTTGAAAACCCTCGTGAAAAACCCTTAATAGCTGGTTATCGCCAGCGGTTCTCAAAATGAGGCCATTATTTGATTAAATTTTCAAAGCATAATAACTTAAATAGCTCGGTTGTTTTTCATTTATTTTAAAAATGGCAAGGAGAAAAGATGTTTCTTTTGACCAGAGCTAACCACCCCTTAAAATATCTGCACTTATTTCTGGGATACCCTGTATAGTTCTTAGAACCACACAGACTTCCTACAAAAGGTTATGATTTTTGCAACTTTCTGACCCTCCAATTTCCGTATGGCACGTTTAAATCATCAAATTATTTAAATGTCCATTTTTCTGAATGTAATTAACTTACATTGCATTAATTTGACGCGCGAGTTTTTCTATCTGTTACTTTTTTTACTACTCTGATCGACTGTCCTACACGCACGACTATGTATAAAAAGTCCATGCATGGTGGGGAATGGCCTTATATTTAGGAATGTCTTTGGGAATGACTAAAGAGTACAAGGACCAATAACACTCAAGATCAAATTGTTACCATGCCTCCGAACACTGCCGTGACACTTTTTTTAAGTCAGCTGCATGAAGAGATATTCATATTTTTGATAAACATTTTGATTACGCCTATGGTGTATGCTGTTAGGTAGCGCTCTTTTAAATTTATTATGTAAAAATTATATAATGTAAAGATAAAGTAAAGATTTCAAGTTAATGTCTCCTTTTTGCTGCCAGGGCTAATCTGGACAAGGCCTACTTTGTTTACGCGGAATCCGAACCGCAGTCCTCGGCCATATCATGGTCAATGGCCTACCGACTTGGCAAGTGTCTAAATCTACTCTTACTCACGAGATCCGATCTCATCCGGCCTCGAACTTTTGCCTTTATTGGGCAACAGTACGATACAAAATTCGAACCGGTCACCCGTCCATCCACTAGTATTACCTTACGTCGCTTAACTTCGGTGTTCTAATGGGAACCGGTGTTTCGACGTAGCTGCGCCGTTGCCCTATTTATATAATGTGTTTGTACTAACCTCTTGAAAAATGTGTTCATTTTATTTGCAGATTTTTTGACAGTGCTCGTCATGCCTATTTATAATCTGTTAATTGTCTGTACTGTTTTTAGAGATAAACATGTATTTAAAGCTTTTATTATTTTTTTAGGTGTGACTGTTACTAAAGAACGTTGCAAAACGCCAGACTCACCAGAAGGTGCCAAGCAAGCTACAACTCCCCATTCTCCACCACATTCATCCCCACCATCGCAAAACGTCAATTCTCCCCTATGCAACGGCAACACCGATAGTTCAACACCACCCCCACCATTGCCAGCAGCCACTGTAAGTCGTACTTAAGTAGTACTTTATTTTTAAACATGACAATGTAACGACCTAGTCAGGCCCTGCCTTATTTCTTTAATGAAACATTACAGTAAATAAATTATCTTATCGTAGATTCATCTGCTTTTACACTATACATTTTTCGATGTTAGGTCCTAATCTAGCTATTATTTATTTAGATAAAAATGCACAAGCCCAAAAAATTAGATTAATGCTCAAAAGTAGAAAAATCAGCTTTTCAAAGACAGACAATCTCTGGATTTCGGTATTTTTTACGCTTTTGATGACGAAAAACGGAGGTATGTTCGTGAAGGCGAGGTTGCCGCTCTTATTCTTCTAGAGGGCCCTTCACTTTTTCTGGCAAGCCCTGAGGGAAGGCCTGCGAGTGACTTTCTCGATTTAAGAAAAAGCAGGAGCGAAATATCAGCCATTCCTATCACAGAGTGTTTTTAACAATCTTCATCAGAATGCTCTCTAAATAAAATGAATATAAATATAAATAATACATGCATACAGTGTGGTCCGAACTGTATTCCGGAAACTTCGGCAGCATATTCTGCAGATAAAAACAATTAAAAAAGTTCATATAAATGTATGTTCTAAAGTACTTAGTTTCGGAGATACAGGGTGTAGAAGTTTCATTTTTATTTCGATTTTTTCTAAATAATTTCTGAAGCAACGTCAATATTTGGACGAAAATTGTTTTCTGAGAGTTTTGTGACACGAGAAATTTGATTTTGATGTCAAAACGACTCCTATTTGTAGGGGGCGCCACCTACATGCGTTTTGACTGTTTTGAAGAGTAATAACTTTTCGTCCGTACCTGTATAAAACTACTGACTAAAAAGATATACAGATATACATTTCCATGATTTTTACGTAAAAAATGTCTCTTGGTAAAAATCGCTACGAGCAGCCGTTCTAAAGATATTTAGAATAGAAATAGTCAATACATGTCATTATTGACAAAAAATAAGCACACGTTGGGTATAGTTATTTAACTGAAATAATACATTTTTATTTTTTTAAATTAATCATAATTTTTTCTGCGAAAAAAAAATTAAACAGTTTCTATTGAATTTTTGGCACAAAAAGGTCAAAATTATGATTTTAATCTAATAACGATTTAAGCTTGATTTTCATGCATCCGTTGTCCGACGATACGATGATACGATATTAATTTTATTGGTTGACTTCGGTTGGTTAGAAACGGTTAACCAATTGAAGCCTTTAAATACAACCAATGAAATTAATATCGTATCAACGTATCGTCGGACAACGGATGCATGAAAATCAAGCTTTAGTCAACATGTTTAATTTATGTCAATGATGACAGGTATTGATAATTTCGATTCCAAATATCTCAAAAACCATTACTTGTTGCGATTTTTACCAAGAGACCTTTTTTATGTAAAAAAGTTGTAAATGTATATTTTTTTACTCAGTAGTATTATACAGGTATGGACGAAAAGTTATTACTCTTCAAACCACTTAAAACATATGTAGGTGACGCCCTCTACAAGTAGGAGTCATATTGACATAAAAATCAAATTTCTCATGTCAAAAACTCCCTGACACTAATTTTCATCCAAATATTGATGTTACTTCATAAATTATTTGAAAAAAATCGAAATAAAAATGAATATTTTTCACCCTGTATCTCCGAAACTAAGCATTTTACGACATACATTTATACGAACTTTTTTACTTATTTTTATCTCCAGAATGTGCTGCCGAAGTTTCCGGAATACAGTTCGGACCACCCTGTATATCCCATATATATACCGTATGATCGAATAAAAACGGCGTCAACGATGGCTATGAAATGAAGATCGCTGTCATTTTATATGTAAAATTATATGGGAAATGTCATTGATCGTCATTTCCTAGCCAACCGGACGCCTTTTTCGATCATACGGTATAATACACTCACTGGCACGAAAATGGCCACCTTACAATTTTGATGTATGTATTTTAAAGTTTAATATATTCAGTTCTAGTGGACTGATTTTGATGACTTTTCAAGTAATTTGTATCTAAATTATTTGACATTTTAGTACCTTTTTCTAAGGGTGTATTCCGTTCCTTATCTTGGTTATAGTTCTATGTTCCGTTTCTATCGGTTTCCTGAAAGTTTTCTTGTTACGGAACACGGTTCCTGAAAAATTCGGTTATAACTGTCACCAAACTAAACAGCGCGAAAAGGCTGGTTTTTTTGGTTTTGTTTGTCAATCAATGTCATTTATGTGACAGAAATCAAGCAAATATTGGAAGTTCCAGTGAAATTCTCATTTAATTTCTAAAATTTGTAATACTGTTTTGTATTTACATCCAAAAGCAATGGAGGTAGGCAGTTAAGGTAAATAAATTTCATTAACTAAATAGAATTACTTTTTAGGACCATTTAAATTTATCATGCAGCCATTGTTTCTTAAAGTCAGGAACATTTAAAGAAAACATGAAAAACAAGACAACAATTATTCGTGAATGTTTTGTAAGCTATAAAAATATAAATATTGATTTGATTTGTTTATTTATTATTGATCTGTTTTAATATTAGACCTGCAAACATTCACTTGAGATGTCTAACGAGTTTAACAGTTTATTAATAAAGTACTTTTCAATATTAAACTCCATTGAAAAGAAGAAGAAAACGTAAAAGCAGAGAATAGGTACATTAAAAATGCATAAAAGATAAATTTTATAATAGAGGTATTGAAATATAGAAAACGTCATCATTTGACGTTTCCAGTATTTTACCAAACCGTTCCGTATCAAACCGATGTTTTTCAGGAACCGCTCTTTACCGTAGTTTACCGGTCTGGTTCGCCTGGTTTTTGCAACGGAATACAGCCTAAATTAACAATAAAAGTTGCCGTCTGTCAATTATACGAAGGAAAACAAAATGTTGATATTTTGATGAAAGTTTGAAACACCCTGTTAAGAAGGGACGGAATTTAAAAATCATTTTATCATCTAGGTACATCTTTTCTCGATAGTTTATTTTTTAATTCATCGCAATTTTTCTCTGGATCATCGTTATTTTTATTGGAGATATTCGCTTTTAAATAAGACATTAACGATATACAGCAATTTTAGCATTGATATTAGAACCTCATCATCACACTTATAAAATAGTGTTTATTGTTTTTGTAATGTCACTTCCATTAGAAAGTCATATTATTGTATATTGACTTCAAAATTAATGTTTAGTCTAGTAGAGATGATTTTAAGTTCTGAAGTATCGGCTATTGCTGCTTTAATTGATCATGGTAGAGTAGAGATCAACTTTTGGACTTATCAGATAGAGTAACTGCCCAACAGACAATAATAATATGTGTAATATAATAATTATTTTCTCGTCTTGTCCTTTTTCTGTCATTTAAACTAATTACAGTGGATTATACGGCTCCACTCACCTGGAAAGTTCTTGAATCTTTTTTCGTTTTTTGTTGAACTTGTTGAGCTTGCCATAATGTTATCTGTGATTGAACAATTATTGTGATAGAAATAACTTTTAACCTTTTTAAAAAAATAATTAACCTTTTAATTTTAATTTGTTTTGTGATTGTATTTTATATTTTGACCTCTATATGACTGTTAGAATTTCTTTATTATTCTGATTATAATTATTTTAGCTTTCTGGGCTTGAAGATGGGAATTGTTAAGTCTCGAAACATGTCGCCCCCCTGCTTTTTTTTAAGCAATTAAATATAAATAAACATCTTAAAGATTGTGAGTTATTTGTCTCTTCAAAGGTTTTTCTTTAATAATTATATGAATTTTCAAAGTGACTTTACATAAATCATAAACACTATTTTATAGGTCTGTTGCCTAGAACCAAAAGCAAAGGCATGGTTTTATTGTAAAAAATACGAAAAAATGTTAGTATCTCCTTCAAAAGTGAATATCTTCAAAAAAGTAAAGCTAAAGAGATAAACCAAAAAATAAATAAATAAAATCATATATTAAAAAATCAATAAAATCGATCCACAAGAACACAATATATAAAAGTTTAAATTACATGAAAAATTTAAGATGCCCGTTTTTTTGTGCCGGTGAGTGTATTAAAATAAAGATAGTAGAAGTATTTTACTTATCCTTTATAGGCTTTGTCACTGTCTCTGGACACATCCAGATCCATAGCGGACCTCCAGTATGGAACATTAGGTGGAGGGTTTCCACCAGGAAGACAGCTGACGAAAGTCAAAAAGTTTTTAAGTACCCTAGTGCAGTTTGGTAATGATATCAATCAGGATGTTGGAGACAGAGTCAAGACTCTCGTGCTTAACTTAGTAGTTAGTATAGAAACTTTTATAAATAGAAAACAGATTTATTTTCCAATTATTATTGACACGATAATTTTTATTTATTTTCACCAGTAATCACGTTAAGACATTTATTTTAGAGTTCAAATTTAACTATAGAGGAGTTTCACCACTCCTTGCAAGATGTAACAAATTTTCCACTAAGGCCATTTGTACTGCCTTTTTTGAAAGCTCACATGCCCATGCTTCAAAGGGAGTTACACGCTTTGGCAAGGATAAATAAACAGGTACGCATTGCAATAGTTGAACTCAGGTTATTCATATTTTATTCATATACTTATTTTATATTATTCACATTTTTATTCACATTTATTATTTTTTAAATTGTGTGTTTACAAATATTGGAACATATACCAGGGGCTTCTCAAAAGTGGCTGACCTTGATAATTTTTTTATTATTTTAGATAAAAAAAACAAGATTTGGTATGTTAGCATGTGTCATGAATCAGGATTGATTGACATATTCAATTATCTCCAATAATTATCTCCAAAAAATCCTATATGGGTATTTCGCCACTTTTTGCCACACTTTTTTTTGTAAACACTTCTGCGTTAATCCAAACGGAAACTACTTGTCAGACGAACACTATTACGACTATTTAAAATATTTAAATTTAAATTTAAATTCGAGAACACTTTAGTTTTTTAAAACAGATACGTCTACAAAAACCGTTGACGTTCTGTTAAAATGACATTATATCAAGTTAAACTTCAAAATTAACAATTACTACCTGATAACAATTACTTAATAAGGCAAAAACAAAAAGCCGCAAACTTTCTGTATGATTATTTTTAATTTTTACGTATATTATGTTTATTTATGTTATGTTCTTTAAAATCAAAGGAGCGATTGCCATATATTACTAACACCTACAGATGCATGAGCAATACATTTATTTTTATTAGATTGTATTAAAAAAAGCCTCTTTTTTCTTTTAGAGGTTATCGCTTCTTTCATTATAATTTTGGCGTTATTAAAATTTATTCTGTGCCCTGTGTCCCATGAATGCTGACAAATCAGTGGCGTAATACCCATATAGGATTTTTTGGAGAGATGAATCCGCCACATAGATATAGACATTTTTTACATATTCAACTAATTTTGGTCACATCCTTTTTCCAAGAAATGACCACATCCTTTTTCCAGGAAATTATATGTCAACTTCTTACATTTTCAATTAAAAAATATAGCATTTTAGTTGATTCTAGTGTGTCATGTCCGTACGACAATTTGACTCGAAATACCAAGTATGTGGTAACAAATTATTCGTAAAAAAAACTTTTTCATATATATGCTAATGAGCCACACTCGTTCCATTTGAAAAAAATGAGTTATGATTAAAAATACTATTTAAGCATCTTTTAACCGGCTAGGATAAGACACCGAAAAGACGATTGAATCTATGTTTCCAAGGTTCCTTGATTAAGAATTAGTGTTTCTAATATAGCACTCTATATAGATAAACGATTTTTTAAAGCGAGAATGTCAAAAATTTACATATGATATGTCACTCTACTCAAGGTGTCATTTTCTATCGAATAAAGTAAAAAAATATCCAGTGTGCCATTTAAAAATCACAAGTTGTAGTCATTTCCGGTGAAACAGGAAGTGACCGAAAACAATTGAATGTGTCAATCAATCCTGATTTATGTTTTATACTAACGTAACAAATCTCGTTTATTTATATGTAAAAGTAAAAAAAGTTATAGAGTGAGTCACTTTTGAGAAACACCCGGTATTTATTCATTTATACAGGATGAGTCTTAAAAATAATAGCAAATATTTTCAGAGCTGGTAGATCTCGATAAAAGAAACATATTTTTTCTTTACCGTTTTTCAAATAAGTCCAAAATAACTGAGTTATTTCACTCTGAAAATTTACAAAAAAAAAAATATTTTAGGCTTAAATTTTGAGAACTATTGGATCTTTTCTGTTTTTTTTTGTAAATTCAATCTGCTACCTATGTTGCTATATTATCAAGAAATTATTTTTTTTTAATTAAAAACTAAAAAAATTTCAAACAATTTCGAATTTTCAAATTTTTTTTTCAAAAAATTTCAAATTTTCAAAATTTTTTTTCGCAAAAAAAATTTTATAGTCGTGTTTCTGTGGTCGAAATATACTACCCCTAAAAATATTTGCACTGTATTTATTAACATTATTATTAAAATCGTTTGTTTACAGATTTTGGAAAATATATAAAAACGAAAATACTAAATTAGATCAAAGTAATATCCAATATTAGCAGTACAGTTATAGTTTCAAACAGAACTAAGATTTTATGATTCTTTCTGAACTTGTGAAATACGAACCGCCGCGCCGCGCCGTTTAAGCTCATAAAAAAGTTTTTCTCAGATTTTACAATGTTGGTTTAATAAATTTATTTTTCTTTAGTCGGCTCTACAATATATACGCTCTCATGACAACATTATTTTGGATACTGCACATTCCCCTTCTGAGGCCTCCGAGATCTTCATGCCAAACGACAACACACCATTGGCAGGTGTCAAAAGAAGGTCATCCGAAGGGTAAGTCAGTTTATGTGTTTAAGTGGAGAACAACACCGTGTATTTTATACTATTAATAAAAAACAATTTTATATAATTTGTTTTTAATACTTTTTGTGATAATATCTCCGTGTTTTTGTTTTTAGCCTATTTTAGTTAAAATGATTCTTTTCCCTTTTCCTTATTTTTTTGTTAGAATTTTACTGAACATTTTCCTGTCGAATATGCGAATTTAGTTTAAATCTGTTTAATCGACATATTCTGGACCTGTTTTTGACTTGTTTGACTGCGAAAATTAACGAAAATTGCCAAAGGCGTTTGGTATTTACCTGAAATTGCGGTTTAAATGTTATAAATTGTTTACCTTCTGTGTACGGTAAGTTTTTTGTGCAAAAATGTATTTTTAGACATTTTAATTTAAATTCTCTCTGAAATACTTACGTCAATATTGTAATTGCCTGATTTTGTATCAAAGTATATGTACCTGACATGACGTAAAAACATCTCTACGAAAGATATACCTATAGAAAATTTTTAACAAAAATATTGGGTTTGTATTAATTTTTAGTATTAAAAACTGATACAAATACCGGGTGCGTCTCAAAAGTGGCTTACCCCTATAACTTTTTTATTTTTTCAGATAAACAACGAGATTTGGTATGTTAGTATAGGACATAAATTAGGATTGATTGGCATATTCAATTGTTTTTATAACTAATAATAACTAAATAACTACAACTTTTATTTTTAAATAACACACTAGATATTTTTTTTTACTTTATTTGACAGAAAATAACACCCCGAATAGAATAATGATATATCATATATCAACTTTTGATCGCTTAAAAAACGTATTTTAAATTTCAATCTAGAGTGCCATATGGGTGGACTAATAAAATAACAAATAAAGAGTTTAGGGGTGGATCATTTTTGACACGCACCCGGTATAATATATTTATTTATATTTACATTATATTCTTTTCCTTTATATATTTTTATATATTTTTTAAACGTCAACATCCCTATAAAACTACTTATTTGACCAAGCATTCCTTATTAAATTATCGATATTTTTTCGAGCTTTCAAAATAAGATCTATTTTCTTTGCCATATCAATTCTTAAAATATCGATATTATTTCTAAATGTGTACGTCCCTATCAGAGCACTTTGGTCTGGCACAAGTTTAGTTGGCCTCTCCGAAACTCCAGGTGCGATCTCTTTAATTCACACTCGCGCCCTAGCGCCATCTGTTGGGGGTGCCTTACCCCCTCTCTTTTGCTTTCCCCACACCGCGGGGCCTCCTTACGTCACTCGCAGGGGCGCACTCCTGCCTTTTAATTACGTCTGGGGATCGCGTCGGCCGTTCCTGACGTGAACTTTTGAAATTTTCGCAATTCCCGCGCTGTTGCTGTCATGTTAATCGATGACCTGGAATATCGGCGACTACCAACAGCACTCTTACGCTATTTAAGAAGAAATTTTCTGTTTTAAAGTAAATATCATAATAAAGACTCTAACAGCGACTGTAGTCTTCCCAGATATCCAGAAAATACAGGAAAACACAATATACTTTTTAATGAATGAAAAAAATGAACTAAAAGAATTTCGGACTTACATTGATATTTATTTTTACTTACACAACATTTCGGTCAGATTTATCACTGACAGTTATCAAATGTGAACTTGGTGTGATTTAATCTAAAACCTAAAACCAGGGTTGGCATGATTTAAATCAAGTGATTTTTTCAATTTTTTAATCATGTGATTTAAATCAAAAAAAATAATTTTATTGAAACTTTATTATAAATCAAAAAATAACTGTAAAAGTTATAAAAATGTGTCCAAAAAAACTATAGAAAATATTTCTATAACAGATATAATAGATATAACAGATAATAAATCGAATAATAATTGTAAATGGTATGAAACTATATAAAAATATCTATTCATCAATTTAATAGTGGGACCGATTTTTAAATTACTAATTTCGTGTGAATCCATTAGACCGCTAAACGCAGGGATTTATTTTAAAATTTATGTATACCTAAGTGACAAAAATTCGCTGTTCGAATTCCCAAAGTCTAGTGCAGAACTAGGTTCTTCATAGAGACCATATTATCTTCATTCCCGAGAATCTATAATCGTTGTCAGAAAATATGTTGTTTTATATATTTTTTTTGAAACTGTTGTGTTTCCAAATTCCTACCGCCACTTGATCTGCAGTAAGCACTTTACACTTTATATTAGATAATACATACTAATTTCATTCTTGACTTAATACTATTTCCGAACAATAGTGTATTGTTTTATTAGGAGTAAAAATTATACTTTTTTGACGATGCTGTACCTTTGAAGGACCATCGTAAAGCTATTCCGACGTTACAGTGAGGCACAAAAAGTAGGTACATATTTACTCCGAATAGAAAATACTATTTTTTAAACATTGCAAATATTTTTTTAATTAATTTCAAACATTGCAAATAATATAAACAGCAATCGTGCAACAATTTGTACACTCGTTGAATTTGAGACTTAATATCAGTTTAATAATATATTTTTGTACTTTTGTACTCAGGCATAACAGTACTTTACTTTTATGCCTAGGCGTTAAAATGGAGTCTTAAAAAGTCCTAGTCATTTGGAAATCCGATTTAAATATTGTTTAAATTAAAATTAAAAAAATCTGATTTTTTTATTTTTTTTTAATCATGATTTTTTCCAACCCTGCCTAAAACTACTGAGTCCATATACCTACTAGAGCATACTTAGTAGATATTGACCAGTGAAAAGTTTGGGTGCAGTTGGGTGCAGTTAACCATGAGGTTGTCAACATAAAATATGCCCATTTGTGCGTTTTATAAGAGGTTGCGATTCTATACTTGGATTTCTATACTTGGATGGCTATTAAATTTATGCTTTTTCCAATGAGGTTTCTTGTGGACAACCGGGGCTTTCGACAATTTTATGTTGCGGTGATTGGACTATACAATGGATACCAGTGATGTCGATTTTCGTTACTTTTGAATACGTTACTCGACTAATAAGTAATTATTAATTATTAACATTTCAAATATTCGTTACTTTGATTACTATGATTACTTTGTACTGATTTTGGTACTGCTGCCAACCTTTCCATCTAATTTTACCTGCTAAGGGATATTTTTTCAAAAATAGATTCTTAGTGCTCATGTTTTTCATAAATTAAATTAATTTTGTACAGGGTGGGTCAAATTCGACGCTTTTAAATGGAAACACCCTTTTCTATAGGAGATAGGCAAAAACTAATATCAGTGTCTGGAGCTCAATTTTTGTCAAAAACATGACTGTGAAAACCGTATATCGATATCTGTTACCGTTTCGGAGTTACGGGGTGTTTTTCAAAAATATGCATTTTTAACAAATCGCTGTAACTTTTTTGCTATGGAAAATTTTGTATTTTTATGAAAACATTTCCAAAGCACCTTTTTACGTAGAATTTAATGGTTTAAGTATACTTTTTTTAAAATTAATAATTTAAGAATTATCAACAAAAATTTTTATTTTTTATATCGGGCACCCTGTATATTTTTAATTTATTGAAAATAATTTAAAATTACCTTTCCAAAAATATAACACACTTGATATTTTGCTCGATTCTTCTTCGAGATATAGAGTATATAAAAATTCGCCCCCTTTAAATAAGTAGGCTTTGAACGGCACCGGCTGTAATGCAAAAAAATTCTAGCTGTGAGCATCAATTAAAACGAAAATAATATTTGCTATGAGAGATGCAGAATTTTATAACAATTTAAAATATATTTAACCAACATCAACACATTTAAACTATATCTAATAACAATAAAAATAAATAGCAAACCAAGACATGAGATTTTGTTATTTTGCAAGTGTTCGACATATCGACCGTCTTCTGTTATGACGGGGCAGTTTTTGAACATTTCTCGCGGAATTCATTAACTCAGTGGGGGTGAAAGATACCCTCTCATAACTGCTAAGTATTTCTAATTCTTGTCTAGATTATACGGAAGAATAAGGATCCTTTATTCTTCCGCAAATATATCCATAGGATTAGATCCATGGGCACTAAGTCAGGCGGTCTCGACGGCCAACGGCTGGGATCTTGGTTAGCTATTCAATTATTCTTGAAATTGGCTGCAAAAATTTGCTGATAACTTCAGCGTTCAGAGGCGGTGCGTCGTCTTGCTGGAAAAATATGTTTTCGAGTTCCATTAAGGGCATATCATCAATAAGGGGTCCAAAGCCTACTAGTTAAAAGTGGCGAACTTTTAAAAATTCTGTATTTCGAAGGGGATTATAACAAACATATCTAGTGTGCTATATTTTTGGAAAGGTAATTTTAAATTATTTTCAGTTAATTAAAATATAGAGGGTGTCCCAAATAAAAAATCAATTTTTTTGTTGATAACTCTTAAATTATTAATTTTAAAAAAGTTATACTTAAACCATTAAATTCTACGTAAAATGATGCGATGGAAATGTTTTCATAGAAGAACAAAATTTTCCATAGCAAAAACGTTACAGGGATTTGTTAAAAATGCACATTTTTGAAAAACACCCCGTAACTCCGAAACGGTAACAGATATTGATGTGTGGTTTTCATCATCATGTTTTTGATGAAAATTGAGCTCCAGACACCGATATTTGTCATCGTCTATCTCCTATAGAAAAGGGTGTTTCCATTTAAAAGCGTCGAATTTGACCCACCCTGTACAAATATTCAAAAGTTCACTTGTACAAAATTTCACCCTCTTAGGGGATGAATTTCAAAAAATCGTTTCTGGGTACTTACTTTCATTACTCAAGGGCACACTATTCTGTGCAAATTTTCATACTCCTAAATAAGATTTTTACTGAACATTCACCCATCTCACACGCTTAAAACGCAAATTTCTAAAAATCGCCCCTTTGCTGAATTACATTACCTAAAGAACTTCTATGCTAAATTTCTTCTATGCTTCTAAATTTCATACTTCTAAAACTGATTTTAACCTACTTTTGAGATAACTTTCACCCCTTATTTCACCCTCTTGGGAGGTGAATTTTCAAAAAAGCTCACTTTCGCCACTTAAGGAACCTCTATACAAAATATCATACACCTACGACTAAATTTTTAAAAAAAATATATACAAAATTTCACCACCAGTTTCACCCCAGAAGATGAATTTCCGAAAATCGCTTCTGTTCAAAATTTCATACTGCTAGGAGAGATAAATGTTTCTGTATACAGGGTGTACCTTAATGACGTGCTAATATTTAAGGGGGCTATTCTTGGTCCTATTCTAAGAGAAAAACTTTATATGAGTGTATATCCTAAACATCTTGGTAATACAGGGTGGTTACATTTCCTAAAAAATACTTTTTTCACAATAACTTTTTTATTTTTTTTTATTATAGATATCTTTATGAAACTTTATGATTTTATTATAGATATCTTTATGAAACAAAGAATTTAATTTTTTTCAACCAGTGCCGTCCATCTCCATACGGGTTTTCATTGAATATTTTTGGAGAAAAAAGCGACACACCACTGATTTCTTTTAAAATAAAACTCATCTTCAGGATCTAAATTCATTTCTATACATTTTTTATCTCCTGATTTTTTTCGTCGGACGCATAGTTTTTGCTTAAAAAATTAAAATCAGTTTACTGAAATAAACTAATGGTCAAATTGCTGTTGTGTGAAAATCAGAGTTCTCCGTCGGCTTGAAGGAAATTACGAAATTAAGAATTTCCATGCATGGAAGACGTGTATCAAATATACCATTATCGGTATATAATATTATATCGGTGTCTGGAGCTCAATTTTTATCAAAAAAATGATGGTGAAAACCGCACATCGATATGTGTTGCCGTTTCGGAGTTACTGGGTGTTTGAGCGAAATGCTTTTAGTTTCAATACTGGATCAGACAGTGATTACAACCTACAACTACAACCAGGGCCGGATTTACAATAAAAGCGCCCCTAGGCACTTTTTTCCAAGCGCCCCCCATCAATTTGTAGAACATACAAAAATAAAAAATTGCTAATATTTTTTATTACAAAATATCCAAATTAAAAACCCCAAAAAAAATTTTTTTTTGGTTTTCTTAGTTCCAGGTTTTAGTTACGTAATAAGTAAAACCCCGGCTATCGCTGGCGCCCCTAGGCAATTGCCTAGTGTGCCTAGTGGTAAATCCGGCCCTGACCACAACCACAATCAAAGGGATTGTAGTCTGTCCAGCAAAAAAATGTAACATTTCGACAGCTGACATCCAAAAAATACCATAAAACGCAATATACTTTGAAATATTTTGTATAATTAATATTTCATTAAATTCTTCTCTAGAGCATACGAAAATGGCGTTAACGGAAACCAACCAACACCAGAAGACTACCTATCTCCATCCAAACGTCCCACACCCTTTCTTTTTTCCCATCATCAGAATATCTTCCTGCCCAACGTTCAAAATGCCCATTTGTTCGACTACCAATCTTCTGCCCAATCTGCAATCAAACTGGAGGACCCCACGGTTAATAGAGGTGACGAAGAATGGAAGAACATCCACGTTATGCTCAATTGTATTCTTTCCATGGTAGAGAAAACAAAAAGGTATGGAAATTGTTTGATTTTTCAAAAAAGGTTGTTAGATTAACCAATACAAGGTGTCCAAAGGTGTGTTTTTCGCGAAAAAAGAAATTGAAAATTCGGAATTTTTTGAAAAATTTTTAGGATTTTTTTTTAGTTTTTAGTTAAAAAACATAATTTCTTGATAATATAATAGCAATATAGATTAAATTTACAAGAAAGAAAATCCAGAAAAGATCCAGTGGTTCTCAAAATTTTAGCAAAAAATATTTTTGGAAATTTTCAAAATAAAATAACTCCGTTATTTTGGACTTATTTGAAAAACGATAAAGAGAACATATGTTTCTTTTATCGAGATCTACAACCCCCTAAAATACTTGCACTTATTTGTGGGACACCCTGTATAATGTTTTTTTTTTATATTTTTAAAAGGGCTTTGACAATACTGCAACAAAGAAATCCGACCATTTCACAAGATCCAACCACTGAATGGCTGAAGAAACAAGATTTGAGTCAAGATCTTAAGAAAGCAGCTAATGATATACTTAGTGCAGCAGTTAGGGCTGCTGAGGAACGCGTTGCTGAGGTAATTCATCTATTTTCAGCTTGAAAACGTTTTTAAATATGAATTAAGCAAGTAGCAAGTGGGGGAAGTAATTTCATTTGATTCTAGGTTAGACGTAAAGCTGAAGAAGCTGTAGGAGATGTGAAAAAACAGGCTGTTTTAGAGTTACAGAGGGCTGTAGCCGCAGCTGAAGCTAGAGCAGGAGAGTTGCTTGCAGCTGAGAGGGCCAGAGTTGAGAAAACTCTAGGAGGTACTCATAAAATAGTGACATATTTGTGCTTTTCAAATTCTCTTTTTTAAATTATCAGAAATATTCAATGTTTTCATCAACTTGATAGATATTATTTAATTATTATATTTTGCTATTTCTTAATGTGTAATATATTGTTTATTTTGTAGAGGCCAGGAAGCATTCTGAAGAAGCTAATCCAAATCACACTGAATTTGGTGAAAATAGCCAGTCACCTTCTAGTCAGCCAGCACCATCTCAACAAAATGTAAATAAATTTCATATACAATGGATTACATATTCTTTTCATGCAAGGTTCTAGTAATACTCGTAACTCTGAATTTAAGAAAAGACTTTGTAATATAAATTTTTCCCTGTCTACGTCACTGTATTTATCTGAATTCGAATTTATATTTTTCCTATAATTAATTATATTAATTCAATTATAGGCTTGTTGGAATTGCGGTAGGAAAGCTCACGACACATGCTCTGGATGCAGTTTAGCCCGATATTGTGGACCTTTCTGTCAACACAAAGACTGGGAAAATCATCACCAAGTAATGATTAATAATCATTTAAAAAATAATTTCCTACATTTTTCTGTTTATAGATATGTAACAAGGAAAAACGTCCTAGTCTGGCAACAGTGTCCATTCCACCAACGCCAGTACCAGTGGCGTTGCCAAATGGCGATGCGCGGGTTAAAAAGTGACACATAAAGAAAAGCCGAAAATTTAGAAAATTTTACTGAAAATGTAAACGGAGAGAGGTCAGCAATATTGATAAAGAAAAAAAAGTGTTTAAATTTAATGAATAAATATTCTAGTCATTTTCAATGTTACCTTCTAGTATTTTAATAATAATAATATCTAATGTAATAAGTAAATGTTTATTTATTGGTAGGATATAAGAATACATACAATTTTTTACTGTTATATTTTTTTGGTTCTCTAGGATAACTGGTATGTGATTCGGGTAAAAGCCAAAAATGCAATATTGATATTTTGTTAGAACACGTAATAGGTGGTATTCTATGTTATATTTATTTGTTTTTTGTTAATTGATATAAATAAATGTTTACTATTATCTGCTATTCTATGATTTGACCCCTCTATTGTTATTGATTTATTTATAGTATTTACAAATTTTCTTAAAAATAGTAATTCATGATTTTCATTTCAGTAAAACAGCATAGTATACTAAAATATATATTTTTTAGTAATTATCTATATTATCTAAATCAAATATTAAAAAAAATATTTCAATCCAATATACCAAAACTATCATAATATGGAAGTAAGTGTTCCATATGTTTTCTGTATCTTTCATTATTGTATGCGTGATATCTGAAGCCTTCCTTACTTTCATCTTTGATGATGTTCTCAAAAGATGCGTCTGTTCGACCCTCAGCAGCCTTGACGAAGGCTAGCACAGTAGCGGCGCCCATCAAACCTTCAAAAAAGTGTCAAATTTAAAAAATCTTAGTAAAATATCTATTCTTTCACCATAAAAAGCTCTGTAATTGTAGTCTGTCTTGAACTGTTCTCTGGTAGGCACCCTTTCAAGAGAATACTGCATTTTAGCTAAGTTAGCTATAAGCTGAGCATAGTAATGATCTAGTATGATCTCTATGTGGTCTAATTTCACTTGAATCTTTGTACTGGTTGCTATGAAGTAATGCAAGTCTATAGCTGGACTTGTGTAAATATTCATTTGAAAATCAATCTAAAAAATATAATTTTAATTATACGAAAACAAAAATACTATTATATAATACAAATCTCATGTCTTTTAGTTTGCCATCAGGGAAATAAGAGAACATCATATTGTTCACCCATAAATCTCCATGGTTCAAGACATTAAAACCTCCAAGTTTTCGTTTTTGTGCGTTGAAACCTCTTTCCAAAGCCTGTTCTCCCAAGGCTTGCAGCTTGTAGCCATATTTTTCAAAACCTAAAAGTTTATATAAAGAATTAAAGAAAAAAAAATCTTATGTACTTATACCAGGCCATCTAGAACAAGCATCTATTAAACCTTTGTACCCAGCCGCAACCCATTGCCTAGTCAAATCATTATTTCCATACAAGCCTTCAGAATACATTTTAAGTAAAGACGGATCCTAGAAAAAAATGTATAAAATATTTTTACAGAAAAAATGTTAGATCTTGCAACCTTTTCGTACATGATGACGGAAGCGGCATGCATTAGGGCCATCTTTTCGACGACCAAGAAACAATGCTCCAAATCAAACCCTATATGTCGGGGAAGTACATTAAATCCTAGCGTTGTCAGATCTTCCAGAATTATAATGGAATGGGGATTTAGAGATGTGTAGAGGCACTTTGACGAAAGCGTATAGTGTTCACCTTATATATTTATAGAATTTATTTTTTCTATAAATTATGATAAAGATAATATATATTTACCAAGGATTTCGTATATTGCTGGAAAGGTTTTTCCAAACATTTCAGATTCTTTTTCAAATAAGTTTAGTTTTTTGGCAAGATCTTCTTTTACACCACCTTCTTCATTTCCACATTTTACTATGACTGAAATTGATTCTGTTCTACCACTAAAGAAAAAATAAAATCTGCTCCTTTTATCTATGATACAAAAATACGCAATTTCTTCTATTAGTTATTATTGAAATAGTATATTAAATTAACTTCACCATAAATTACATTTAATTTGTATCTATTACAAAAAAATATATAAATACTTACTTTTTTCTGAAATAAATTGTTGTACGAAATAGATCACTTGTGTAATTCTCACCAGCTGGAATTGCATCTTGGGTGTTCAATGACGATACCTCTATATCAGGGTTTTTATAAAAAGTTTTTAAAGCATTTTGAAATAGATCTTTGGTAAACCAAATTGGAACTTTCATGATAGTTTTGATTAAATAAGATTTATTATAAAATAAAAAAATATATTAGGATTATATAGAGATGTATACAGCTTAGTAGATAAACTTACTATAAAATAGATCGTTGGATAAATGATGAATTTATTTAAAAAAATGCATACGTTGTTCGCGTGATATTTAATAAAATATTTAAAAAAAAATGGTAACTTAAGCATAGTTTTGTCGCATCAAAATTATAGCTTCAGAAATGGTTGATTGACACAGGTACATATTATTAGATAATTATTCATTACTTTTAAGTATTTCATGAATCGTGCAAATATTTAAGAAAATTTCCGCAATTTGACAGCTCATTGTTCTATTAACTATTAAGCATTTTGATACCTCGATTATATATTATTTTTATATCACTTATGTAAATTACAAAATGTCATTTATCATTTATTATCATCTTAAGGTAACGTCATATCATATTATGACTAATAAGAAGAAAACGACATATAAATATAAAGAAACAATAAATAATTTTAAACAATATTTATATTATTGTTCTAAAATAAACAGAAAATTACAATCATTCATGTAAGAGAAAAGTAAGGAAATTACTAAAGTTGGAATGAAATCTCTTTGGAGGTTGATCCACTCACATTTGTTGTGTAGAATTACCATTCCAAGTATTGTTATCATCATCATCTTTCCTAAGATCACCTAGTCTGTGAATTTTTCCTTGTTTTCTGGATTTTGTTGAATCTTCAGGAGGTTTTTGTGGACGAGGTTTAGAGTCTAGTTTGCTAAGAAAAAAAAATTGAGCCATGTAAATCAATGTTCTATGATCATACAAAAATCTACATACAAAGACCTAAGACAAGGATCTAAGGTTTAGTAGTTCAAAAAATAAAATAGTTAAAATATAAGGTATAGAGATATATCTCCTATACAGGGTCTTGCAACAGTGCATCGGGCATCTGTGATTCCTATAATAAAAAAACTTAGGAATTTTGTTCAACCTAAGTAGCAACCTAAAGTGTATACTAGGATGTATTTCAGGTAAATATTTTAATTTAAACACAGAGTGGCACAAAAAAGTGTTAGTGGATTGGGATGATCTTTTTAAATGGAACACATTCTATATGCCCAAGTAGCAAATATAGTTCCCAGTCCTTTTTAAAATGTGACTGCCCCTAAAGTATAGTTCCTAGGCCCACTCTGCCGCTTAAAATGTTACTCTATAAGGACTATAAGGAATAGTCACTTTGAAGTATATTTCGAGAATGACCGGTTAGTTACTCTGCAACCTACGATAAAAGTGGAAAATAAACACCCGATTGCAAGTCGCAAACATGTCATTTAAAGAAGTGGCTGGAACTACCCTAATATTCGCATATGACACTATAAAAGACCAAAAACTTTATAGTAACGTAACTTTTCAAAGTAGGGGTTACTAACAAGTGCTATCATAATGCCTCCATTAATTTTTGTTACTTTATAGTATCAATTTAAGTTACGGGGTAGTCGCGGCCACGACACCTAGTTACTTCCAATTGTTACTGCAACCTTCCTAGGTCACTACCCTAATAAATGTAATTGCCTCAGATTGCATCGTGTGCTGCTCTGTTTTATTGTTTTCTTTTACTTGCTTTTAAGCTTTATTAAAATTTTGTAAAATGCCTAAGGCGAATAAAAAGATTAATAAAAATTGAATGTCTTATTCTGTATTGAATTGGCATATTCACGTCGTCGCGCGTCGCGTCGCCAAATGGGAACTTCAAAGGACAAGGCGGAACGTTATAGTGGCCACCAATCGAATGTATAGTCGCCACCGCACCGCCGCGATCGGTGTAGCATAACGCTTCAAGTTCCAATTAAGTGTCAATTTGGTGGCACAGGGAACTTTATTGGAAAAAATCACTTCATTGTTCTAAAGAATCGTTGACCATGTAGTTCCAAAAAAGTTATTGTTTCTATAAAGTCGCCTTTGGGTAGCTACAATAATAATTTTTCTGTAAAAATATTTTATACATTTTTTTTTGGACCCGTCTTTACTTAAAATGTATTCTGAAGGCTTGTATGGAAATAATGATTTGACTAGGAAATGGGTTGCGGCTGGGTACAAAGGTTTAATAGATGCTTGTTCTAGATGGCCTGGTATAAGTACATAAGATTTTTTTTTTCTTTAATTCTTTATATAAACTTTTAGGTTTTGAAAAATATGGCTACAAACTGCAAGCCTTGGGAGAACAGGCTTTGGAAAGAGGTTTCAACGCAAAAAAAATGAAAACTTGGAGGTTTTAATGTCTTGAATCATGGAGATTTATGGGTGAACAATATGATGTTTTCTTATTTCTCTGATGGGAAACTAAAAGACATGAGATTTGTATTATATAATAATATTGTTGTTTTCGTATAATTAAAATTATCACTTCATTGTTCCAAAGAATGGTTGACCATGTAGTTCCAAAAAAGTTATTGTTTCTATAAAGTCGCCTTTGGGTAGTTACAATAATTGTAGCTACCCAAAGGCGACTTTATAGAAACAATTATAGATAATATAGGTATAAATATAAATATAATATAGGTATAAAAAATAGTAACTCTTTTAGTGGCAAAAACTACCCAAGACAATACCCGGCTACTCAAAATCTTTCCCCATTTTGGTCGCAGTTACTTAGCAGCCACGAATACGACGTAGCCACCGATGGTCACCGCCCACTTTGTAGTGGCCTTTGATAGTAGCAGTTACATATCTGCCATTATAAATGCTAGATGGATTATTACTGTCTGATTATTTTACACAATCCTAAAGATATTATTAAATTTGTTTTGATAATTTAGATAGAGATATCAATAAATATATATATTTTTCATAAATAAATATATATATTTTTCATAACTATATATATTTTTCGGCCTTTAAAAAAAAAATATACAGGGAGAGTCTTAAATAAGTGCAAATATTTTTTAGAGGTTGTTATTTCGATCCCAGGAACATGTCTGTGAGTTTTTTTTCGCAAAAAAGTTGTTGAAAATCGTGAATTTTCTTTTACATTTTCCTGTATATTTTAGAAAACTTTTTAGAACTTGTTTATGGAGTGATACCTGTTCACCGCAAATTTTCTATATAATTTCTTAATCTCCGACATTACCATGGTTACAGGTTTGCTCTATGGTTACGGCACTAAGAGCACAGACTTAACAACGATAGACTTAAAAACCTCCTGAAGTACAGACTAAGAGCGCTTTCACAAACGCCGGCAAAATCGGTGCTGGTGCCGGAGCTGACATTGATTGCAATATAAATAAATTAGCTCCTTCACATATACTCCGATCCGGTAAAATAGTCGGGGGCCGGCAAATAAAATAGAATTAAATACAACTGTCGGAACGGGTGCAATGCCGGCGCCGACTCCGGCTCCGGTTGAAAATCGGTGCAATATCGATTGCAATGTAAATAAATTAACTCCTTCACATATACTCCGATCCGGCAAAATAGTCGTGGATTGGCAAATACAATAGAATTAAATACTATAAGATAATATAGGATATTATTATCTATAAGATATCTATTGCCTATAAGATAATATAGGATAATATTTGGAAAATACAACTGTCGGAACGTGTGCAAAGCCGGCGCCAGCGCCGTATACGGCACCAATTTCGCCGGCGTGCGAGCGCTCTAACTATAGTAAGTACATAGTTTTGATTTCAGGAAACACCTTATATTTAAAAATGTTTTTTAAAAACGTATTTTTTCATTTATTTATTTAAACGTGTCAAATTATCAAAACAAGTTTAAGAATATCTTAGGATCGTGTGAAGTAATCGGAAAGGAAGTCGAATATGCAATAATACATTGCTGTTGCGTTACTCATACCGAGACTCATACTTTTTTGAACCACTTTGTAGCAGTTTACATATTTTCCTGAAATAGGCCGTCTTACATACTTTAGCTATAGACTTGGTGCATTTCAGTTCATTTCAACAAATTCCGACAGCAGCGCACTCTACGGCAGGAATCAGAAATTATCAATATATAGTTCACGCCGCCGCCGCCGTCATGTCGATCGCATTAAAATAATATTGAAATCGGGGTTTTGTCATAATATTTAAGTATTTTAGTTTTTTGCTAGTACAGTTATTGAGACTATAAAACACTGAGGTACAAGGTTTGTGTGATGTAACGCTGTTTCGGATAGTAAAAAAATAGTGAAAAATAATTCGAACTAGGCCTCTTGTTGTGTTGTGACAATTTCAAATGTTAATAAAATTGCCCAAAAAAATGTTAACGCGTAAAGGAGAGCGTAATTAGGGCGTTGTTGGGTGCACTAAAATTCAGTAACTCAACTTTCCCGGATATTCGACTCTCCCGAAACAACATTTTATAGCTTCATAATTTCTTACACCGATTTGATCGATAGAAAAAATGGATTTAAGCAATTCGACGAAACAAGTGAGTAAACAAAGTGCTCGTTACATAATCAATAAATTAAATAGACATATACCACAGTTACATGGTTAGATCTCGCTGGAAGTCGTCCATACTAAACTGCAAAACATACCCTGGTGCTGAATGCGGGTCGGATCACCAACTGCTAGTAATGCAATTTAGATTACGTCTAAAGAATATCCGTAAACCACAAACAAAAGCTGCAATTACGGACGCTACTAAAGAGGTGTTCCAACGGGAAATACAGCAAAAATTAGCTAACAATGTTAATAACATCATGAATATACAAGACCCAGACCTAGAATGGGAAAACGTTAAAAGTCTCATGAAAGAAACAGCAGATTCAGTTATATCCAGAAGTCATAACACAAAACGACCCAATAAACACTGGATAACACAAAGAACTCTCGACACAATCGAGGAATGAAAAGAAATAAAAAGGAAAGGGTTAACAACACAAAATTCTAAAGAAACCTACAGAAGATTGTGCAAGAAGATCCAGGAACAATGCAGACAAGATAAAAATAATTACGTAAAGAAAATCTGCAGTGAAATTGAAGAACACCAAAATTCAAACCAAACACGAGATTTATACAAGAAAGTAAGGGAACTCACTCGGAAATTCAAACCTAGAACAACTGCTATCGAGGACGAAAATGGAGAAGTACTGTGGAACAACGAGGACATATTGCAACGATGGAAACAATATTGCGAAGAACTATACAAGGAAGAAGTATACGTAGTAAACGAAGTTCAAGTACCTCACATAATAAACGAACTGGAGCCAAATATATTGAAGAGCGAAGTGGAAGAGGCCATAACTCACCTCAAATTAAACAAAACCCCAGGAACAGACGGTGTCTCAGCTGAAATTAAAGTTGATAGGGGAGGAAGGTGTGAAAATAGTACATAACATCTGCAATAAAGTATGACAGTCTCGACAATGGCCTAAAGATTGGACTAATTCTGCTTTCATCCCAATTCACAAAAAAGGATCTACACAAAAATGTCAGAATTATCGAAAAATATCCCTAACGTCACATGCAAGCAAGATCTTACTTAGGATAATTGACCGAAGACTTCAGAGGTACTTGACGCCTGAAATACCTCCTGAACAAGCCGGATTCGTGAAAGGAAGAGGCACAAGAGATCAAATATTTAACATACGTCAACTCATAGAGAAATCCCGAGAATTTAATTCGCCTATGTTCTTGTGTTTTATAGACTACAAGAAGGCTTTCGATTGTGTGAGGTGGAAAAGCCTATGGAAGGTTCTGAGCGAAATGGGAGTTCCGAATCATCTAGTGGCTCTTATTAACAATTTATATGACAATAATACGGCAATTGTCAACCTAGATAACAAAACGTCGGAACCTTTCAAACCTAGAAAAGGGGTACGCCAGGGCTGTATACTGTCACCCAGTTTGTTTAATGCCTATGGTGAATACATCATGAGACGTGCTTTGGAGGGCGAGGAAGGAGGAATCCTAGTCAACGGTAAAATCCTAAACAACCTCAGGTACGCGGACGATACCACCCTGATAGCGAAAAGTGAGGAAGAAATGGCCCGGTTGCTGGAAAGAGTTACCATCGAAAGCAATAACCTTGGTCTAGAAATAAACATTGATAAAACCAAACTTATGCTGATTGATAGAAGTGGTGCAGTTCGATTACACAACCTCCTCCCTAATATAGAAAGAGTAGATCAATTTATATACTTAGGGTCTTTAATAACAAATAATGGGGGCTGCGAAGGAGAGATAAGAAGGCGCATAGCTATGGCACGGACGGCTATGATGAGTCTAAGAAAAATATGGACAGATAGGAGCATTACTAAAAACACCAAAAAAACCCTTGTTCGATCTTTGGTGTTCTCCATATTCCCATACGGGTCTGAGTCATGGACCGCCAAGAGCGCTGATAGACCGTATAGATGCATTTGAGATGTGGTGCTGGAGGAGAATGCTCCGTATCCCATGGACAGCTCGAAGAACGAACCAGTCAATTCTTAATGAACTCGGCATCACAGATCGATTATCCACCATCTGCCGTAGACGCATCCTGCAATACTTCGGTCATATCACTCGCAGAGGTGAAGACAACCTTGAAAAAATCATAGTACAAGGCAAAGTAGAAGGTCGAAGACCCAGAGGACGATCACCATCGAGATGGCTTGACCAAATAGCAAATATTACAGGTCAGCCATTTCAATCAAATCTCCGAGAGGCGGAAGATCGCCAACGATGGAAGATCAAAATCACCAACTGCACATAGCCATAATGTCACGATTCTTCAGACATGAAGAGACGACGAAGAAGAAGAAAGAATATAAAATATATAAATATTTTATGTTCTTTAAACTGTGCATATACTATGAGAGGATGAAATATAATTTGTGCAATATTAATGATATAACCTTTTTAATAAACTAGTGATTAAATGTTTTATGAACACTTCTAAAATTATAATTATGTAGCTTTAAAAAATTTCGTTATAGCCGAAATAGCTCCAATTATGTCCCACTAGCAAAACCGGTGATAAAACTAAGCTCGCTACCGTAGTTGAACTCATCTAATTTTTTTCTTTAGAATTTCTACAAATTATACTTTCTAACACTTTTAGAATAATTATATATTAATTTTTTCGTTTACTCGCCATTTAAACCCGTATATTTGTATGTATTCGTTATTTACGATATTCTCTGGCGGAGAATGCACCAAGCTTATACACTAAAACAACATTTTTCTAAGTCCTTTTTTTTATAGGATCTACAGATGCCCGACGCACTATTGTAGTATACCCTGTATATTCTATTTCTGGATACAAAAAGCTATACGCGATCTCGGTTATCTACATATAGGGGTTAAATCCTTTGAATAAAAAGTTTAACGAGCATATCAAAAAACTTAGGTGGAGCGCAAGGGGAATTAATATGGCTGACTTCAATTCCGGTTTATCAGTTTATAAATTTATTTAAAACGTAATAAATGTATAAAAAATATAACATAAGGGGGGCTTAATAACTTAGTTACAGTATATAGTAAGATAATATATCGAATTATTTCGCCGAAAAGGCGTTCACATGGCGTTCAGCGGCAAAATATTGAGGACGCGCTTGGCTTTTTTTAGGAGTATTCTAGAAAAAAACTTCAATTAAAAAAATATTCAATCGCATATTTTATTTTTAGTGGAGGTTTTGAAAATTCATTAATATGAAAAATTAAGATTTGAATTTTCTAACTATACATTTGTTGTTTAGAAAAAAAAAATTGTAATAACTTATGTTAACTAAATTATAAAGTATTTTGTTTTTCTGTATAAAAACCTGTTATTATTATGTATCTAAATTAAAAATAGGTACAACATATTTTTTAAACATCACAACGTCCCGACTTCAGGTGTCCAAATTTACCCTTTACTATTGCTTCCGTATAGTTAGTAGAGAATATACAGGTTACATAGCTGCAATATCGATGAAAACTAAGATTCTATTCTAAGGTTAAATATCGTAGAAAAATAAAACAATATATTGTCTAAAAATATTTATTAAATAACAATATAATGTTAAGTAAAATAAACAAATGAAACTGTTTTTATGAAGATTTAAAAAAAATTACATCTTCGCACAAATATAAGATAAATATATTTCTACATTTTAATAATTCATTAAACTATAAACGCTTTCGGGACGGGGGCTTCTCCAGATAAACTTGATGCAAGGTGGGGAGATTTTGCAGTGCCAAGTGGGCACGCGTGTCCTGTATACAGATTGTTAACTGGACGGTTACTTATTGGCGAACAGAATGGCAACACTGCCTACATTCCAAATGAGTACTAAGTTAAGCTGCCGACTCATCCCGTCGGGTCGTCTCTCGACGAGCGGGCCGAGGTTGCCATATTTCAACCATAAAGCTCTTCCCGCGAGTAATAAACAAATTAACAACCTGTATGTATAGACGACATAAATATGCCTAAAGATGTTTTTTATGCATTAAAACTTATGTTATGACTTCTTTTCTATTAAAAATCCATTTGAGTTATCAATTATTAAGGTAAAGCATATGAGCCAAAATGTCTATCAATTTGAATAGCACGTAATTCGCTTCAACGCAATTCCGTGCAAACGGCTGTCGGTCATTTCCGTCATAGACGTCAATATAATAGCACCAGTCTGAAGGCAAGTACAGACAACACAACAAGTGACAAGTAAAATTTTAAAATAAGTCTGGAATTAAAGACATTGATTTAAATAATACTTTGAGTTGATGTTGTGCACACACAGCGGCCGTCCCGAAAGGGATAATAAAGATTGAGTTATATAACTGATACTTGTACGCCAAAAAACTATTATAGAATAGAATAGAACCACATTTGCAGTATAACTACTTATAACGTTGAACAGTGGATCTCAGCTGGTATGAATCAGCACCTTGGAATCTGCTGACTTCTCTTCTGTTTTTAAGGAATACAAAAGTAGGCATTGCTGATATGTTATATCCTCTTGATATATCACCATTTTGATCAACATCCACCTTGAGAAATACCACAGAAGGAAAGTCCTTAGCCATCCTGTCAATTTCTGGCGCAATCATTTTACATGGACCACACCATGTGGCAAAAAAGTCTATAACCACCAATTTAGATCCAGCAGCTTTAAGTTTATTTTCCAAATCATACTTGCTACTAATATGAATCACAGAATTTAATCTAAAACCAAATAAATAAATTCATACTTTGTAATCTTTAATAAAATTAATAAACTAAGCTTCAAATGGTACAGAATTTGTATTTCTGATATAACTACAGGGTGTACTCAAAGTGAATTTAGAAACAAAGGTACCATTTCAAGCTTTAACTATAAGTATAACATTCTCATCACAACTTACCTGATTATACACTGAGTACTTCTAGATCTAAACTCACTTTTCTTGTACACCATGTATAAAAACAACTCTTAAACCTATTTTAACTCATTTCATTTATTCTAAGAGAAATTAACACTGGTCACAAATTTTAAAGTTCAAATGAGTTAGAATAAGTGATAAAATATTTCATAATGCCTCTTACCTTCCTCCAGAGTATCCTCCACTGGCAGATGATGCACTACCATCACCACTCACATGTCCTGCATCACCAAAACCCAAAAAAACTTTTATAAAATTAAAAATTCCTAACAAAGGCGTCAGTAATGTCCAAATAAATCCTGTAAATCCCCCAGGCCCACTGTTTGTAGATACTGATCCATAGTTCAATGGTAAAACAAGAATTACAGCATTCGGGGTCAATTGTAGCTCAGCCAAGCTCTTCACATGATCATTCTCAGTAAATTGCCTCCTAAAACAATATATTATTGGCTATCAGAATTTCTTATTTAGAACTTAGAACTTATACCTTGGAAATGTGGTTGAAAGAGTGAATTTATTCAAAGGCAACTTAAGTTCTGCTTTGAGGTAATTCAAAACTGACTGTAGTTTGTCTGAACTAGGAAAATCTTGAGTTTTTGTTGAACCATCGGGTAACTTGAATTGCAGTATTGCAGTTTTTGAGTCTGACTTACTTCCTGAAGGTCCAGGTGTGGGCTAAATTAAACATTAATGAATCATATAAGAATTTTAAAAATATCATGTATTACTTCAGCTTCTTTGTTGGTTGGTGTAGAGGCTGCAGCAGGTTGAAATCTTGCGGCTCTATCAGCCTTGTCTTGTGCAATCTGGGCTAAAACTCTTTCTCGAGCTTCTCTTTCTAGTCTTTTTTCTTTTTCTCTTTCTTCTTTCAGTTGTTTTAACTCTAAATCTTCTTGCCATTTCTTCATTTTCTGCATCTCTTGGCCTAATTTTCTCCTTTCAATCTCTTTCAGTTTTTCAATCTAGATTTTTAACAAGACAGTATAATAATAATGTAAATTTTGAAAAAATACAAAACTCACCTCTTTTTCCTCCCTTTCTTTTTCTAGCTTTTTAGCATCTAAAAGTTTTTTTGCTCTCTCTAATTTCTCATCAGATGTAAGTGTAGCTGAATCACCTCCTGTTGTACTGGTTGATGGTAAATTAACTTGAGTGTCCCTCTTGATTGTACACACACCATTTTCACACACAACATTAGGTGGTTTTGATGATGATTGTTCTGCATTTATTAAAGTTTCTGATGCTAAAATATTTAATATTATCCTTATAGCGCTTAATCTAAAAAAAATAAAATATATTTACCTGAGCTTTGACTGGGACTCATACCTGCTTTAAATAAAACATTATCCAGCTGTTTTATTAAACTAGCAGAATCTGAAACTTCAGTTATTATATCTAATGGAATTCCACCATTGCCTATAAAGTATATTGAGGGCACAGCTGTTTGTTTATCTAACGTAGTAATAAGGAATTAATTATAGAAAATAATAATTATTATAGAAGACTAATATAAAAAAGGATACATATCTCAAGAAATTGTTGATGAGGCACTGATTCGGCTTCTACTTTAATAGCAACAAAACTATCACTACTTAATATAAGACCCACATCCGTATTTTCAATTAAATTGGTAAAATTCTGTGATTTCCCATCCTTTCCTACGATTAATAATTATTCATAGTAGAAGGATAGTAGGTATTTAATTAATCATTAGATCTTAAACACTTTATACAGAGTACTAAAGTTTTGCTTTTAATCAATTTATTCCCAACTTACCTTCAATATAAACTACAAATATTGCACCCTTAGATTTTGAGGTAGCGACTGCTTCTGCAATTTTTCCTGTATACCAATGCATTTTTTTATTTAGTATTTCTTAAAAAGTTATTACGATTTCTTAAATGACGTAGCTTTTCATGAATTGACGTTATGACGTTCTTATATACATTATGAAGATAGAAGGAGATTAATGTCAAAAACTGACTACAGAAGAATAAGTTGACATATTCTTCTTCTACTAAAATGCGGCTATTTTTCTTTACAGCATTCAGTCAGCACTTTTTGTTTAGGCCTTTACACATCCAAACCTTACGATTTGGCAGTCAAACATATTAAAATGGAAAAGGAGAATGGAATGTTTTATGCAGAGATATGTGGATTAAAAGATGACAGTCTGGAAACTCTGTTGTTCCATGAATATATCTATTGACAACAGAATTGACACAAAAATTTAATGTCTCGTGAGGGTGCATCCACACTATCCTAAAAACGGCGTATCGGCGTAACGGCGTAACGACCTTGAATCAATTTCCAGTAATTCTATTCGCTGAAAATTCATCTGTCAAAAATTTCAGCCAATAAAATTACTGGAAATCCATTCAAGGTCATTACGCCGTTAAGCCGATACGCCGTTTTTAGGCAGGATAGTTCGATTCCTATCTTCCTGCACTGTCAGTTTTTTTACGTCATCTACTGACCGAGTTGGCGCTAAAGATTTTAGACAGTGACAGTTATTTTTGCTTAGACAAGGAAAGAGAGGGGACAGCTAACACGCAGATTCTCCAGCGAAAAATTTTTGAGGCCAAAATTTGATCGGCGGCCATACTTTGGTGACAAGCTTTCGAGGTGACACCAAGCGAATTTTTATGTTTTTTGTGAGTACTGTTTTGTTTTAAATTTATAAACTGTGTTGTTTAGCATGGTGAGATGTTCAGCGTACGGCTGCAAAGGCTGAAGCGAGAAAAAAATGACTGGAATTACATTTTACGGGTAAAAGTTGATACACAACTTGTGCTATGTAGTCATAAAATGTACATTTTTTTCATTATAGCAGTAAAAATATGTAAAATGCTTTTAATATGTCTTGTACCACATCCAAAGCAAACTATTTTTATTAATTCCAAGTAGTATTTTCAATATCCTATACTATAATTAATATTTGAAACGGTAATGGTGTGGATCCGGTGGCTGACCTTGAAGCCCATATTTGCTGCATTTGATCATCGATACTACGCAAGCGCACATCGTCGATGTTGCCAAATTGCAGTTTATTTTCGAATTATTTGTAGTTGAAATTTTTTTTTAAAGTGTTAATCAATAATAATACAAATTCTATAATTAATTTTATAATTTCAGATTTAACTTGATATCCAAATTTAAGGTAAGAAGGATAATGAAGATTGTGAAATTAAAGTATTATGAATATATAAAATTGTAATAATAATATTTATTTATATATTTACATTAGAATTAAAAATTATCATTTACGGATTTTTTCTTAATGGTTTTAAACTTATTAGAATTATTTTATTTCTTTCAAGTTATTTAATTTCTAGTTATTTACAGGCAACAATAGTTTTGATTATATGTATTGATGTTTTGAAATACTACCATGACGAGTCTTATAGAACAATACACGTCAATGGGAGATAGAGGTAATATTTTACCTATAATGTTATTAATATAATATACTTTGATTATAATGTTTGTATCATAATTTCTTAGAAATATCAAGTTAGTGGATTAATAGCAGTTTTAGACATATATGTGTTGATAAGACTAAAATAAGCTTTATGTTTTATCTTTTTCTCTTTAGAAGGGAGATGGTTTGTGTCGTACCATACATTACAGTATTTATTATCGTGTACTTTGATATTCTTTTCTTAATTTACTGTAATTTCTTGTTTCCTATAATGCCAAATCTTGACAATATGGTGAAGGTTGAGTTTTGATCTTATTAGTTTTATACCTGTGTTTATACAAGACCAAATTAAGACTTAGTTTGTGATTTATATTAAGATCTTTCTTATAATATTTGTTATGTCTTAATCTTAATACCGTATGATCGAATAAAAACGGCGTCAACGATGGCTATGAAATGAAGATCGCTGTCATTTTATATGTAAAATTATATGGGAAATGTCATCGATCGTCATTTTCAAGCCAACTGGACGCTGTTTTTTTCTCGATCATACGGTACTATATTATGCTTTTTCTGGAAAATAAATGTTAAAATATCTTAATTTTGCATATCCTATTCCGTCCTTCCATTAGGAAAAATATGGTTTATAAATCATATTATGCTAAGAAAATCACATAAATTAGGTGTAAGAATAGAGAGATCTTAAGGTAGCAGAAAAATTAATGCAATATATGTATAAGCAGAATTAAACAAGGTAACTGTTAATGTTGCTGAAGCCGATTCTACAATTTTAATTACGGAGGCTGAAAGGTTTTTTAAGGCCTCCGTAGTTTTGATGGAATGTAAAAAAAACTATTATGAACATGACATGGTGCTACAGCATTTAAAAATTAAAAAAAAAAGAAAAAACTTGGACATATCCCTTTTAATTTCCCGAATTTTTAAAAAAAGCACTTTTTAAACGTAGCATAATAATCTAGAGCAATTAGATTAATTATAGGAATCTAGAGTTTTATTTCTATTTAATTTTATTGACTATGAAAATACATAATATAAGCGTTCATGTGTTGTGCAAAATATTAAAATAATAATATAAATAATATACCGCGTACTATGATTGAAAAAAATAGCGTCAGCGATGACTTGAAATGAAGATCGATGTCATTTTTTATGGGAAATGTCCTCAATCGTCATTTCCCAGTCAACTGGACGCCGTTTTTTCGATCATACGCTATATATTGACAAAAAAACACTGAAAAGCACATATTTGTTTTCTACTGAAAATAATTCCAAAATAACTTGCAATCTGGCAACATCGAAGATGTGCGCATGCGTAGTGTCTGTGACTATATGCAGCAAAAACTCGTTTCAAGGTCAGCCACCGGATCCACACCATTACCAATTAATGCTTAATAAATTATTATATTTGAAACTATAATTAATGCTTAAATATATCGATACCTTACTTTGAAAACCTCGTATGTGCCTAACAGATGTTTTTACAGGAGAAACAAAAAACTAGATTAAACAATATTTTATTTGGATATATTGTTCAAATTAGGTTTTCAAATGTTATATTTACACTTGAAAACAAAATCTAGATAGGGAATTCCATAACTCGATTTTTATAATTATTTACAATAACTTACGAGTTTTTCCATTTTTTTGCAGCAAAAAAATAAATTAAGTGTTTTTCATTTGAACGTGCAAGAAATAACAAAAATTTCAGAATGAAAATAGTTTTATTTAATTATAATAATAAGACTTTTGGAACAAGGGTATAGGCAAAAAATACTATAATCTAAACTATCAAAAACAATTTTGATAGGTAAAACATAAATCTTTGGTAAAACACAGTTTGAAACTTGTTTAAAACATTGCACTTTAAGTAAGTATAAAAAAAATAACAACACTGAAAATTGCGGTATAACATTATCAACACAAGAACTTTTAAAACAACTGAAGAAATGAACTTATTTGAATCTTAATTGATCATAAAAAGTGTGGAAGTCCGGAAGTAAAGAACTTTTTAATTCTTGCAGGTTATTAAATTTGTCTCTGGTTATTTCCCTTGGCCGAGAATAAAGCTTTGGCAACGAATTGTTTGGAATCGGCTGAATGTTTTTGTTAAAGCGCTTTTTTAAAATGGTCCATCCATCTGTATGCTTTAATTTAAAAATATTTCATTGTTAGGCGTGTATTTAATAGCCTTTAAATCACTTACAACTGGATCTCCTGATCGATTTCCTGGTCTAATAGAGGTTATGAAATTAATTTTTGGATAGTTGTAAAAAAAATTATGGTTTAGGTATTGAACGTTGTAAGGTCTAGGCGACTTCCGCGCCTTTAAAATATGAGTTGCGTATTCGGCTGGGACACTTATGTCACGGTTCCTTAACCTGCGTTCAATACAAGCATGCATGCTATCCACCTCCATTTGGGTGTGCCCCTTTTTCCAAGAATTTTTGGATAATATTTATGTTTTTTTGTGAGGCCAAATTTAATAAAGCATTAGATAAGGTGACGTTCTTGTTTTGGTAACCGCAGTTATCACTGTAAAGAATCACTTCCTCTCCAACATTATTTATTTCTTGATTCAAAAGAAAATTGCAAATAATGCTTGCAAACTCGTTAGCAGTTATATCACCTTCACCTTCATGCCAAATATAACAAAATCCATCATTATTCTTCATGTATAAATTGTGAAGTTGTGGACACATAATTTCCGTTTATAATATAAGGATGAAACATTTGAATGTGGTGACAGTAGGACTTTCTGCAAATCCATACAATAAACATGTTTAGCTTCTGCCTTGTCTTTCTCTTTTTCATTCCTGGCGTCTTCCTTTCTTATTTGGTGTTGTAGGTAGTCGTCTTCAGGGAGATTTCTTGCCTTAAAATTTGTGCAAACGTCGCATTGATCTTTTTTGGGAATAAATAAACTAAGATTTAGTTTCTCAAATGCCAGTGAGAAAGTTTTTATTGAAACAGTTCGAATTTCTGAGTCTTCCCTCTCAGAAAACTTTCGATATTCGTTAAAAAGGTCGACTTTGGATTGCCAGATGGGCTCTAGATATAATTTATTACTTCTAGCTCTGCAGTAATGCGACTCCATTTTGGGTAAGTTATCAAAAAACTTACACACCATTTTGTTTGATTCACTTCGAGGGTTAGATCGTTGTTGGTTTATTTCGGCAATATTATTCGTAGCCTCTTTTAAAGTGTTGGCCCAACTGTGCAAGGACCATTCACCAATACTTAACGTGTTCAGGAACATTTTCTTACACACACGCTGAGAGACTCCATCTTTCTTTAATTTTAAAACTAAAGTTGATTGACGCCTTGAGGTTTCATTAGATTTTTTTTTAACTGGCGGCATCACATCTACCACACCTCGTACATACTGCTTGCGTTCTTGCCAATTTAGTTTTTCCCAAAATTCGGTAAAAATTTCTTGTCGTATTTCTGGTGAAAATACCCTGCATTTTAAGGTTTTGCCCTTTAGACTTATTTTACAATTGCATGGTGGTAACAGTTGACGAGCAGGACGTGGTTTATTGTATACAGCTTTTCCATCTTCAGTTTTTCCTCTTCCATTATAATCCATCCCTCTCATTCTCTTATCCTTATTGCGATTATAATCCCAGTTTTCTTTATTACCTTTTCTTTTGCGTTGCCGCTTTAACTTCGGAGTTTCTTGATCATCTTCTTCGCTGCTGTCCTCGTTTCCATTCGGTTCATAACCAGGATCATCACCGTTAAACTCGTCGGCATCATTTTGGTTTTCCTTTTCTGGTATCCTAACCACCAATGGCTCTTCTTCTTCGTCTTCATCGCTGCTCAAAACGTTTCCATTTGGTTTGTAACTGGGATCTACGGATTCATCATCATCCTCATCATCATCTAAGCTTGCCTGGTGCCTCGGCCGGAACTCGATGGCTTCCTTTTGGTTTTTATTTTCTTGTGCTGCAACTATTGATAATTGTTGCTGTAGGGGTTCTGGACTCATGTTATTAAAGTTTTCGGAGAATGCTGTGTCACCATCAAGAGGAAATAATTCGCCTTCAAGAGGTAAAATCAGGACATCGCCGCTGTCGCCGATACCTAGATGAGCCATTATTTTGCTTGTATTAAGCGAGTCATTTCCCAGTGAAATATTAAAATCAATTTTTGTGCTCAAATCATCCGTAGACGTAGATGGCGAAATAGCATTCAAACTGTTGCATAGTTGCAAAATCTTTGTCGTTCTTGAATTCATTGCTGAAACAAAAAATTAAAAATATTTGAAAACCTCGTAAGCTCCGTAACGTTTTTAAAATTCGGTCATAGAAAACCTCGTAACTGCTTTGCAAATTAATATGAAGTAATATAACAGTAAAATAGCTTAGCATAACAATAAAATTACTTCTACGCCTGCAGCATACAATAAACTATATGATGAGTAAAAAAAAACACTTACCTTTAAAGTATTACCGGATGTATTTTCAAAAATTCAAGGAGTCTGTTCTAACTATGGAGTGTAGAGGTAAGGAGAAATATCTTCCTGCATTAAAAATAATTTAAAAAAAGTGGTCACAAAAATGGAAAAAAGGGTTCGCCAAATGACCACAGTGGCGTTAAAAACGCATAAATCTAAAAAAATGAAAAGTAAATCATAGATAAGAGAATAAAATAAATATAACCAAACATTACCCAAAAAGTTTTGTTTTTATTTTTAGAATATAAAATAATTATTGTTTATCAATATTTTGTGCTTTATTTATTATTTAATAATGGTTAAAGTGTGTGTGGTGCGAAGTTGATTGAATAGCTGATGGAAAATAAAGAACAAAGGCAAAGCCTGTAAAATACATAATTATAATTCAGTATTGTATTATTTGTATTATATGTAAAAATTAGAGTCAATCAAAAGTGTAGTAAACATTTTCGTAAGATTATTGACATACATGTTACAAAGTATATTTTTTACAATCCTTCTATAAAGTTACAACCTGAATAAAATTTATTTTAATGATTTTAAAGTTTGACAGACATGTACAAATTGTTGGCATTTTTTAAACAAATAAAAGTAGGAAATAAATAAAGTTCTAGGATGGTTCTAGGTACTTTCAAGAAATATAGTTAACTGTAAGTGCTGTATTTTAATAATCTATCAAAAATCAAAATCATCAGGATAATATTACGTATTGATTTTCAAACAAGAATTAGATTACAGCGATGGTCAAAAGCATTAGATATTGCTTTGAAATCTACAGATAAGGCATGGCAGTTTCGTTTTAAAGAACAAGATGTTAAAGTTTATGATAAAATTGTCATCAGAAATAATGTCCACTTGCAGTATTTACATAGGAAAATGTTGGAGGATGAAGCTCTATCTACTGCCTCAGGTTAATTTAAATTCAATAAAAAGAGTTGCAACAACAGCAACAAGCAAAATATGAACACCAGCAACCAAAACAGGAACCATTAAATGAATATTTATAATGTATACAATTTGATTGAATAAAAAAAAAAACAGCGTCAGCGATGCCTATGAAATGAAGATTGCTGTCATCTTATATGTAAAATGATATGGAGAATGTCATCGAGATGTTCATTTCAAGCCAACTGCACGCCGTGTTTTTTCGATCATACAGTATTATTATACACATAAATAGTAATATTATACATATAACATCCATTGATAGAGATCAACATTTTGTAGAGAAATAACAGCATGTTACGTATTGTTAGCTTCAACTTTATAACCTCACCTCAAACCTTTGATATTTGAAAGTTACATAGGTTACATAAACTACACCTTCTACATAAACTACATTAACTACATATAATGTAGTTTATGTAGTTTTTAAAGTAACATGTAGTTTTCCGAACCCTGGTGGTAATCTATAGCAATCATCAATTTTAAGCTGTTTTCAAACCATACGGGGGCAATTTAAATTTAGTGAAATTCATCATTTATTATGGTTAGTTAACATTAATATGATTTATTTAATTATCAGTTTCAAAACTACATACAATATTGGTATATAATACACTAAATATACGATTATTCTGACAAAAGACGCTATGGACAGATGACCTTTTCGTCGTTAAACACTTGAAATGATATTGTTAAATAAGTATTTACAATATTTCATGTTTACTTGTACTGAATTACGTGTTTCAATTTGTACTTTTTTGCAAATTTGGTAAAATTGTTCCAAACAACTTTTTGTTCAAGTTGTATATTCATAAAAACATTTTTTTTTTTTTTATAATTATTTTTGATGATAACCTACCTGTATTTTTAATATAAACCTAGAAAAAATATGTTTTATTTTTTTATTCGTCCTTTCAAATTGTGGCTTCAAAAACTGTTACATAACATGTCCTGTAACAAATATTTTCATAATACATAAACATCATTGATTTTATTAAGGGTATTATGATTAGTATTTATCTCCTGGTTTTTGTCGACAATAAATACTCAATCTTGTAATAGAACATCAATTTTATATATTTCGTAAAAATTATTTGATACAAATTCAATTTGTCAAAATTCAAGTCATTAATATATTGGATAAACAAACCCAAATTATTCCTAAATATTTTATTATAAAAAACTGTTACCGTAAGTTTGTAAACACATTATGGTTTATCGTAATATTAGAAAAAAACATCATTTATTTTTTGCACAAAAGAAGCTTGTCGATCCCTATTTGTCCATAACAAAATTCTGTATGTACAACATACATATATCTAATTTATTATTAAGAAAATTAGATTATATGATCTCAGAAATTTTAAGAAATAGCTTTTAAGATAAAATAGTTTCTTTTCAACTGTAATATTGTCAACTTTGGCCTGTATTTTAATATCTATATTTAAAAACATGGGATTGACAATCACCTTACTAAAATACATACTGGAAGGTACAGATTAAGTTTCATTGCATCAAATACCTTTGCTATAAATCCTGGCTCATAATTTAAGGCCATTGCAAATGCTTTTGAACTTCATCATAGATTTTACAAGAAAAGTGTAATATTGAAACAAAGTAACATTGTAAGATTCATGACTAATAGTCTCATTTTTAACACTTTAAATATCATCTCGTTAACAATTATGAATATTATATGATTTTTCTCAGTGACTTGTGGCACAGATACAAATTAATATATGCCCCATAACAGTTTTTTTAAATAAGAAACTTCTGCCTACAGATTTAATTTTCTTATTGGCATAATACCCTTTCTTCCTGTATAAATCTTGCCATTTTCTCAGTCCAATGTTCCTTGTTTTTACAGTTGTAGGAATACTAAAAATGTTGATTATAGAACTTGATACTATGTTTGAAAAAACCTTCATACCTGTAACCATAGCCTGTAACTGTGCATAAATCTAATTAACTGAATTCTCCTCCTCTTGACACTCTGAACACTGCTGCAGCTAATGTTAGAAATATTTAGCAAAAAACTACAACTACCTACAACAAACTTTACAATAAAAATGTTAAATTTTTTTTTTTATTTATTCTTTAAATATCTCTATCTATGTTTTCTTTTCCTCCAAATAATCTTCACTAATCACTGTTTTACAGAAGCACGAACATTGATTCCAAGTATCTTCTTCCTCCACACGTAATAAAAACATCCTCCTTAAATGGCCACATCATACACTTATTTTGACCATTCCCAATTACAATCACGATTTTTACAAATCGCCTTTAGGAAAACTAAAATAAACAGTTTTGGATCATCTGAAAACACGATTATGTTGTATAACTTACACATGAAAACTAATCATTTTTCCCGGCGTATTAGCTTCCTTAGAATGACTATGACAATATACAACAAGCCTTTTGAATTAGTGTTTTAATACTGAGATAATAATAATAAATTTTGAACTAGATAACAACACAAACGAAAAAAAAAAAACAAACAGATGTCAATTAAAGAGGGGAAGTGACAGCGAGACCTGGAAGATGTCTGCCATCTTGCCGTCGACAAAATTTTGGATGCGCACTTGTCGAAGCTCATTCTCCCACTTCCATCTCTGTTGCCACCAATGGTGCTTATCACCTGTGACGTAGTGACCAACCTGCGCAATATCATACCTTGTATCTTTGTAATCATGCTATCCCAAAGTGCCTTCTATTAATAGAACAGCCTCGGAGCGATTTATGACGTCACGCTAGTTAGATATAACGGATTAATAAATATGTTGTAGAATACATGGAAAACATAATTATTCCTCAGATTTTTGGTTTGTATTTTAAAATGATATAGTTTAAAATGAAATATACATAATATACAGTTAATAACTACAACATATATACCTATTTATAGTAATAAATACTTTTATAAATAAACTATGAACCATACAAATGCAGCAAATGTTTTACAATGTACAAATAATGTATAAGTACATAAGATAATGGGTAAAATGTACTATTTAAATTTTGGGGTTTGAAAATCGATCTAATTTAACACAAAACATTTAATATCTACTAATAGTGATGTATTATTATTTGTATTCACAAATTTATATGTATATTTTGCAAGTATCAATGTTCGAAAAATTATATTTACAAATAATACAATATTATCTAAAATAAGGCGTCAGCTGCATGGCTATGAAATGAAGATCGTTGGCATGTTATATGTTAAATTATTCTAAAATTTTTTGATTTTTGGGATTTTATTCTGAAAAATGCTGATTGTTTTCATTTGTTTTCATGTTTACTTTTGTTTAAAACGCTTCGGCTAACTATAGCTTTCACAGTGTTGTGTCATATGAGTAAAATAGTCGATGAGTATATCCAAAAATTATACATACAATATAATTCACACCTCATAATGTTTACTGCAATTAATAAACTAATATAAACTTATCAAAAGATGACCATATTTTTTAAAATTATTATTCTTAACACAAATCTATCTACATTGACTATGGAGTACGCAGTGAAAACATTATGTGTGTGAATATTTTATATGCAATTTTTGGATTATATGGACACTATTTTTTTCATATGACACAACATTGATGGAGGCTATAATGTTAGCCGAACCTTTTTTTTTTTTTTAGAAATTAAAATAATGAAAACCAAAATGAAAATCAATCAGCGTTTTCTCCTGAACCTAAATTCGAAAAAATCAAAATTTGGAATATTTAGAATCAAGGTTCAAGAACATCAAATTTTCCAAGATTGTAAAATTTAGTTAATTATTATTTTATGTGTACAGTTATTTAGGAATGTCATCGATGTTTATTTCCAAGCCAACTAGACGCCGATTTTTTTCGATGATACGGTATAATTCTTACGTAAAATGTAAATAACATTAGACCAATTAAACAAAGAAATATGAATTTTTAGTATTTTAGTAACACCTTTTATTCTTAAAACTTTTGTATTATGCAAATATACCAATTTTATTGTTATTTTATTCATATTTATTCAGCCATCACTTAAATATTTGATATTAATTTGGTATTATAAATAATCAATACTATTCATTAAAATTACTGAACAAATATATGTTATGCTTAACATACATTATATATTATCAAACAAAAACACATTCTTCTTTAAACTGTATCAGTCTACAAAAATCTTTTTTAAAAAATCTTTTAAAATTTGAACTCAAAATAATAATCTTTTTCATGATCTCTAATACACATATTCTTTATTTTTCCCTAGATCATAATACCTACTTACGTGTTTGAATCTATCGAAGCTGAACCAGCAACACTTGAAGTGGAATTCAATATGAATAAAATAAACATAATTGTCCAGTTTTCATTAATACCATCATGGAGAATATTATTTTAAATTTATTAAAGATATTTTCAATAAAATTCTTTTGATTTATAACTCGTACCCACTTTTCTTGCTCTTCTGGACACTTTAGGCTGCCTAGTATAATAACTATCCTTAGTAACTATCCTTTCCACCAGGAACAACAAAGATGAGGCATAGCACCAATAACACACCCACTTAAGCTTTATTGATGAATTGTTAGAGTCTTAAAACACACACAAAAATCAATGATAAGTAAAAAAATGTATGGGCACTTTTAGGTTAAATCACTTGCACAACGTGTAATTTTAAAATTTCTATTTTTTATGCGAAACCGAGAGTGACCATATATCTGGTAGTAGTTTATGTCACTTCAACACTAAAATAATTAGTTTTTTGCACTACAATAATAAATAATAGCAAAAATCAAAGAGTTAAAACCAAAAACAACCGACAAAATATGAAACGGAATCTAACCCAATATCTAAGTATGTACAGCTGATGAAGTAAACAAAAGTCCGCCCGTAGGCTGATCTTTTAATAGAAGGCACTGGCTATCCATGTATTCATGCATGGTGGGCGGAAAAGCCACCATAAAAGCTCTCTAGGGTGGGGATCCTTGACAGTTTTGTTTGACGATTCATTTGACACATTTGAATTTGATTTGAAATTTTGTGGATTTGTCAGTCTTTAAGGAGCTGATTTTATGTTATTTATTATTTATTCTACTACTGATAGTTGTATAAAGGTAGTAAATCTAGATGGAAATTGTGGCAGAACTTAAATTAACAGTGACACTATCGCGATTTATCGAAAAGACTCTAAAAATAGTTGGTTGTAGCGTGCGGTAGATCTCAAAAATTGAGTGAAATAATGGAACAACTTTTCGCTAGTAGACTATATATAATATACATACGTGTAGTAAACCGATCATTTATGGAAATTCAATTAAATTAACTAAATTATATATTTTTCTTTGCATTTAGCTTTTATTTATTACTTGTCAAAGATTAGATGTCAAAAGAATTTAGATACGTTAATTTGACTTACCTGCTTCAGTAGCGTATCGGATGTTTGTGGTAATAAATACTTATTATAACTTATCTATTTTTATTAGAATTATATATTTTTATAACAATTTTAATAACTACCAACATTTATTCACAACGTAAAATAAAACAAATTATTGAGTCTACCCCACGTCTACCCTAATCATAAGTTTTACATTTTTAAATAAATTAGAACGACACTGATCAGATAAACCAGAATTTAAGCCCGCCATATTTGAGGCCCATAACGGTGGACCTAATATTTTTGATATGCTCCTTCCTTAGTCTCTTATTCAAAGGATCAGAGGTATGGATGCACCCTGAGAAAGAGTCAATTTGGCAAAATAAAAACACTAAATCACCACAATACACCAAAACACTTTTACTTTTACACTGGACGCGCGTTTCGCTAACCATGTTAGCATCATCAGCAGATGATTATAAACTAATAACTAAATTATAGTCAATTTGTCAATAAAATTTAGACAAATCCGTGGGCCATTGACCATGATATGGCCGAGGATCTCGGTTCGGTTTGTGAAGGGATTGTGCGTAAGTAGACCCCGTCCAGATCCTTGGTCCAGATCAGCCTTAGAAGCAAAATAGAGTCTGTAACTTATAGTAGATGCTCTGTGGTTTTGTTGCTAATTTCGTATATATATATCTGTATATATTTTAACCTAACTTAAATCTTACAATCTCACATTTGTTTTTGATTTTGTTTGCTTACAGTTTTTAAAATCAATTAATTTTAAATGTCGACCGATAATAATATAAGGAATAAACGAAAACGCAAGAAAACATTTTTGCAAAATGCTAGAAAGTATGCGAAAAAGGGATATTATGGAAGAGGTTCACATATGGATGCAGATATGTATCAGTATTTTGTACGTATTTTGGAAGTTTTTAAACAGGGATTTGAAAATAATGATGATAAAGGTATGCTTTTTATTTACTAGATTAACTAAGTACCTATATTTTGAGTGTTTTTTTTGTAGCTGTCTTTGTAGATAATGTTTTTGAACAAACTGAAAATAAGGAAATGGAATGTTCCTGTAATCAGGTTGGATGTAGAGTTATAGAAATGCTTTTACCATTTGCTAGTGACGATATTATCTTAAAATATTCTGAAAAGTTTAGTGCAGATATTCGGCCCCTTAGTAAAGATAGATTTGCAAGTTTTGTTTTACAAGCTCTAGTGAAAGTATCCTGTGGAAAATATTTTGATAATAGTGTTTCACATGAACAAAAAGAGAAATTCAAAAGTTTTGCTGTAAAAACTAGTAAGTTTTTGTTAAATAATTTGGAAGATTATATATGGGACACTTATGGAAACCACGTGATAAGGACCTGTTTATGTAGTTTACTTAATATACATTTAGAAGATAAAAAACAGAAGGGTTTAGAAAATGTTTCTAGTATAATACAGAATGAATGTGACATTCCTGAGGAATTTATAGAAATTGTTAAAGAATATGCACAGAGATTAATAATATGGCCACAGTTTGGTGAACTCTGTAATTCCGAACAAACATCTGGATTTTTACAAGTTTTATTGAAGGTACTAAAAAAGACAGATTCAAAGTTATTGAAAAAATATTTGGATAAGATTCTTGAAGAAAATTTCCTTGGTGTACAGTCAGATATAAAATCTGAAAATCTACCTCAAGGTTTTATGTCAGTAAGTCTCTTGATGTTACTGGAAACTGCAATACAAGTTGCAGGGAAAAAATCGCTCAATAAATATATTAAGAAATTGTTTTCAAATAATTTGCTGAAACTAGCATTGATGAGAAGTACTAATTTTGCTGTTCAGAAGATTTTAACTTCTTGTATCAACAGGGAACAGGTAAAATATTTAGTATTTTTTTTTATTATATGGGGTGGTTTGAAATAATTCTGGAAATAGCAGCATATTCTGCAGATAAAAAAAGTGAGGTTCGTATAAATGTATGTTCTAAAATGCTTAGTTTTGGAGATACAGGGTATAGGGTATAGAAGTTTTATTTTTATTTTGATTTTTTCCAAATAATTTCTCTGTAAGTCACACACTCTGTATAAGACAAATCAATATTTGGATGAAAATTGGTCTCTGGCAGTTTTTTGACATGAGAAATTTGATTTTCATGTTAATATGACTCCTATTTGTAGGTGGCGCCACCCACATGTGTTTTAACCGTGTGTTTTAACTATTTTGAAGAGTAATAACTTTTCGTCTGTACCTGTACAAAACTACTGAGTGAAAAAATATACATTTTCGTGATTTTTAATGTAAAAAATGTCTCTTGGTAAAAAGCGCTATGAGCAATCATTCTCAAGATATTTAGAATGGAAATAGTCAATACATTTCATTATTGACAAAAAATAAACATATTGAGTAGATACCCTATGATCGTAAAAAAAGGCGTCAGCGATGGCTATGAAACGAAGATCGCTGTCATTTTATATGTAAATTTATATGGGAGATGTCATTGGTGTTCATTTCATAGCCATCGCTGACGCCGTTTTTTTTTCTATCATACGGTAGTTCAAGAGCTTTATTTTTTTAAAGTAATCATAAATTTTTCTTCGAAAAATGATCTAAAACAGTTTCTGTTGTGCTTTTGGCACAAAAACATTTCAAATTTATTATTTCAGTCTGATAACTATTTAGTTAACATGATGTTTAATTTATGTTAATGACAGGTATCGATAATTTTGATTTCAAATATCTCAAGGACCATTACACATTTACCAAGATACTTTTTTACGTAAAAAACGTCGTAAATGCATATATTTTACTCTAGTTGTTTTTTACTAGTTGTTTTATACAGGGACGGACGAAAAGTTATTAATCTTCAAACCAGTTAAAAAGTATGTAGGTGGCGCCCTCTACAAGTAATAGTCATATTGACATCGAAATAAAATTGCTTCTGCAAAAAACTCCCAGACACTAATTTTCATCCAAATAGTGACGTTATTTCAGAAATTATTTCGAAAAAATTGAAATAAAAATGAAACTTCTACACCCTGTTATAAGCATTTTAAGACATACATTTATTCGAACTTTTTTACTTAATTTTATCTGCAGAATATGTTGCCCATGAGTTTCTGGAATACAGTGAGGACAACCCTGTATATATAATAATATATATTTTTTTAAGTTTGATCCACTTTTTGATGAATTAGCTGATCACATGTGGGAAATAATAGAGAAGGGACATCCAGCAGTGATTTTAGCACTTGCACAGGGTTGTAAAAAGTTATCAACTAAGCAAGGATCTTTTATACAGGTATATAAATCAATAAATATAATTCTTAAATATATAGTACTAAAGTTTTTTTTTATATTAGGGTCTTATGAAAGCTTTAAATTGTTTGGAACCTGAGGAAAATCAAAATAATTTTGCTATCTGCACCTCCTTTTTAATACGGTATGATAAAAAAAATCCTGTACCAACTGACAACTTACAAAAAGAAAAATTAAACCTTCAAGGAACTCTGATTTTACAACTTATGTTGGAATTTAATAAACCTATCAAAATTATCAACAGTCTTCTGAGTTTAACCCCAAACGATTTAAAAGGCTTATTTTCAAATACTATGGGAAGCCATATAGTTGATTCCTATATGAAAAGTGTTTATGTTGGCGAAAAAAGTCGTGAAAAGTTAGTTAGAAAAATGCAGGTCAGTAAAATATATTTATTTTTTAAAATTTTCAGTATATTAAAAAAATTGTTAGGGTACATATCAAGATCTGGCATCGTCTAAATATGGTTCAAGATCTTTTGAAGCTATTTGGAATGTGGCTAACATGAAATCAAAAATACATATTATGGAAGAGCTGTCACATAGGGATGGATCTTGGGCAAATACAGAGTATGGTAAAATAATATCATCTAAAATAAATCTAGTTCTATTTAAAAGAAATAAAGAAAGCTGGAAAAACAGTCTTAATAAAGTAGCAACAGCAGAGGAAGTGTTAGCTGATGTTTTGAAATAGTTTTAAAATAAAATATTTCTTGTTATATGTATGTGTATTTTTGTAAACCTTACATTATTGTTTGCACTAAAAAAAAATGATTTTGAAGCTGAGTTTTCTCACTAAGCATTTTTGTCTTCAGATGAAGTATTAGATTCTTTGCTGTTTCTTCTTGCTTGCATGCGAAACTCTTCATCACTATTATCTATGATGGCCTGGATAGCCTCATCCTTCATTTCAGTCAATGAAAGTTCACTTAATCTATTTTTATTGCCTGTTTTTTCGCCAAGAGCATAGTATTCCATATGCAGTTGCTCAAGGAGTTCATCTCTAGTCTTAGGAAATTTAATCTAGAAAGTAGCTTTTGTTTAAAATGGTTCACAATTAAAATAAGAAAAATCTGACTTGAGACTGTCGTTCAAATAAGGTAGGTTGTTGATTCACTCTGCCTAGCATTTGTTGCATTCTTAGCTTGTGTTCTTCGTTTCTGAGTTTGTCTTCATCGCGTCTGAGTTGTAGTCTCATGGCTAAGTCTTCTTCGTGGCTATATGCCAATGATTGCCACACTGGTTTTTTTCTCATTACTTTTTCCCTCCAACGAGCTTCATCTTTAATTTTAGCCTCCTCTAATTTTTTCATCATTTCCATTTCTAAACGCCTTCTAAAATTTTTTAAGGCACTGTTACTGTTTATCACATTTATATATTAGTGTTACGAAGTTAATTAATTCTTGAATGCCTAAATTTTATTATTTAAAAAAATTAAATTGTATGCATATAGGGTTACCGGACGTTCGGATTAATCCGGACATGTCCGGATTTTCATTACATCCAGTTGGGTCCGGGCGGATTTGTCATAAGTGTCCGGATTTTAATGTTCCCTTTTTAGAAATATCGCAATAATGATAAATAATATATTACTTTTAATAAATTTAGCTAAAAAATCGTCGATAAATTCAGCAGTATAAATTCATTCTTTTACTTCGTAAGTTTTAAGTTTTGAAAGTTATAAATGTATTTTTTTCAAACGTCACAAAAGTATCTATTATTTTTTGCGACGTGATTGACAACGTAAAAAAGTAATTTTAACGCCTAAGCATAAAAGTAAAGCATTTTTACGCCTAAGCTCAAAAGTACGGAAATATATTATTAAAGTGTCAAATACAACGAGTGTGACCATAGTTTCTCGATATATAATTACTTACAAGGTATTACTTTTAAATATATTTCTATTATTTGGAACGTTTAAAATTGTTTAAATTATTTGTGGCGCTTGAAAACAAAATAGCATATTCTATTCGGATTATTTTTTGTGCCTCTGTATGACAAACATGAACGTTGTATGTCATACAGCCTTGTCACAAAAAGTATCATTTTTACTCCTAATAAAACAATATACTATTTGTGCTCTTATATCGCTAAAAAATTATGATGTCCGGTGTTCGGATTTTTGGGAAAGCTTTCCCAGGGTGGACAAGGTTTCATCTGGTAACCCTATATACATAAAAGTAATTTTCCAAAAATAGGCGTTTTAATCTTAGAGAAATAAATAAATATAGAGGAGTTATTTTTTTGTGTGAAAATCTCCATTGAGATAAGTGTCTTTATTGATTTTAAACATCGTACACATTTATTTTTACACACTTGTAACTTGCAGATCTGAAAAACATACTTGGTTAGTGAAAAGAACACGGAACTCAACGAAGCCGAATCGGACGCTTACGAAGTACCTAACAGTTACAATTTGGTACCTATTCGGTGGTTTCTGGGTATGTGGAATTGATCGATGATGTTGGTGTTACGATGGGTATTACGGGTAACGGGTAATATCCGCGTAGGCAGATGTAGGCGTACCTACTTAAATAGTGTGAAAACTGGGAAATCTGGCAACAATGCCGATATCATTCTGCAATTTCTCATTCTTAAAAAGTTTTCAAGGACCGGCTGGAATTTGGAAAATACATATTTTATTTTTTATCTCGAAAACTATAAGAGACAGGCATAGGTTAGTATAATAGAAAAATGATGAGATATGAGAGTAGTTTCCAAAAGTGTAATAATATACTGGGTGTTCCATTTATTATTAAATATTATTAAATAACAAAGATGCTATCACTTTTCAAATCATACGGCAACACTGTAACGCTGATAATATTTTAGACAGATGGATCAGGTGCCTTTATATAAAAATCCAAATTTTCAAAATAATTCTATCACCGGTCCTCCTATTACCATCGCCGGAAGACAGAGCTAACTTTTGAGCCATAAGGATATTTTGCGATTTTTAATTTTTCCCTTACATTATAAGCTTAATGCTACCTAAAATTCGAAACTTGTAGTTTGTGACACATCTAGGAATACCTTAGAATTTTGATGACGGCGAGTGAGTTACTGGCGAAGTTAAAGTTTGACTAGAAAAAATTCATAATCCTTGAATTATTGTTGGTACATTAATATACAAATAAAATTAGAAGAGACCGCTTGGATCAATTCTAGCTTTCTACCTTTTTCACGACTGGAATGTCAGTTACCGGTAGCGGCTAGACAGCTAACTTAATCCATAAGGATATTTCGAGATTTTTCATTTTTTCTTTCCATTATAAGCTTAAAGCTATCTAAAATTCGAAATTTGAAGTTTGTAACATATCTAGAAGTACCTTAGAATTTTGATGATCTCTCAGTGAGTCAATGTCGAAATTAAAGAAATTTGACAAGCGATAATTCATAAATTATTACTAGATATTTTAGTAACCTATCCAGCTATAGTATGTGTAGTGAAAATGAATATTCTTGCTTTATCCACAAGGACGTTACAGGGTGGTCAAAAGTGCCGCTAATACCTTCAAGAAAAGGATGGTACGATTGTGTTCGAGTTAGCGGGGGCCCTGCCGTGATAAGATAATTTATTTTTCGACAAAGTCTGGTTTTAGTCCGGATTTGACCAGAATTTCCAAAAACTTGTATGGAAACCGGTAATAAAACCTTAAAAATTTTATTACAGTACCTGGCTGATTGTATTCTTAACACAGCTGCCAAATTAGACCTGTTTATTGACGACATATCTAATGATGAAGGTGTTCTTGTGTCAGAGCTACTTTTACTGACAGCTGACGAAATTCTGTACGAACTTTTCTTGCCCTGAAACAATTAAAAATACTTTTACGTTACATTTCTTAACAATTTTTTTCTGTGAAGTACTTTTCGGGATTTTGTTTTCAATTTGAATGGCCTAGGACTGGTCGTGATGAATTCATTTTTCAGTTCTTCAAGTTCACGTTCATATTTATCGTGGTAGGCCTGAAAATTTGTAGTGAAAATAAGTTTAATGAACTAGTAGGTAATAAAAAGTTGATTTTATTTTTGGCGAATGAGCAAATTGACGGACTATTTCATTGAAACAAATCCTACCTTGTAATTAGGTATTTTTTTGGTCTTTCTCATAGTTGTATTATTTTCTAATTCCAAGTCCCTATAAGATCGTGGGCATACATCGATTTTTGGTTTGGATTTTTCCCTTTTTGCCATTGAAGGTGGCAAAGAAGCATGCTTCAACATTTCTTCAGCTCTTACTTTTTTCTGCAAGGCTCTAAAAATACATCACATTTTTGGTTCTTTTTGTTTGTTCTACTGTAGATACACTCACCGGTACGAAAAACGAACACCTTAAAATTTTAATGTATTTTAAAGTTTAATATATTTTGTTCTAGTGGGCCGATTTTGATGATTTTTTATGCAATTTATAGCTAAATTATTTAACTTTTTAGTATTCCTTTCTAAATTGAAAATGAAAGTTTCCTTCTGTCAATTATACGAGAGAAAACAAAATGTTGACATTTTGGTGAAAGTTTGAAACACCCTGTGGAATATGTTAGCAAAGCAAGGAATTTAAAAATTATTTTATCATCTAGGTACATCTTCTTTCGATAGTTTGTTTTTTTGATTCATTTCAATATCTTTATTTTTATTGGAGATATTCGCTTTCAAATAAGACAGAAAACGATCTACAGCGATCTACAGTATTAGTTTTAGCTTTGATTTGGGGTCCTCATAAACGCACTTATAAAATAGTGTTTACTGTTTTTGTAATATCACTGTCATTGAAAAGTCATATTATTATTGTTTATTGACGTTTGTTCTAGTAGAGATAGTTTTAAATTCTTAAGTATCGGCTATTGCTGTTTTAATTGATCATGGTAGAGATCAACTTTTGGACTTAATATCATATCTCTGGTAGAGCAACTGTACCATAGACAAAAATATTATGATTTTTCAAAGACAGTGACATAACATAAATCATAAACACTATTTTATAGGTCTGTTGACTAGGACCAAAAGTAAAAGCATGGTTTTAATTTAAAAATACGAAAAAATGTTAGCGTTGTCTTCAAAAGCGAATATCTCCAAAAAAAAACAACTATCGAAAAAAGATACACCTAGGTGATAAAATAATTTTTACATTCCTTGCTTTGTTAACGTACCCCACAGGGTGTTTCAAACTTTCACCAAAATATCAACATTTTGTTTTCCCTCGTATAATTGACAGATGGGAACTTTCATTTTTAATTTAGAGAGAGATACTAAAAAGTCAAATAATTTAGCTACGAATTGCTTAAAATATGATCAAAATCGGTCTACTAGAACACAATATACAGGGTGGTCCGAACTTTATTCCGGAAACTTCGCCAGCATATTCTGCAGATAAAAATAAGTAAAAAAGTTCGTATGAATTTATGTCCGAAAATGCTTAGTTTCGGAGATACAGTGTGTAGAAGTTTTATTTTGATTTTTTCCAAATAATTTCTGAAGTAACGTCAATAGTTGGATGAAAATTGGTGTATGGGAGTTTTTTGACATGAGAAATTTGATTTTGATGTCAATATGACTCCGATTTGTAGAGGGCGTCACCTACATATGTTTTAACTGTTTTGAAGAGTAATAACTTTTCGTCCTGTATAAAACTACTGAGTGAAAAAATATACATTTCCGTGACTTTTTACGTAAAAAACGTCTTTTGGTAAAAATCGCGAGCAACCATTCTCAAGATATTTAGAATGGAAATAGTCAATACATGTCATTATTGAAAAAAAATAAACACGTTTAGTAGATAGTTATTTGACTGAAAAAATAAATTTGAGAAATTTTTAATTTTTTAAATTAATCATGTATATATATCATTTTTGAAAAAATGATGATAAAACAGTTTCTGTTGAACTTTTGACACAAAAACATTTCAAATTTATGATTTCGGTTGAATAACTATTTAGTCAACATGTTTATGTCAGTGATTACAGGTATTGATAATTTCGATTCCAAATATCTCGAGAACCATTATTCGTAACAATTTTTACCAAGAGACCTTTTCAACGTAAGAAACATTGCAAATGTATATTCTTTTACTCAGTAGTTTTATACAGGTGGGGACGAAAAGTTATTACTCTTTAAACCAGTTAAAAAATATGTAGGTAGTGCCCTCATGGTGTCCTCTACAAGTAGGAGACACATTGACATCAAAATCAAATTTCTCATGTCAAAAAACTTCCAGACACCAATTTTCATCTAAATATTGACCAGAATCAGAAATTATTTGGAAAAAATCGAAATAAAAATGAAACTTTTACACCCTGTATCTCCGAAGCTAAGCATTTTAGGACATACATTTATACGAACTTTTTATTTATTTCAATGTGCAGAATATGCTGCCGAAGTTTCCGGAATACAGTTCGGACCAGCCTGTATAAAATTTTAAAATACATGAAAATTTTAAGGTGCCCGTTTTTCGGGTCGGTGAGTGTATCTTTTTCTATGTCATTTACCTGTAGAATTCATCTTCATGCATTTTTTTGTAGATGTAATTGCTAAAAAGATTTCTTGGGATGGGCTTTGCCTTAAATTTCTTTATTTTCAATGGCATTTCGTCATTGTACACGCAAGGCAAAGATTTGGAGAATCTTCTAGACAATTCTTGTATTTCTTCGTCTCTTCTTGTGAACGAAAACGGCTTCATTTGAGCCTGTAAAGCTGCTTTACGTTTTTCTTTAATAAGATGACTTCTAGAGAAGGAAAATATATCTAGATGTAATGGATGGATATTCTTTTAAATTTACAGTTTTCTTACCTCTTTTCTCGATTTTCCATGATTTTATCGAACAAAGGAATTTGGGATTCTATAGGCACTTCGTGGGCTTTAAATTGTTGAAGTTTCTCTTCCTTAGGTTTGTTGATTTTCAAGAAAAGTTCTTCTACTATTTTATTTTCTTCATCTCTGTATTAATTAAATGATAAACAAGAGATATACCGTACGATAAAAAAAAACGGCTTCTAGTTGGCTTTGAAAGGACTATCGATGACATTCCCCATATAATTTTCCATATAAAATAACAGCGATCTTTATGTCATAGTCATCGCTGAGGCTGTTTTTTCGATCATATTGTATTTTAAGGTGTAAAATAACGAATTAACAAAATGAGGTATAATATAAACTCTACATACCGGGTGCGTCTCAAAAGTGGCTCACCCCTATAAATTTTTTATTTTTTCAGATAAAAAAAGAGATGTGGTATATGTTAGTATATGACATAAATGAGGATTGATTGACGCATTCAATTGTTTTCGGTCACTTTCTGTCTGGTTTCTCACTCCAACTTTTAATTTTTAAATGGCATCCTCGGTTATGCCTCGGTATTTTGTTACTTTATTCGATAGAAAATGACACGCTGAATAGAATTACATATGATTTCATATCAATGACATATCATATTTTTGAATATGCAGTGAGATTCTGTAAGATTTGAAATAGCAATATGCGATTCATAACGACAATTTGACTGATATTTTCAAAATATTTTCTTCATATGCCAGATACTTTACTAATTCAAGCTCAGTATGTGGAAATACCTAGTTATACAAAATTTTCAGTTCAATCGTTTTTACCCGGAGACTCGCGAAGAACTGACGTACTTTTTTTGGCCTACCCTGTAGGTTGATTGATCTGCTAAGTACATGCACTAAGTTTTGTCAGTACCTGTCATTTGGGTCCTATCCAATTTTCATTAAAAAAAATCCCATATGTTACACACTGTGTACTACACTGTATATTGCATTCATCCGTATTGAAAGTCCATATAAAATCAGAAATATCCTCACAGCTAATATACGCATATGGCCAAAATTATTGCATATATCGTTTAAAAATATACGGAAAGGAATTTAACGAATCTTTTTTTATACATAGCTTTGATAATCTGTAATAAACATTTTTTTGTTAAAATGGATATGGTAAACAATGTTTATCGTTCAGACCCAATATTATTACAAATTCTTGCACATTTCGATTTGTGGTCTCTTGGGTTTCAGAAGACATTTGACCATTGTTTTGGACTTAAAATGCCTAGAAACATTATTTCACAGTTTAATAGAGTCAGAATAGTAAGACTGTCTCAACAGGGCTACCAGCAAGTTGCAATAGCTGAAATTGTAGGAGTTAACCAAAGCGATGTTTCGCGAATATTAAAAAAAATCAGTGAGACAAAGGAGGTTACAGACCGACCTGGAAGAGGTAGAAAGAGAGTTACTACTGCTGCGCAAGACCGCCAAATATCCCTAATTGCACGACGCAATTCCCTGCTTTCTAGTACTGCTATATATTAAAAATGAGTTAGCTCGCTTTGAAGGAGTAAATGTTTCAAGAAAGACCATAGCAAGAAGACTCCATGACAGAGGATTACATTTAAGGAGGCCTCTACGTGTTCCGAAGCTTAATTTACAGCACAGCATTACGCGACTACAATGGGCTGAGAAGATGGGAGCAAATGGACCGAATTGGAATTTCGTCATGTTTAGTGATGAAACAAGAATAGGCCTAGTGTCAGACTCGCGACGAACTTTGGCCTGGAGAGCATCTGGAAGGTGAGCACGCTTGAATGCAGCTCAACCCCGTGTCCCGTTTCAAGGGGAAAGCATTTTGGTAGGAGCAGGTATAATGCACGAAGCTCGAACTCCTCTTGTTTTTATTGATGGCACAATGACAGGTGCCTCGCAAAATCATATCTTAGAGACGTTTGAGAGTCTATTGTGCGTCCATTTCGAGGGGGCAGTGGGGGATGAATTTGTTTACATGGACGATAATGCTCCTCCCCATCGCACTTTAGCGGTTCGCGAATTTTGTGAGGAAGAGGGTAGGTATAAGAAAACTGTGGTGGCCACCGATGTCTCCAGATATGAATGTGATCGAACATGCTTGGGACATGCTAAAACGCCATAATTTTACAAAAGGAATGATCCCCCCGTACCTTAAATGAATTGAAAATTGCTGCGCGCGAAACATGGGAAGCCATTCCTCAACATCTTCTGAACAATTTAATTGAGAGCATGCCACGTCGTCTCATAGCTTGCATTGAGGCTCGAGGAGGCAATTAGTTGTGAGAAATAATTAAAATTGTTTTCAATATTTTCTGTTTAAAATTAAATTTGTTTTTGTTGATATTCAATCATTATGAAATAAAATTATAATAACAGCCTAGTTGATTTTACTTAGATTTTTAATTTTATATTAGTTAGTCGTGTAGTAAGCCAATATGTGTAAAAATATAAAAAGAATCATATTAGGTCCAAAATAAAATAAAAATATAGTGATATGCAATAATTTTGGCCATATGTGTATGTATACCTTAAGGTACATTTCGACAAAATATAAACCAAAAGGTTTGAATACAAAAGAATATTTTGCTGTTGAATTGGTTTACCTGACAGTCATTTGAAATGGCTTAGGGATAGTGATTCCATCATATTCTGTCTCTTCCACTGATTTCCTTCTTCTCAATGGACTATTTGGTGCACTCTTGACCTCGGTTGGTAAAGGAGTGTTTTCCTGAGATGGTAAATTGAAGTCTTCAGTAGTAATATCATCCCATTCTGCGGCATTACCGATTTTTTCATCTCCATCATCAGGATTCTTCATCCGAGACTTTGCTCGGAAGTAAGGCTCTGGTGTTACGTCTACAGATGACTTGATACTGGGCGTTTCTATTCTTACAGATCTGAATTTGAAATAATCTGTAGAATCACAGTCTTCTAGCGAATTGTTTTAAATATTATAAATAATCAAGATGCAAAAAAATACAGGGTATGATAGGAAGTGAAATTAAAATTCATTAATGTAATTAATTCACTTATCTATTAAAAAAAAGAACGGGTTATACATTGCAGAGAGCTTTCAAAATTAAAAACAGCCGCTTCGTTCACTTCTCTCTTGTCGCTAACTGCTTTTCTGCACGTAGGCCGAATTCCATTCGCGCGCATCTCCCACTTCTTGACCGTTACGACGGCGCTCAGGGTCGTCTTCGGCGATGGCCTACGATGGTTCAGCCCAAACCGGACGCGGCAGACCACTATGCCGGTAGCGACCGTAAAATATTGTTACAGTCTCCCCTCTGGTTCCGTGGACATTGAGATGTCGAGGGACCAGCACTAGTAATAGTTGGTTTTTCTTCGGGCGGCCTCTTCTTCTGATAGGAACTTTGGGTTCTGTAGCGTCATCTCCACGATACTTGAATATGTTGCTACAGTGATAAATGCCTAAAGGTTGTCCTGGAGTATCAATGTTGGCAATTTCATAAGAGACGGGCGAAACCTGTCTAGTTATGACATAGGGTCCGTCCCTTTTCGGATCAAATTTAGTAGTACTCTGTTTAGTGTGACTACTCTTCGTATGTAGCGTCACAAAAACCTTGTCTCCAACATCAAAAGTAGGCGGATGCATCTTCGTAATAGCTGAAGTTTTCTCTGGATCTACTTGAATGCCATTAGAGGTGATCAAATGTCCCAAATATTTTACTTGGGGAGTCGCAAATGTACATTTATCACGATTCGCACGTAGTTTGTACGTTCTGAGTCTTTCGAAGACACGTTTTAAGTCTGTCATATGTTGATCAAACGTTTCAGATATCACCAGCACGTCATCGAGGCAGGCGAGTATCAGGATAGATGGAAGTCCACTTCGAAATCTGTCGATCAGCTTTTGGAAAGTTGCTGGTGCGTTACGCAGACCGAACGGCATGACCAGGTACCGAAATGTTCCGAACGGGGTCACGAACGATGTTTTGTCTCTATCTGTTTCCCGCACTTTCACTTGATGATATCCCGCACGTAAATCAATGGCTGACATGTATATAGTCTTTTTGGTTGCATGCAGTAGATCGTCCATTCGAGGTAACGGATAATGCACGGGTGTCGTAATAGCGTTCAAAGCTCTGTAATCGCAACATACCCTAGTTTCGCCATTCTTCTTTGGAACGAGTACTACCGGTGCTGACCAAGCTGACTCACATTCTTCTATAATGTCATCTCGTAACATCTTGTCTAGTTCTTGTCGAAGTTTTTCTTTGTTTCCAGGCGTCATTCGGTACGGTGGTACTGAAATTGGTGCGTGTGACTTGGTATCAATATAGTGTTCAGCATAAGGAGTTGGTTCTCCCCCTAGAGCGAAAATATCCTGGTTGGCTTCAAGAAGGTCTGATAACTGCTTATGTTCTTCACTGGATAACATTATGGCTTCATCTGATCTCAAAATTGAAACGGAAAGTACTTCTATATTGGAAATTTTGTGGTCATCTTCATATACCAAGGGATACTTAGTCAAAATATCGTCTGCAAAACTCCAATTTTGCTGTCCGATGTCCAGAACAAGGTTAGCACTTCGAAGGAAATCTATGCCTAGTAAGGTTTTGTCAGCATTGGGTAGAGTCATAAATGTTGTTGGTATATAACGACTTCCTAGTAAAACATCAACTCTCAGAAGTTTTACTTCCTGTTCTTTCACGGTACCATCTGCAAGTTTAATCGTACTTCTGGTTTTTGTATACGGAACGTTGTGTTTCCTTAATGCTTCGTATAATGAGCCACTGGCAACGCTGTGCTTGGCGGCTGTGTCAATCAGTCCTTGACCATTCATTCCTAGTATGTTTATAGGCAAAATAGGACGTGACTGAGGGTAAACAGGAACTTCTACATTGTCAAGAGCACAGAATTCGACAGAAGCTGCGGTGTTGGAACAAGTTGGACAGTTGGATTTAATGTAGCCAGGTCTATTACATCCGTAACATGTCACTTGATTTGATATTCGGGGAGGATGACTTTCCAAGGTCGAATTTGGAACAGATGTCACTGGATTACTTGGTGAAGGCGCTGTAGTCGAAGTTTTTGTTGATGTACTTGCAGTACCTTGTTTCTTTCGGCACTGGTCTTCTGTATGTCCCAAATATTTGCAAAATCGACATTTTGGACGTTTATCGTTAGAAGGCCTGTCAAAATGATCAACAAACGTTTCTTCTACCATGCGACATTCTTTAAGTAATTCGTTAAAAGTACGGATTTTATCTCGAGGTACTTTTTCTCGTATTCGTTTATGTAACAAGCCATAAATCATATCAATCTGCGTCGACTCAGTTAGGGTATTTGCTGGAAGTTGCGCAAGCAATGAACGCGATTGACAGATAAATACATCAGAAGGTGTTCTAATATCTTGTTCTTTTGAAAATATTTCCCGATATACAAGATATGCTGGTTTTCTTGGACCGAAAGTTAGACGTAAAAGATCGAGAGCAGTTTCCCAAGTTGCGACAGTGTCTTTTACTCCGTACCACCACGTAGCGGCAAAATCATCGAGTAGCATAGATAAACCACGCAGAGCGTTCGCGTCGGACACTTTTGAGCAGTCTTTGAAGGTTTCTATAGCGTCTATAAAAGCATTTACGTCAGAGTCTTTGCTACCGTTAAAACGCGACGAACATGAAGAGAAATTCCCTGTTTCCAACGACTGTGTTGACAAATTACTGATGCGTGATAAGAGTGCTTCAAATTGTTGCTGCGTAAGAGTGACGTTTGCTTCTGCCATGTTACGTAATTTAGATGTTTTTCTACTACTGTGGCTCCGTAGCCAGTATCGGTTTTCTTCTGAAGGTTGCAGAGTGAAAAAAAATGTTCAAAAACTTACCGAAATGATGCGGTTTTGAATTTTTTGTTTTCTTTCTTTCAAACCCAAGGTGCTTGGATTGGATGATTTTGTTGAAGTTGGTGAAGCTTATCAGGGTTTAGTGTTGAATTTGCAGCCAAACGACGAGTTTGCACTATGCTGAGTAAATTTCTAGGAATAATGTCCACACACAAATGTTCCAGAATGTTCACTAGCACAATTTACAATGTTCACAAGCACTGTTTCACCACTGACTGTTCACTTTGATAAAAATGTCTATTTTTATCTTTTTAACTTTTAAAAACTCTTCATTTCACAATGTATGGCCCAAGTTGGGACGCCAAATATGATAGGAAGTGAAATTAAAATTCATTAATGTAATTAATTCACTTATCTATTAAAAAAAAGAACGGGTTATACATTGCAGAGAGCTTTCAAAATTAAAAACAGCCGCTTCGTTCACTTCTCTCTTGTCGCTAACTGCTTTTCTGCACGTAGGCCGAATTCCATTCGCGCGCATCTCCCACTTCTTGACCGTTACGACGGCGCTCAGGGTCGTCTTCGGCGATGGCCTACGATGGTTCAGCCCAAACCGGACGCGGCAGACCACTATGCCGGTAGCGACCGTAAAATATTGTTACAAGGGTGATTTACGGTCAAGGCTCGTTAGACGTTTATGGAGAACCGCTGATAGTATTTTTTTAAAAATTTGGATTTTTGTATAAAGGCACCTGCTCTATCTGTCTAAATTAGTTTCAGCATTACAGTCTTGCCACTTCATACTAAAAGTGGTAAAATATTTGTTACTTTAAGTGGAACACCCGGTATTACGTTTTTGAAACTGCTTTCATATCTCATAATTTTTCTGTTATATTAACCTATACCTATCTCTAACAGTTTTTGAGCTAAAAAATAAAATACGTGTAAAATTGACAAGAAGATGATCTTGAATAAGCGTTCGGCATATTGAGAGCTGAAGTTTTTAAAGTTTATAGGTTAAGGAAAGTCGACATATTTATTTGACTTCTCTAAATCAACCGATTGGATATCAAACAGGAAATCAAAAAAAATATTTCCGTTTGTAATAAAATCGCTTAAATCATTGTTATTTTAAATTGAAGCCTATGTATAGGTATTATTTAAAAAATCGAAACATAAATAAGACTGATTTTCAACGATATATCATGTTCATATACCGTATGATAAAAAAAACGGCGTCAGCGATGGCTATGAAATGATAATCGCTGTCATTTTATATGTAAATTTATATGGAAAATGTCATTGATAGTCATTTCCCGGCCAAATGGACGCCGTTTTTTTTCGATCATACGGTACTTAAACCTTCTGGTTTCTTCAGTAACGCCATTTAAAAGATAAGAATTCTAAATGTATACTCTGTTTTTTTTCTCAGGTAAGATTTTGACAGACGATGACAGAAGAAAAGCAGATGACGTCCCATACCAATCTATTTATTTTACTAAAAAAAGTTTCTAATAATTTTTAAGTTAATTATGGATGGGTTTAAATATAAATTCGTCATGCGTCGTCACTTGTTGTTTTTAACCAGTTTTATTGGTTTATTTCAAAAATGACAGATCGTATTTCAATTTAATTGGTTTGACGGAACGATGAATGACAAACGGATGCCGATGCGTATGAACTCGCCTTTAGATTTTTGACGTTTGTCAAAGTCTTGCCAAATTATAGGTTATAATTTTGTGACAACTTTTGTCAAATACCCTGCGTTTTGGAAGATGATGCATTTTGATTCATGTTATTACGTGTGTTTTGTGTCTTTTGAAGTCAAGTGGAGGAAAAATCGAGTGAAAATTAACTGTAGAATCCAGAGCACAGTTTATGGTTAATACTCGCTGCCCAGGCAGAAAGTCTTATACAGATACACCAATAAAGTTACTATCAATAAAGTTCGTATACCATCTCGTCGTAGATAAGTGCATCTCGAATATGGTGCATCTGGAATATGGGAAATAAGGACCATACTAAACACATATTAAAAACTGGAGTAGCTGTAAAATATCGACATCGCACGATTGGTAAATAATGGATTTTAGTACTGCAGAAAAATAATGTCAAAAGGTACTGGTTTAAAAAATTAAGATTAAAGTTAATTAATCAACCTGTGAGGTATAAAATTTGGTAAGTGTTATTATTAATAAAATAGTTTGTTTTATTTATGTTGTTTTATTTATTCCTGCGGAATATTACAAATTTGTATTTGTACATAAGTTATATTGATAAATATAATCATAAATGCGGGAAGTTTCATAAAGCTTGAAAGTAAGAAATAGTTATTTTTTATATTTTTTTGGTATGTGGTGTCTTGTTTATGTTTGTTTTGTATTAACTCATACCCTTTTTTATTAAATAAAATAACTCGATTACATTTTTTTAGTTTTATACAGTTTTTTTCACAATATTTTGAAGTTACTTGTCAGTCAAATTTTAAATACATATATTAATTTCCTGTTATGCGTTCCAGTTGTACCAACTTATTTCTTTGTAAAATAAAATAAACTACTTTGAAATTAAAATGACAGACACATCTATCACTGTCAAGGATCTTCTCGTTGGACAGACTATAGTTGTTTTGTTTAAAGAACACCGTTACTATGACAAATATTCAAACTTTATAAGTATCAATAATTAGACTTTACTTGTAATGGAGTGCCCAGAGACTTTTACCTCGGAATTCAATTACTGTGAATGTATTAATGTGAAACCTTCTGTATTGTGTTTTATAGATAAAATACTAAAATGTTTACCAATTTTTTTTTTCGTTGCTTTTAATTTTTCATTTTAGTAATTTTAGTAAATTCTTAATTATTTCCCTCTTATAATATTTTGATTTTTTAATTCTGTTTCTAAGTAAATTTATTGAAATAAATAAATCTAATGCATAGTATGCACCTATTCTGCTTATATTCTAATCATTGAAATTTTGATTGAAATCGAATTATAGAGGGTGGCGCGTCATATGCGACGCGGTTTTTGCAAGGAGAACAAAAGTTTGTATTGAAGTGAAATTTTCTGAGCTTATGTAAGTCAATTTAAAGTATTTTCTAAAATTATGTAGAGTTCTACAGGGTGTCCCCAAAAAAGTTACACATCAAAGTTATGTTTTTTTGTAATGGAACACCCTATATATTAATTGATTTTTGGATTCTAGTAAAAAAATAAAGGTTTGTTTCATTAGAAAATTATAGGACTAAAATGTATAGTTTTTGAAAAACATTCACCGGCACGAAAAATGGACATCTTAAAACTTTGATGTATTTTAAAGGTTAATATATTTTATTTTAATGGGCCGATTTTGATGATTTTTTAAGCAGTGTGTTGCCAAATTACTTGACTTCTTAGTATCTTTTTCTCAATTAAAAATGAAACTCCCCATCTGTTAATTAAACGAGGGAAAACAAAATGTTGATATTTTTTATGAAAGTTTGAAACACCCTGTGAAATACGCTAAAACAGCAAGAAATTTAAAAATTATTTTATCATCTAGATATATCCTTTCTCGATGGTTTGTTTTTTGGTTTATCTCATTAGCTTTATTTTTGTTGGAAATATTCAGTTTTAAAGAAGGCACTAACATTTTTCGTAATTTTTACATTAAGACCATGCCTTTGCTTTTGGGCCTAGTCAACACATCTAGTAAGTTCTGGTCCCGAAACAGTCCTTCTTGACATAAGATTTGCTTCATTTAATCTTCTTCTTGTAGTCCGTTAGTTAATATGTACGGTTCTTAAGTGCAATTCATTATCAATTTGAAAAGCTGGCAAAGGGCGGTTTCTTAGCGATAATAAGTCGATCGTCTCGAATAGAAGTTCTCATACGAAGGTTCCCGGACGTCCAGATTGACGTCCTCATGGACGTGGTCATAATTTCATAATTCAAAAACCACTTAGTATACTCTATGGTATTAAGGTATTTTTGGAAACAGAATTTTATAGCAAAATTCACTAAACTCGAATAAATAAATGATATATATTTGACTCACCCTGTATATCTATAAAAATATGAATCTTGAAGAGTTGTACAATTTATAATTACAATAAATGAGTTGTGTAAATGTTAACAGCTCTAACTAATTTTATTTCTCCCGAGTGGTTGTACTTCCTAGGTGACTTTTGTGTGAATATGCTTTTATTTTAAAGAACACAAGTTTAATTAAATTAAAATAAAAAATAATTCTTCTACATATATAAATTAAAATAAATATTAAATTTCTAAAAATTAAACTAAAGTAAATATTAATTTTCTACAATATATAAATTTGAAATATAAATTAAAATTCAACATATAGGTACTAATTAAAAAATAAAAATATAAACATAATTCTTAACTTGTTCTTAACTAACATAACTAAAAAATTTATCCTACAAAATTGAATATCAGCATATACAGATTGAAATAATTAATTCTCAACTTACCTTACTAATACAAAAAAAGCTTAAGTAAATTTCTTTGAATTGTGCCTTGAGGTATGATTTGATTATTGCCTTGTTTTTTTTTCTTTCAATTTATCTAATTATAGTTTATTATACGGCTCCCCTCACCTTATGATTTTAGTCTAGTTGTTTTTAATTTTTCAAATTTAGCATACCATATTGTTATCTGTGATTGAACAATTTTTGTGATAGATATAATTTTTTGACTTTGTAAAAAAATTTTGACTTTTTAACTTGTTGTGATTGTATTTTATAAATTTGACCTCTGTAATTGTTTTAGCTTTGGGCCTGATGATGGGAATAGTTTAAATTCCCGAAACATGTCGCCCCCCTTGCTTTTTTAAGCATTAAAATTTAAATTAAACAACTTAAAGATTGTGGGTTATTTTAACCCGCCTTCAAAGGTTTTGCTTTGATATAAAAATATGTTTGAAATGTGAACTACCATTAAACATATTTTGTAAAAGGTTTGGAGTGAAAATCTCAAATAGGAATCCCGATACAGAGCTTTTCCGGAAAAACCGAGCCGTCTTGTATGTATGCATTTGTATATGTGTGTTTATTTAAATACTAAAGTGAAAGCAACGAATTTAAATAGGTAAACTTTGTAATATATCTTATTAACAATACAATGCAAAAAGTTTTATAAAAATTCTTTCACGGTAAATGAATTCCGAGGTTTGTATCTCATAAGGGCTTAAAGCACTCCACTATTGCAAAATTTCTAAAATAAAATTGTTATGGTATGTTTTGTCAATTTTACACATGTTTTATTTTTTATCTCGAAAACTATTAGAAATAGGTAATTATAAATGAAAAATTATAATTATGAGATGGGGTGTTCCATTTAAAATAAGAAAGATGCTACCACTTCTCAATGCGGCAACGTTGTAACGCAGAAAATATTTTACATAAACGGAGCAGGTGCCTTTATGTAAAAATCCAAATTTTCAAAAAATTCTTTTACTGGTTTGTGCTTTCACAAAAATGTGATTTTAGAGCACATTAGAGGTGCTAAATTACATATGATTAAATTAACCTTCTAGAAGGTGGTTTCACAATCCCCTCTTTATCTGATAGCGATAGATGATATTCATCATCCAAGTAAGATTTCTTTGGTACAGGAATTGAGCAAAATGGTTTCATTGACGATTTTTTTCTAATTGTGGAAGTTTTTGTATTATTTTCACTGACTTTTATGTTTTTGTAGTCTTCAATCCACTGGGGAGTATCCTAAAATAATCCATTTTAAAAAACATTACATCGTGGCGATCGTGGTAAAAACGCCGCCATAGCCTACTATGACGACATTTTTATTCGATATCAATCGCTTTGATTAACTTTTATTTCAAGTTTGAGCTGGTTGTGCATGTAATCACAAAATTCCCTATGCTTGTCTTTGAGATGTTCAAGTTTTCTGTAAAATTCTTGATTGGATAAGTGATTGATTTCGTGATATTCCGGTATACTGTCGTAGAAGTCAATGAATAGGCTAGAGTCATTTTTTGAGTCGATAATATTTGATTTCATCCTAGTAATAGAAACAAATACTTAAAAGTTATTTTTTTTTCAAATTATTTTTCTTACTTTTCATTTAGGTTCTTAGTGACTTCGTTATGGAGCTGGTTAAGGAATTTTTGATCGTACAGTGTTTGGGATCTTTCAGTTATTGAATTTCGAGGCACCTTAATACAATTGTTGTTATAAACTGATGATTGGTGGTCAAACATTGTATCTATAATGATTTGATTTCTAATTTACCAGTTCATTGTCAAAATCTGCCCCTATAGCTGCCATAGGAACGTGTAAACAAATTCAGGACCGTAATTCCAATAACTTTTTTGAGTATCTTTTTTACTATCGATATTTTTTAAGAAAACTAGAATTTGTGTGGCTTATTTAAGGAATTAAAATTTATTTTAATTATATATTTTATATCGCTATATGTAAAACGAAAATACTGCACAATACGAAGCACTATCACCACCGTTTAATACTCTAAATAAAGTGCGCAAGTGCTACCCTGTACTGGGAAATTTATTGATCTGTTTTTCGTTGTGGGAGAGATTTTCATGATTGTTTACCTTCATTATGTCATAAATTGTAAATTTGCTACAGGGTGTTATATATGCGTCAGGTATATTTTAAATGGAGCTGCAATCAAGAAAATTTGATGTTGATTCGATATTTCTATGCTTACCATTTTCATGGCTTATAGAAGGCAAAACTTTACTGATACAAACAGTAGAGAACTTTTCTTTAAAAAAGCTATTTATTTTATTTTAGGTACATAGGTTCATTATCTTAGGTGTCTTTTAGGTATTCTTTAGAGATATTAAAGGAATATAAATTTAAGCTGTTATGCGGACTCTTTTCAGAACGATTTATTTAATAATAAATTAATATTATTTGTTTGCAGAATTTATTTACAGATACTTATTAAAATTGGCGCCGGGAGGCCCATACTGAAATTTGTTAATAAAAAGTTGGTAGGCAGTTCTTTTAGTTTCAATTATCTCAAAAACTGCGACTTTGACTGATTTTGATGTTATTACAAATTTTGTTGCAAATATTATTCCTAATCTTAAATTAAAAACCGCGTTTCGCTAGCTACTGTAATTTTGGAGTTACGATTTTTTAAAATTTTTAACCCCCTCCCATACCCCCTTACCAACCCCCCACCCCCACCAAAAACTAATGGCCAAATTCTCGGGTGCCACAGTATTTTTGTGCCAAATTTGTTAAAATCTGTTAATTTGTTAATTGTTAAAATCGGTTTAGCGGTTTTTGAGTTATCGTGTTACAGACAGACGGGCAGACGGACAGATAGACAGACAGTACACCATCAAAATATTTTGTATTTAGGTCATTTATGATCCAAATAACTCACTTTGAGTGAAATTAAAAAAACTTTTTTTTGCCTACCATACCTGTTGCTATGGTCGGCTAAAAAGTATGTTTTAGTAATAGCCTTGTTTATATATTTTTATTCATATACAAGGGTAATAGTAAAGTAAAAAAATATTTAGTATATATAATTATATTATAGTTAATATACAATTTAAGGTAATGTAAACTAGTGTCTCGCTTCGTATCTGTAGTCTGTAGTAAGTCTGCCCCGCCGCGCGCCGTTGCTGGCTCTCGTTGTGTACCTCCTATTATGTAATAGATCACAGATCGAATAGACTAATTCAATGACTGTATTATACAGGGTGGTCCTAACTGTATTCCGGAAGCTTCGCCAGTATATTCTGCAGATAAAATTAAGTAAAAAAGTTCGTATAAATGTATGTCCTAAAATGCTTAGTTTCAGAGATACAGGGTGTAGAAGTTTCATTTTTATTTCGATTTTTTCTAAATAATTTCTGAAATAACGTCAATATTTGGATGAAAATTGGTGTCTGGGAGTTTTTTGACATGAGACATTTGATTTTGATGTCAGTATGACTCCTACTAGTAGAGGGCGCCACCTACGTGTGTTTTAACTGTTTTGAAACGTAATAACTTTTTGTCCGTACCTGTATAAAACTACCGAGCGAATAAATATACATCTTTGGAATTTTTTACGTAAAAAATATCTCTTTTTAAAAATCGCTACGAGCAACCGTTCTTAAGATATTTAGAATGGAAATAGTAAATACATGCCATCATTGACGAAAAATAAACACGTTGAGTAGATAGTTATTTCACTGAAATAATAAATTAGGGAATTTTTTTTAATTAATCATAAATTTTTCTGCAAAAAATGATGATAAAACAGTTTCTGTTGAACATTTGGCACAAAAACATTTCAAATTTATGATTTGAGTCTAATAACTATTTAGTCAACATGTTTAATTTATGTCAATGATGACAGGTATTGATAATTTCTATTCCAAATATTTTGAAAACCATTTTACTCGTAGCGGTAAAAAACGTCGTAAATGTATATTTTTTTACTCAGTAGTTTTATACAGGTACAGACTAAAAGTTTTATTACTCTTCAAACCAGTTGTTAAAAAATATGTAGGTGGCGCCCTCTACTAGTAGGAGTCATATTGACATCAAAATCAAATTTCTCATGTCAAAAAACTCCCAGACACCAATTTTCATCCATCGTCATCGACATCCATCGTCATCCAGACACCAATTTTCATCAAATCGAAATAAAAATGAAACTTCTACACCCTGTATCTCCGAAACTAGCATTTTAGGACATACATTTATACGAACTTTTTTACTTATTTTTATCTGCAGAACATGTTGCCGAAGTCCGGAATACAGTTCGGACCACCCTGTATATATTGTGTCAACTCCAATTCATGTCAATGTCAGGTCTCCAAAGGATGTTGATTCGATGTTTCGATGCTTACCATTTTCATGGCTTATAGAAACTTTACTTACAAATAATAGAAAACTTTCCTTAAAAAAACTATTTATTTTTAGTTTAGTTATTAGGGCTATTAAAGGAGTGTAATTTTAATGCAGTTATGCAGGCTCTCTTCAGAACCATTTATTTAAAAAACAAATTAATATTTTTTGTTGGAGAATTTATTTACAGATACTTATATTACTTTGTATCGAAAAAGCATGTTTTAGTGCTCTAGAATTTTTAATCAGTTATGTTTATATAACAAAGTTGCAAATCTATGTATTTGGCCTGACAAATAGAGTACAATGTATACCTTGATAAGAATTTCTGTTGTATATTGTTTACATACAATAGTTCAATGAACGAACGATTTCAAAAATGTAGGTCAATACGACAAAAATTATGCAATGTAGTAACCCGTTAAATATCGATATAAAGATGGGTAAATTGATAAAGATACGAAACAAAAAATGTTATATAGGTTTTGCATGGTTTAGAAAGGCTGAAAGGAGCGTATCTTTAAAATATTTTGTTGCATACATGCAGTGTTGCCAACTCTTTGAAATAGAATTTCCCACGAAGATGATCAAAATTGCCTCCTTTTTCCAGAAATTCCCACGGGTTCTCAAATCCCATATAGTATCGTCAACACAAAACAGATTATTTTTTTTAACAAAAAATTTAAAAAAATGCCAAAGAAATTTCGAAATATACTTTTTTGCCCCAAAAAAAACTTCTATGCGTGTTCCTGGAATCGAAATATACCATCCTTAGGAATGTTTGCACTGACCTATTTAAAATTCACCATGTAAGGGAGGGGGTACAAGAATAATGTCTGATGCTAATTTAATCATTTGAATCACCCTGAGAAATGCGTTAACGATAACTATTTTTTACGAATAATACATGAATTTAAAATTTCCCACGAATATGGTATTTTGGATTAAAATTTTCCTTTTCCCACGAATCGGGTAATTTCCCACGAGTTGGCATCACTGTATACATGGTGTCCGAAAAACGGAATGATGAAGTTGTAAGTAGTGATCAAGTTGAACTGGTGATTCAAAAGAATTGTCACAAATATCGGGGATGATTGCTGGCATTATTTTTAATTTAAAAACTTTTACAAATAATAATAGTCCTGGCTGACTAGCTGAAATGGTAGCAAAAAATAAATCACTTTGAAATTACTTCCCAACGAGTTAAGTTTGTTTTATGAAATTTTGTGGTCTAAATAACCATCTAAAGACACTTTTGTGAAAAATATGCAACGGCACTGGCGATTGCATTGTTAACTTTCGTTTAATCAAACCTTAACTTTTTTTCTGCAAAGACCGGTATTTCATTCACCGAAATTCATAAAGCCAACTTGATACGTTTAGGAGCTACTTCAAAATTTGATAATTAACTTATTAATTTATTAACTTTAAAATTTAGCCAGAAATTATCTCCCGAAGTTAGCAACTAAAATATAATTCTTTTAAATTTGAATTTGACAAATAGAAGTTTAAAGAAAAAAGAATTAAGTTAAAAGAATTTTAAAATTGTAAACTGGATGAGTTGCTTAAAATGATTCTGGAAGATCTCATTTTTAATCCACTGTATACCGAAAATGATGGTAAGTGCAAAGTATACTAAACTATACCGGGTGCGTCTCAAAAGTGGCTCACCCCTATAACTTTTTTATTTTTTCAGGTAAATAAACGAGATTTGGTATATTAGTATAGGACATAAATTAGGATTGATTGGTGTATTCAATTGTTTTTGGTCACTTCCGGTTTTACCGGAAATGACTACAACTTTTGATTTTCAAATGGCACCCTCGGTATTTTTTTACTTTATTCCATAGAAAATGACCTTCTGAATAGAATGACATATCATATGTCAACTTTAGACATTCTCGCTTATTATAAAATTGTATTTTAAAATTCAATCTAGGGTGCCATATGGCTATGTTTAAAACACTAATTCTTCATAAAGGAGCCTTGGAAAAAGAGATTCGATCGTCTAATGTTTTTAGTGTCTTGTCCTGGCCAGTTAGAAAATGCTCTATTCGTATTTTTAATCATATCTCAATTTTTTCAAATGGAACGAGGGTGGCTCATTAGCATATTTGGAAAAAGCATTTTTTTACGATTAATTATTTTTTTACGGTTAATGTGATACCACACACTTGGTATATTTCAAGTCAAATTTTCGTTACGAACCGCTTTAAGAAGTTTTAACTTCAAATAATCCATATGCGAAAATGTCAAAAGTTGACATATGATATGTCATTCTATTCAAAGTGACATTTTCTATCGAATAAAGTAAAAAAATACTGGGTGTGCCATTTAAAAATCAAAAGTTGTAGTCATTTCCGGTGAAACCGGAAGTGACCGAAAACAATTGAATATGTCAACCAATCCTAATTTATGTCATATACTAACATACCAAATCTCGTTTTTTTAACTAAAAAAATAAAAAAGGTATAGGGGTGAGCCACTTTTGAGACGCGCACCCGGTATATTTTTGAAATTAGCTAATATGTCTACCGGATGATTCTAAAATATGTGGGGGTTTCCATTTAAAAAAAAATCAAGATAGCGTCGTATCTGTCAAAATTGACGCTTAAAAAAAAATCAGATAAAAAATCGGCATCCTCGCGCAAAATTACATTAGAAAATCATACATGATGTGAAATGTCAAAACAAGGAAAGTCCTATGATTTTTTCCATACTAAAAAATCTACCCTATAGTCAAGATCTGAGGGAACGAAAATAATATATCATAATACTGTATTTCTTTTTGTTTATTATTAGGTTGAAAATAATATATCATAATACTGTATTTCTTTTTGTTTATTATTAGGTTCTGGTTACACTTAAAGAGAGGCGAACATTATATAAACGTATAAAAATGTATTTATATACTATATATAGATATAACTTAAAATTTAATAACACCTAATACTTCATGTAGGTTAGGTTAGGATGACCCTTTAGGAATTGAATATCTATAATAAAAAATGAATATAATAATAAAATGTATAAAAAGCAAATGATAATATGATAATAAAAAAATCAAAAAGTATATTATTACTTATACTTTTAACTTAATACAGAGTGTCCGAATATTCCGTGGACATAGAACTACTATATATTTTTGGAATAAATATGTAATAGTAAAAGTATAACACATTTTTTCAGATATTTTAACAACCGTTATTCCGATTTGAATGATTTTTGGTCTCTATGTTATGTTACCCCCACTCCTACATAAATTTTAGTATAAATACTTTCCAACTCAACCAACGGTCGATTTTTTTTGGTAAGTGATTCATCTAGTATTACTATTATACTACTTTTTTATCTTTCTTCCAAAACATGTTTTTATCACATCAGACTATGGAGGAGCATAAAATTTATTATGTTCTAATAATCTAGTTGGCGAAAATAGGGAATTTTATGTTGTATCATAAATTATATTTAACAATAAGCTTCATAAAAAGCTTAAAAATATATAAATTTTAAATTAATTAACGTTTGGGATTATTTTTGATTGATGCCCTATAACGGACAAACAAAGTAGTAGTTGTATTTTACGGAATATTCGAACTCCCTGTATATTTTTAGGTCTGCTTTGGAAAAATAAATTTTTAAAATAAGTTTTTATCAAAAATTCACAAAAAATGTAGTAAATACTACAGGGAATATTTTACGAAAAGAAAAGATGTCGTCGGTGGTGTTATATTTAACTAAAGTGGTTTAATTATTAACTAAGGTAGAAAATATTTATACTAAAACTTATGTAGGGGTGGGGGTAGTTTACACCCTTCCCGTACTTTTTCTTGATTTTTGTGGAAGTCAAATGTTAAAGCACTTAGCAAAACATAGACACCCAAAATCTTATTAAAATCGGAATAAGAGTATCTGAGAAAATGTATTTACTTTTTCAAAGTTTGATGCCCTCTAGCGGACAAACGAAGCAGTTTTAAGGAGGTAAATTGTATCCAATGAATATATTTTGATTCGAAAAACACTTATTAGTTTTATGTTCTATGGCTACGGAATATTGGGACACCCTGTATATTATTTTGGTAGGTTAAATAATTCTATTCATAATTTACCTACCTTAGTTACAACATGAACCATTTTCATAAAAATATTCGGCATTTAAACTGGATTTGGGGGTTGTAGAGTGGCATCTTGAGGACCTTTTGATTGAATGGTACTGTCATTAATAACTTCTGGCATTCCTTGTCCCAAATCAAACCTACAACAAATAATGAGTTAAAAAATACCATTTTTGATATATTAAAATAGTTATAAATGGTTAAAAGAAAAATATTTTTAGCATATTTGAATAAACCTAACCTTGAAAAATAGCACGATTCGGGAGAATATAAGCAAGGATTACTAGGATGACTGGATTCTGGAAACATGTTCCTTGGGTACATCATTTCTTGTTGATGAACTGGTCCCACGTTGAAATTTTCGTAACAATATGGAGGGCATTTGAGAAAATCCTGTAATGAGATATAAATTCTAAATAATTATTAATTCACGTGAAACTTTAACATAACTAGAGAGAGACTACTAATTTAATATGATATTATACAGGGTGAGTCTTAAATAAGTGGAAATATTTTAAGGGCTTGTCGATCTCGATAAAAGAAACAAAAGCAAGTAAGTCCAAAATAACCTTTTTTTTAGTTTAGTTATTTTACTTTGAAAATTCCTAAAAAAGATTTTTTTGCTTAAATTTTGAGAATCACTGGATCTTTTCTGGTTTTTGTTTATTGTAAATTTACTCTACTATCTATGTTGCTATATTATGAGGATATTATGTTTTTTTAACTAAAAATAAAAAAAAAAACATTTTTTTTAAAAATTCTAAATTTTTCAAATATTTTTCGCGAAAAAAACCTCGTAGTCGTGTTTCTGGGGTCGAAATATACTACCCCTAAAAATATTTGCACTTATTTAAGACTCACCCTGTATATATCATATATGTATAATATTATACAGGGTACTTTACGGTGATGACAGGTTAGACGTTTATTGGAATCAGGTTACAGGATTTTTTTGAAAATTTGTATACCAACCTACTATGGAGTGTAGTAGCTACCCTCATGACAAAAACATTTTCAACAAAATCACAATTTCAGCGTATCTACTAAAATTACAAATATGAGTTATGTGTTAAGAAAAGCCAATATTTAGGACGTGTTTAAAATAACCGATAGTACAGGGAGTTGAAAAAAAAATATTTTCACTTCTTAGAAAATTGCCGAAATCCTCTTTATTTTAAATTGAACCCTACGAACGTTATTGTTAGTTACAGCGCTTTCAGATGGTTAGGTTAGGTTAGGTTAGGATCCGTCCGCCATATACGTATTATTTAAAAATATACTCAGCCTAATCTCCAAAAAGTGAAGCCCAAACAGTGAAAGAGAAATACGGAATTCTGTATAGGTCTATTTCACCCGGATATTCATTTAACTGCGCATGCCTTACCTGAAGAAGTTTTCATTGGTCGGTGTTTTTAAAGGGAAGTGGTTGACTGACATTTCACCTAACCTTCAATTTTATTTATATTTTTATTATTTATAACACATTATCATGGAGTTGGAAAAATATCAAAAAATAGTTGGAAACAATAAACTAAACAAAATTACTCTTTTACGCGCACAATTTTTTATTTTTTATTTTAATAAAAAGTAATCCAAACAGAACTAAAACAACAATCAATCGGAGTTTGGCGCAAGTGCAGTTCAATCCATATCCGGGTGAAATAGACTTATGCACTTTTAATATGGAGCTGGGTTATGTTGTCTTCCTCTTACGGCATAGAAACTGCACACGGGGTTAAATAGGGAACCCTGAGTATATTTTTAAATAATACGTATATGCCGTTCGCGCGGATGTTTTTTCAAGATAGCCGTCGACGAACTCATCCGGACGGAGCATACGCGACCCATGTGAAATTGTTCATATAAACTCATGGTACTTGCTCGAAGTCGTGGACGCTCTGCTCTATCTGAAAGCACTGTTAAAAAATCAAACAACTAATAAAATTGTTTTTAAACGGTAGATCAAATCCCTCTCTATACATCAAAATTTCTTTTTTGCCATGTAGAGGCATTTAAAAAATAGAAATTCACAATAGTTTTTATTTTAAGCAAATCGATACATATACACATATCATGATTAATGTTCAAACTTTATAAATATCTGCACATAATATTAGGTATATCAGGGTGGTCCGAAAAATAAGTAAAAAAGTTCGTATAAATGTATGTTCTAAAATGCTTAGTTTTAGAGATACAGGGTGTAGAAATTTCATTTCTATTTCGTCTGGGAGTTTTTTGACGTGAGAAATTTGATTTTGATGTCAATATGACTGCTACTAGTAGAGGGCGCCACCTACATGTGTTTTAACTGTTTTGAAGCGTAATAACTTTTTGTCCGTACCTGCATGTATAAAACTACCCAGGGAAAAAAATATACATCTCTGTGACTTTCTACGTAAAAAATTTCTCTTTGTAAAAATCGCTACGAGCAACCGTTCTCAAGATATTTAGAATGGAAATAGTTAATACATGTCAGTATTGACGAAAAATAAACACGTTGAGTAGATTCACTGAAATAATAAATTTGGGAAATTTTTATTTTTTTAAATTAATCATAAATATTTCTGCAAAAAAATGATGATAAAACAGTTTCTGTTGAACTTTTGGCACAAAAACTTTCAAAATTATGATCTCAGTCTAATAAGTATTTAGTCAACCTATTTAATGTATGTCAATGATGACAGTAGTTTTAGTTTTATATACGAAAACGAAAGTTTATCGGACGAAAAGTTATTACTCTTCAAATCAGTTAAAAAATATGTAGGTGGCGCCCTCTACTAGTAGGAGTCATATTGATATCAAAATCAAATTTCTCTTGTCAAAAAACTCCCAGACACCAATTTTCATCCAAATATTGACGTTACTTCAGAACTTATTTGGAAAAATCGAAATAAAAATAAAACTTCTACACCCTGTATCTCCGAAACTAAGCATTTTAGGACATACATTTATACGAACTTTTTTACTTATTTTTATCTGTAAAATATGCTGCCGAAGTTTCCGGAATACAGTTCGGACCACTCTGTATATGATACCTATTCAAAAACGAAATTTCCATTGATAGTTCTTGGAGATAGATAGTAAATAGATAAGATGTAAACAAAGACGTTTCAACATTATAGTTAATAAAAATAAAAATAATGTTACTTGTTGGTTTTGTTCTCCATAGCATCCATCACAAGACATCCCGGGAGGTTGTACGCCGCAAGATACATAAGGCCAGTTAGTAGTGTAAACGCATCTAGGTTGGGGTTGAGGAATGTATGTAAGCTGTTGTCGACAATTAGTAGGAAAACCTTAAAAATAAAACACCATTCCCATTACAATTAGTTCTAGAATATACACTACTGTTAATATAACGCACCGTTAATATTGTTACAAATATTTCTTCTTTCTTGGTGAACAATGCTGCTAGTGCAGAAACTTCCGCATTGGCGTGCTCTTGTATGAAAACATCTCAGAAAAGGATATGTACTGGTAGATGTACATTGCCTTGGACCTAAATACAATGATGCTTATAAAACACTTAAAATACTCCAAATGTTCAAAGAAATATTCAGAATAATTGTTTTTAAATGTTTATAATTATTTCATTTTTGTTTCCTAAAATATTTTGATTAAAGGAAAATATGCCAAAGTCGGCAACGTTGTACCGGTCGAAGTTAATTACGTGACCAAAAGTTTATTTGGTATGAACTTTATATTAGAAAGAATAAATGATTTAATAAAAATGTTTTATGGAGTAGAGTACCTAATATAATTACAGTACAGGATCGGGTTTAGGGTGTTTCAACATAAAAAAAAAGTTTTTCTTATGCTGTTGAAAAGTTGAAAGTAAAATTTAAAAACAAAAATTTTGGCGCCTAGTGGCCTAGTAGAACCCTTAATGTTAATATTAAGGTTTGCCTCAATTTATTTGTTGTTTTTCTATTTAAATCACACGGATAGTTTTTTATTTTTGAATCTTAATAATTTCGGAATGGTTTGTTTCTGCAACAAAAATCAAAAGATTTATAGAAAATTTGACGTTCTACAAAAAACGTCTAAAGGTCAAAATTCCTCAGATCAACCGACTCAAAGATATCAGCGATCAAAAATAGCACCAATCGAAAATTTCAAATATTTTCCAATAAAACTACAAAAGAATATCATACTCGATATTTATATAATTTTTACTGTAAAATCATTTCAATTTTGTTAACCTATGACTGTAACCAATTTTTTTTGTTAATATATAAATATAAAGCTTAAAAATATCAAATGAATCAGTTTTGGCTATCTTTTATAACAAATTTATTTATATTTTATAGAATTTAAAAATTTGTCTAAAAATAAAATTCAAAGTTCCTTATTAAGGTGTACGCGCACTGAATCGGTACCAGTCCGGCGAAGGCGGTGACTCGACTATCGTAGATAGGTAGAGGTAGGAATCTGGCCTCTACAGGCCGAAATGTTTTAGTGGACGCCGCACAATGGATCGAAGCATAGGAAGATAGGGACATTGGCTGTTTTTGAAGAGTTCCAAATTTAAATATTTTTTTACATATTTGTGTTAAAGAGATATTCTAGTCTTGTAAAACATATACAGTATGTCTGTTTGTTATTTACTTATTGAGCATATGAGCACCATTTGAAGTAAATTGAAAAATCATTCAAATTGGTAGATAAAGAGTCTTACATTTGATTGTAATTTTAAAATGGATGTAAAAGATATTTGTTTGTTATATATAACGACTTATTAGAAGCGTTCTTGGGCTATAGTATTGGATTGTTAAGTTTAAAAAAAAGTGACACCAGAAGTGAAAAACTCATTTGTTTTCTATTTATGTCATTAAGACTTAAAAATATAAAGTTTTCTTGAATTACAAAAAAATGTAAGCGGATGTAAGGGGAGATATTACGTGCAATGTAAAGAGCCACCTTTACTAGCACATATCATAAAAAAATTGGCTGCCCCAAAGTGCCACTGCAAAAAATATAATGTTTTTAATGTCAAAATCCTTGAATTTATGCAATGCACGCACAGTGCACCATCAAACAATTTGTAATTTGCCGATATAGGTAAGTATATTCGTCGAAGAACATTGGAGTGGGACTGAATTACACTACAATACATAAGGCATATAGGTTGAAAGGCCCAGAAATGCTTTCGTTTTGGTATTCGGTATTCGGCAATTGAATTGGTATTCGGCAATTTGTCGAGTTTGCCGTGGACGCGCATCACGCGTTGCTTTGCAGAATATATTTACAATTTTATTTTAGATTTAGGGAGGAAATGGGTTTGATAGTCGATGTCGTTAAACAAGGATGGGGTACAACTATCGATGGAAACACTGCGAGAAGATTTTTCCGAAACTTCGAAAAGTCATAACAAATTACAGGAATCGATGATTTGATTGCTAGAAAGACTATATACATTATTCCAAGTTTTGGTTTCAGGAAAAAAAAATAAATGCCGAAAAGTTTAATAAATTTGCAAAAGAGACTGCAGAAGAGTTAACCTTTATGGATGGTATTACATGCCATCTTCTCTACACAAAATTTTGATACATGGAGCAAAAATCATCAGCAATTTTTGGTTTCCGATAGGGCATCTGTCTGAAGAGACCTCAGAGTCTAGGAATAAATACTTTCGGAAATATAGAGAATGCCGTTCAAGAAGGTCTAACAGAACTTTTGCAAATGAAGACATTTTACATAACCTTTTGTTGTCTTCCGATCCATATATAACTGATATGCGTAGCTGTGATAAAATTCATAGCGATTTAACAGAGAAAGCAATATCTCTTTTGTTATAATATTTTTGTTTTCTTTTTTATTTAGAGATTAGTTCTTTTGTGAGTCACCCTGTATATTTTGTTAACTATTTGGTACAAAAGGCCATATTAATTTAGATTTAACAGAGAAAGTAATTTCTCATGTGTTATAATGTTTTGTTTTCTTTTTTGTTTATAGATGAGCTCTTTTTGTAAGACCCCCGGAATATTTTTTAAAATATCTGGTACAAAAGGCCATATTAATTTAGATTTAACAGAGAAAGCAATTTCTTTTTTGTTATAATATTTTTGTTTTCTTTTTTGTTTAGATATTAGTTCTTTTTTGAGACACCCTGTATATTTTCTAAATTATATGGTACAAAATGCCATATTAATCTAGATTTTTGTTGTATTTATTGAAGTGGTACATAAAAAACAGTAAAATAAAAGTATTAATTACGAAATAAGTCAATGTCCCTATTTTCCTATGCTTCGATCCATTGTGCGCCGGCGCCGTCTATATGTACGATGATCGCAGTCGCTTTTGCTGGTCGGTCCGATCCGATGCAGTACGCGCGGAGCTTTACACTAACTAACCAAACCCCATCATTGTATTTTATTTAAAAAAATCGTAAAGTAATATTTTTATTGGAAAATACTTGAAATTCTGGATGATCTGATAAACTTTGACCTTCATACGTTTTTTGTAGAGCGTAAAATTTCTTATAAATCTTCTCGCGAGGATGTGGCGGAAACAAACCATTCCGAAAATATAAAAATTCAAAAATAAAAATTCCGTGTTATTTAAATGGAAAAACAACAAATAAATTGAGGCAAGCATTAATATTAATATTAAGGGTTCTACTAGGCGCCAAAATTTTTCTTTTTAAATGTACTTTCAACTTTTCAACACAATAAGAAAAACAATTTTTTATTTATTCTGAAACACCCTAATCGGGTTGCAGGCTCATTACGCTCACCGTATTTTTAACTAAAACTTTTTTTACGTATATTTACGAATAGGAGAATACACTTTTAACAGGGTGTCTATTAAAAAGCTGCCGCAACTATGTTTAATTAATAATAATAATAATTGATTTTGGAGACGATATTACGCTCATAAAATTTGTTGATCATTTATATGTCAAATTAATGCTATTTTTATTCTGTGCATGATGTTGTCAGGGTGCTTATCAAAAAGTTGCCGCAAATTGGGGTTAGGGCAATATGAACTACAGATGGGCATTTATAGCTCCTATAATAAAAGACTTAGGAATTGTATATAAGTGCCAACCTAAAATCATTAAACTATGCTAAAATATGTGTTAGCATGTATTTCAGGAAAATATTTTAACTTCTACAGGGCTACAGGGTAGTTCAAAAAAGTGCGAGTGGATCGGGATGATTTTTTTAAAATTTTTGATTGTTAATTCCCCATCTAACAAAGGAATAATACACAGGGTGTGTCATTAAAAAATTATCCCTATTACAGACGACATCACGCTCATAAAAATTTTTGATCATTTATATGACAAATTAAAGTTATTTTTATTCGGTGCATGTAGTCATCAAGGTTTCTATCAAAAAGTTGTCGCAAACAGGGGTTGCCACTGTTGAAAGTTTTTCCTACGGGCCTGGCAGTAGGATCTACTGGTGGGCATTTGCAGCTCCTATAATAAAAAACTTACGAATTTTGTACCTATAAGTGCCAATCTAAAATATTTTTTAGGATGTTATTTCAGGAAAATATTTAAAGTTCTAGAGGATGGCCCAAAAAAGTGTTGGTGGACCAGGATGTTTTTTTTTAAACGGAACACCATGTACATTATTTCTTTGTTAGATAGAGAATTAAAAAATGAATATTTTTCGAATTTAAAGTATTTAAAATTTTTTTACCTGTTTTGCAAATGCAAATTGCAAAAAAAATCATCCCCATTCACTCACACTTTTTTTGAGCCACCCTATAGAAGTTAAAACATTTTCCTGAAATACATCCTAACATATACCCTTGTCATATACTTTAGGTTGACACTACAAAATTCCATTTTCTATTTTCACTGCAAAGTTTTTATTATAGGAACTACATATGCCAGATGCAGTGTTGCCGGACCTGTAAGAAAAACTTTGAACTGTGGCAACCCATATTCTATCAAATAGTTGCGGCAACTTTTTGCTAGATATACCCTATATATCTATATATATATATACCCTTATAAATAACTTTAATTTGACATATAAATGATAAATTTTTTTTATTAGCGTAATGTCGTCTTCAAAATCAGTTATTATTATTATTAATTAAACATGCGGCAACTTTTTGATAGGTACCCTGTATTCTCCTATTCATAAATATACGTAAAAAATAAGTTTTAATTAAAAATACGATGATCGTAATAATCCTGCAGCCGGATCTTAGACTATAAAGGTACCTAAAGGTAAATCTATAATAAATAAAAATTATCTTCTGAAAAAAGCTTGGATATTTCGCCTCTGAAAGAGAATTGTTATAATATATTTGGAAATACTTACTAATTACTACACAACAACCACTCTTTCCTGCATCACTTGGTTTATATATACTACTGCTGCCATCCTCATCTAATATAGAAATGTTATTTTTGTTCGTATAATTTAAGTTGATAGGTATGTCCAGAAAATTCGTGTTGTTAATAATATTTTTCAAATTAATTACGGTAGTAATGTTGTGCTTTGTGGTACTATCTCGACCAGGTACCAATACCTGTCTCTCGGGTTTAGTATCAACAACTCGGATGTTCTCGTAGCAAGATCTTCTGCAACCGGATCTGCAAGACAAGGTTTGACATTCGTTGTGACATTGTCTGTGACAGCAGTGCTGGGAATGACATTGAACGAAATTGCTGCAGCAGGAATTGCAGCAACTATTGCACTGACCTAGAAATCAATTGTAAATAGTGTGTTATGGAGATAAAAGAGCCCAAGGCTGAAATAGATAAAAAAGTTGAAAAGAAAAATCCTATTGAAACACCGGGTTCTTCTAAGACTGAAGGTAGAGTTTTATATTTTTATAAAACTATGAGATCTTGGTTAGGGTTTCCATAAAGGCGTTTGGAAATTCCGGACAAGTAAATTCAGAAATCCGGACAAATGAACTCTGAAATCCGAACAAAATCCGGACGTCGCAAAAAAGAAACTATACATTTATTTATGAACTTTTATAGGATGCAAATAATAGCCCCGGAATCAACAAAATATAAACCAAAAAAACATTCACTTTCCAGGAGTTCACCAAAAGCGAAAAATTTGAGCGTCAAAGTATAGAAATGGGTACTTTCGAACATGCGTCGGTTAAGTAGAGCTGTGGCATCGTAGAAACTAAAATATTCACGTAACTGAGAAATTAATTCAACTGTTAACTGTAAAATATTTTACTAAATTAAATTGTTTTTGCGGAACAGGTTTCCCGGACGCTTTTCCAAATCCAGGCCGGACCGCCCCGGGCACTTTAAAAATCCGGACATGTCCGGGTAAATCCGGACTTATATGGAAACCTTAATCTTGGTAGTTAAAACAATACTGGTATTTACATTATAAGCACTTTTTTATTTGCTGTATTATTTTACATAAATTTTTCTGTTTTGCTACATGATGAAATATAGTACCGTATGATCGAAAAAAAATTGGCGCCAGAAGGCACGTATAGCCGCCCATATTAAAATATGTTAATAAAAAGTTGGTAGGCAGTTCTTTTAGTTTCAAAGTAAAGAAATTTTTCCATTTTTTTATCTCAAAAACTGCTATTGACCGATTTTGATGTTATTACAAATTTTGTTGCAAATATTATTCCTAATCTTAAATTGAAAACCGCGTTTCGCTAGCTACTGTAATTTTGGAGTTACGATTTTTAAAAATGTTTAAGCCCCTCCCATACCCCCTGAACCCCCTTACCAACCCCCCACACCCACCAAAAACTAATAACCAGATTCTCGGGTGCCACAGTATTTTTGTGCCAAATTTGGTTAAAATCGGTTTAGCGGTTTTTGAGTTCTCGTGTGACGGACAGACGGACAGACACCACGAAAATATTTTAATTAGGTCATTTATGACCCAAATAACTAATTTTGAGTGAAATTAAAAAAACTTTTTTTTGCCGATCTTAATAGCCTACCATAGGTACATGTTGGTATGGTCGGCTAAAAATAGCGTCCAGTTGGCTGAGAAATGACGATCGAATGACATTATACATATTACACATAACATAACCTAACCTAATGCCGTTTTTCTTTGATCATACGGTATATGATATCATTATATTATTCTATTATACAGGGTTATTTACTTCATACGACACGGAGTATTGTAACAAAATTATTGGATTTTTAGAAATTATGAGTGAGGACAATAGTTTAATAAAAGCTACAATTAAAAATTATTTTTATAAGGTACAGAGTGGCCCAAACAAAGAAAAAATATCAAAGTTATATTTTTTAAATGGAGCTCCCTGTATATTATTACATTTTTAGTTTCTACGATTAAAATAAAGGTAAATTTAATTAAGATTTATCGCACTTTAATCTTACTGCTTTTGAAATATTTAGCATTTTATGAAAATGCAGAGTAACATATTTTTTATTTAATGCTTCGTTTCTCTAGGCGTATTTAAGTTTTTAAAACCAAATATTGTACTGAAGTTCTTATATTTACTAAATTTTGTGTTGCAATAATAAAAATAATTCCACCTTATACAGAGTGTCTAAGCATTTATATTAAATAATTACTAATGTAAATGGCAGTAACTTGTTTAATTTAAATAGATCCTGTATATTTTACGTGAATCAGATGAAAGAATCAAAAATGAAAGAATAATTAAAATTATTATTACTGTATTTTTACAAAATCGCAAATATTTCAAAAACGGTAAGATTAAAGTGAAGTAAACCTTTATTTTAATTGTAGAAACTAAAAATGTAATAATATACAGGGTGTTCAATAGTTTCAAATTTTTCAAAGACTTTTGTTTGCAAAACAACCTGGTAGGTAAACGTGTTTCTTCAAACGCGTTTCAGGGCTGGTAGATCTCGATAAAAGAAACATATCTTTTATTTACCATTTTTCAAATAAGTCCAAAATATCTGAGATATTTTACGTTGAAAATTAAAAAAATATGATTTTTGGCCTAAATTTTGAGAATCACAGCACTGGATCGCTTTTCTGGGATTTCTTTAATTTTTTTTTTGTAAATGAAATAATTGTATAATTTATTTTTGTGTTTTGGAATTTTGATGTTCCTATTAATAATTATAAATAATATAACAAAAACTGACACAACTAATAAGAAATAATTAATTGAGTCAACAGCAATGAAGACTATGTTAACTATTTTAGAGTAGAATGTAGAATTAGTGGGAGAGGGGTTAATCACTGCGACCTTACAGATCTTACAGTCCCCGGGCTTTGACAAAAGCCAGTGTCTACGGTTTTACAGAAGGGTATTTCTCCATCTCCAATATTAGTCGTACAAAAGTTTATGGCACGAATGGTTGTCGTCTCGGTGCACTTAGTGATGAGGTGTTCTGGTATTTCCCCATTTTCCCCACAGAATCTGCATTCGCAAGATATTATGTTTTTTAACTAAAAATTGAAAAAATTTCCACATTTTTTTTTAAAACTCCAAATTTTAAAATTTTCTTTTCGCAAAAAAACCACAAACGTGTTTTTGGGATCGAAATATACCACCCCTAAAAATATTTGCACTTATTTAGACTCACCCTGTATAGGGCATTATACCGGGTGCGTCTCAAAAGTGGCTCACCCCTATAACTTTTTTATTTGTTTAGTTAAAAAAACGAAATTTGGTATGTGAATATATGACATAAATTAGGATTGACTGACGTATTCAATTGTTTTCGGTCACTTCCGGTTTCACCTGAAATGACTACAACTTTTGATTTTTAAATGGCACCCCCCGATATTTTTTTACTTTATTCGATAGAAAAGGTCACTCTGAATAGAATAACATATCATATGTCAACTTTTGACATTTTCGCATATGGTTTATTTGAAATTATAACTTGCGGTTCGTAACGAAAATTTGACTTGAAATACCAAGTGTGTGGTATCAAATTACTCGTAAAAAAATGCTTTTTCAAATATGCTAATGAGCCGCTTTCGTTCCATTTGAAAAAAACGATTTGAGCATTTTCTAACTGGCCAGAACAAGACACTAAAAACATTAGACGATCAAATCTATTTTTCCAATGCTCCTTGATGAAGATGGCACTCTAGATTGAATTTTAAAATACAATTTTTTATTAAGCGAGAATGTCAAAAGTTAACATATGATATGTCATTATATTGAGAATGTCATTTTCTATCGAATAAAGTAAAAAAATACCGGAGGTGCCATTTAAAAATCAAAAGTTGTAGTCATTTCCGGTGAAGTGACCAAAAACAATCAATCCAAATTTATGTCATATACTAACATACCAAATCTCGTTTATTTATCTGAAAAAATAAAAAAGTAGCGTGAGCCACTTTTGAGACGCACCCGGTATAGGGCAGCTATTATTAATTAATATATTATGATATATAGCATGGCTCATTATGATGTGTTTGTATATGAATTAGATGCACCCAAGGTTAATCAGCAAGAACCACAACAGAAAGAGTTAGATCCCGATGAAGAGCAGGCCAAAATGGACGAAAACATTGCTGAAATTAGGGAGGTGTTTACTATTTTCGACAAAGAAGGTATCGGCATGATCAGTACCAAGGAACTGGGCATGGTAATGAAAGCTCTGGGTCAGAATCCTACCGAAGCCGAATTGCTGGTGAAAAATATTTAATTCTGCGTTGTAGGTATGTTTTTAATATTTTCAAAAATTATCAGGATATTATTGAGGAAGTGGACATCGATGGTAACGGTTTAATCGACTTTGAGGAATTTGTAGCGGCTATGAAGAAGATTATGAAAGACTGTGATAATGAAGATGATATCAAGGCAGCTTTTCGGTTAGTGTTGGGGTTACCAGGGGCGCTATTCTGTACAGGGTATCGGTAAGTTACGACAGCTCTCGATACGTATTTGTATATAGTAAAAATGTGTTAATTGTTGTTGTCATAGTTTCCGATCAGAATCGCAAGTTTGTACCGACGAGGATCGGTATCTCTACCGTGCCCTTGTTAACCTCACGGTAGAAATACCGAGAGTCGTCGGTACAAATTTGTGATATCTGCCATAGGATCGATCGGTAACTATGACAACAATCAACACATGTTTACTATATACAAATACGTACCGATAGCTGTCGGTAACTTACCCATACCGACGATTGTACAGAATAGCGCCCCAGGGTTCCCGCCTTTTGTATTTAAAAAATCAGGACAGCACTAGTGCAATGTTTTTTCTTAAATGTAAAATTTTATGTGCCCATCGGATTTTGAATCAATATTTTATGCCTTTTTGCGTTAACTTAAAAATAAACTATTTGAAATTTATTAATAATAATTATGTAAAAATAAAAGAAAAAAGTTGAAAACAAAATGAGTAAACAATTAATTAAATCTAAAACTAGAACAAACCCTAAAGAAAATCAAAAGTTTTAGCTGTATAATCTGTATAATTGGCTTTATTAGTTTATTTAAATATTTTTAAATTAACATTTTTTGGAAAAAAAAAGACTAATTCACTACAATACACCAAAACACTTTAAAATATAACATATATACCGTATGATCGAGAAAAAACGGCGTCAGCGGTGGCTATGAAATGAAGATCGCTGTCATTTTGTATGTAAATTTATATGGGAAATGTCATCGATCGTCATTTCCCAGCCAACTGGACGCCGTTTTTATTCGATCATACGGTACTTAGTATACACAAGCATAAAAAGGCCTCAACCTTTACTTTTAACACTGAAGACGCGTTTCGTTAACCAGCTTAGCATCATCAGCAGATGATGAAAACTGATGGTTAGATTCAAATTTATGGTTAGCGAAACGAGTGTCCAGTGTTAAAAGCAAAGTGTTTTGGTGTATTGCGATGAGTTAGTGTTTTATTTTGCTGTTGTAACACCAAAGGTTCCAACCCCCAACTGTAATGAATATTTTTTATTTGTTTTGTTGATGTAATAATAAGAGCCTTGTCATTTTTCATAAAATCCAAAAATTCTTATATGCGTTATATTAAAATTGAATGAGAGTACCGAGTGTAAAAGTTCCTTGTTAATGAGCTTAACTAAACACCTATTTCTAGCGTCTGTCTACTTCAACTTCTTCTTCTTCTAGTGCGAATCCATTAATGGATGTTTGCGATAGCATTTTCCATCACTTCTTTATTCCTGGCGGTCGGTGTTTATTAACGACTGTACATCGTGTAGGCCTGTCCACTGTCTAACATTTCTCAGCCCAAGATATTTTCTTCCTTCCGATACCCCTCCGGCCTTCGATCTTGCCTTCGATTAACAGATGCAAGAATTGATATTTGGGGTTTTGCATTATGTGCCCTAGGTATTCGGTTTTTTTCTTCTTGATCAACTCAAACAATTCGCGCTGTTTTTTGACACGTCTCAGAACTTCCTTATTTGTTAACCTAGCCGTTCAAGGTATCTTCAGAATTCTGCGATATAGCCACATCTCGAGAGCCTCTAGTTTATTAATGGCAGTTGCTTTCAATGTCCATCCTTCCATACCATGAAGGAGCACCGACTACACGTAACCATCGCTTAACGAATCCCAATCTGAGGTTAAGGTGAAAATCAGAACAGACAAGTACTTTTCGGAACCTCAAGAATGCCTGCCGAGCTTGTACGATGCGACTTTTAATTTCCTTGTCTGATGTCCAATCTTCGGAGAGCCAGATGTCCAAGTAGTTAAATTTATCTACCCTTCCTGTGGGCCTTGTATTAAATGTTATAATAAAGTTTTTAAACACATCTGAATTTCTGGATATTATCATAAATCTAGTTTTCTTGATGTCTATGTTTAAACCCATTGCTTTACTCTGTTCTACTCCTATCTTGACCAGTTGTTGTAGATCGTGTATATTATCTGCATCTGCAATCAAGACCGTATCGTCGGCGTAGCGAGCGGATGTTATTAATCCACACTCCGTTAACTTTGACTTCCATTTCCACGTCCTCTAGAGCCTCTTGGAAAATAGCCTCTGAGTACAAATTGAATAGGAGTGGAGAGAGCACGCATCCCTGTCGCACCCCCTTCTAACTTGTATGGGATTGGATATGGTATTGGTCAATTTTATTTGTGCTGTTTGGTGCCAGTACAAGTTTTCGATGCATTGTATGTCTCTTTGGTCTATATCAAGCCTTTTCAGTAGCTGCATTAATTTGTGCTGTTGCATGCGATCGAATGCCTTTTCGTAGTCTATGAACACAGGCACACATCCTTTCTCTGATCGTAGCAGTTCTGGACAAGCACATGTGTTGCAACTCTCGCTTCCCTTGTACCTAACCCTTGCCTGAACCCCATTTGTGAACCGCTTATTGTGTCCCTTTCACATTTTTTGTAAATTCTCTGGTCTATGATTTTCAGAAATATTTTTAGTGTATGGCTCATCAGGTTGATAAGTGTATGATCTTCACATTTTCTGGCATTGGACTTCTTAGGCAGGGGGATAAAAGTAGAACGCAACCACTGTTTAGGGTACTGACCTGTCTCATAATATATACTGTTAAATACTTTATGTAGTGCTGTTATGCCTCTTTTATCTAGGAGTTTAAGGATTTCTGCAGGAATTTCATCTGTTCGCTTTGTTATTTTTAGAATTAAGTATGGCTTTTTCAATCTACTTCAACATCATACGTGAAAATATATAAATAACAACTTTAAACAATGAAAGCTTATAATTTACTCTAGGTTTAAAATTTATTTTTTTTATCTATAATTTTTATATCCTTTTAGGCAAATTTCCTTTACGCAAGTTTTATTATCGAATATTCATTAAACAGAGTATCAAATTAATAAACATGTATTTTTAATAATAAATTTTACAATTTTATTGTTTAATAAAAACGTGGCTATTAAATAAATAAAAATCGGGACATTAGGGCTTTGCGTGGGGACGCGGGATGGTCCCGACAAAATCGGGACGGGTGGCAACCCTGGGGGTTAATCTAACCATGTTAGTTGTTCAATATTCTTTTAGGGTTTTTGACAAAGAGGGTAAAGGTTATATCTCGTCAGATGATCTACGCGATATTATTGTAAGCTTGGGAGAAAAATTTACTCAAGAGGAGTACGACGAAATGATCAGAGCTGTTGATTTGGATGGTGACGGGCTAGTTACTTTAGAAGACTTTATGGAACTCATGTTGACCAAGGGCCCCGTCACAAAACATAACAGTCCATATTAAATTTATTAAAAACTGAAAATTGTATATGAAATTCAGTCTTAAGTACGTATATCTATTTATATTTTTTCTCTTGTATAAAATTGTCGTCTTTATATTAATATCTATCTGATAAATATTTAATCCATTTTTGGAAATATATTATCAAAATTAAACAATTTCGATTTTTTTATTAATTTTAGTCATTCTCCTTATTTAATACAGAGGTATAAAAGTTTTTCTTTAAATTCTTTGTTGCCTACTTACCTCCACATGTACTATACTGACATTCGTCACAGTTGCATTCATCGCAATCATCTTGATATACACAGTTTGACGAATACCTCTTCATTCTCGCTTGAACGCATTCAATGTAGGTGCCTTTGTTGTAGGACTGGCATTTTTTTTCGTGGTATTTCTTTTCCTCTATACAGCTTTCTGAACACACCAGTACTGCCATCGACATATATATTAAAAATATCCATGTCGACTTCATCTGACAGAAAAGATTGGCTCTCTATATATTTTATAGTAAATCTCAAATTTCAATTCATCTTCTAATTCTCTTAAGTTCGGTGTGTCATAAAGATTTTTTTAATAATCCTTCATAATATTTTTTAATGACATGAACAGAATGTGAGTGCTTTTATTTTAATTTGTCCCATTATTAACTGACTATATTTTTTTATTTTTGAATATAGAACATTCATTATAAAAGGAAATTATAGGGTTTTTAATCAAGTTTTATTGGTTATTAGCAATAAACTCTCAAATGTCACAGATATTGCTATAAAACGAGGTGTAAAAATGTGATTTTTTAAATGAGACACCCTGTATATTATAAGGGTAATAGGGAACTATACTGATTTGGTCATCGAAACTGTGCGGTCTGGATTTTAACGTGTAAGACAGTGATGTAGACAGCTTAATGGAAAATCAAATGTTTTAAAAATAGATAAAAATTGGGTCGATACGTTTCTTCTATGCGGTATTGCCAGATTTTCCAACAAAATTTCAAACCGAACAGTAAGCTTTTACGAAAAATATTGCATCTAGGGTTGGAACTTTATTTTTCACTATTAGTTACTCATTTTACTAGAGCTGTAATAGATTATATTTAGCTTAGATATATTATCTTCATTTCAGTAGTACACATAAACGTTTTTAAAATAGCTCATATTTTTCTACACACATTTTTCTTACAAACGTAAAAAATCGGCAACACTGAATGACGCTTTTTGATTTCGCCTCTCTGTCTATCAAAAGGTCATTTATATTATTCTCTGTCACACGTATTAAAATCCAGACACATAGTTTGAATGACCAGCAGGGTTTAAACAAGGGTAATGATAGCACACTCCAGAAATCACAATAAATATGCTATCTAATACACTTCCGCGGTGTCCGCTATTAAAAAAAAATAGTTGATTTTAATAACTGAGACACTTCACAGAGTATAACAATTTTGATAACATGCCATAAAATGTAACAAAGGTCATAATTTAATTTTTAAATAAATAAATCTCTGGAAACATGTTTATAGTTATAGCACAAGTCAGTTAAAACTGGAAAGAAATTAAATGAAAACACTTAACATTTTATAGAATAATTTTTTCTGCAACGAATCACCCTGTGCAATAATATTAATGGCAAGTGAAATTATTATTAGTAAGTGTATATTTTGCTATGGCAATGTATGGTAACCATGACAAAAGTGTCAGTCATATTGATCAAACTAGGGACTTCGTTCTTTGACTTCGTTGATCAATCTCTTTGAAATCCAGTGTATTTATTTAGGCGTGTTTTAATAATAAGAATGGTAGTTATTCACATAAAAAATAAAGATGAGAGTCAGTTTCTTTACCAAACATCACTGGCTACTTCTGTAGATGACTTAGTTAAAAATGTCGCTCAAATATACAACGGGAGGTTGAAAATACAAAGGGTGTGCATGGAGATGGAAGAATTGGCTAAACATGGTACCCTATACCCTCCAGGTATACAGTTTTTAGTTATTAGGTAACAAAACCTGAAGTGCTAACTACGTTTTTGTTAAATTTTACAGAGATTCTTGGCTTAACTGACGACCAAGTTGAGGAACTGAAACTAGTGGATGAATGGGGCGAGAAATGTATCCCCAGTGGTGGTTTTATTTACAACAGAGATGAAATAGGACGAAGAAATGGAAAACAGCCCAAAAAAGAGATGCAAGAAGTCTTAAACAAAGCAATAGCCGATGCTAAAGAGATGATAAGCAAGAATATAGTACTACAAGGTTCTCAGGGCCCCTGTATATTTGTTAACATATTTAATTTATTATTTTATATTTCAGGGAAATGTTTGACGATGAAGACCGTTCAAGAAGCCCTAAATCTCCTAAAAGGAGCAGTTTTGATCGTATATCCCATGAAATTACCCCCGCATGATGTGATACGTATGGAGTTCGAGAATATTGAAGATCTTAGTGGTACCCAAGCCTCCTTGGATATTGTCGATCCAGCTACAGCTCAAATGTGGTTTTGTGGCAAAGAAATGTACAGGGATGGAAAAACTGTAGGGGATTATGTAGGGAAAATCGAAAATTGCAAGGTACAATTCAATTTAGTATTTTTTTAATCTCCTCATTCTTTTCTGGCTTAGGTGATTATGAAACTGTCAAAACGTGGTGATGGTGCACCCGCAAGAGAACCGATCATGTCGGAAGATCAGAGGAAGCAAATCATGATGCACGCTTACAGAAGACAGGAAGAGCTCAAAAAACTCGATCAAGATGAAGATGACAATTATCTAAATTCTGAATGGGCTGACAATTCTAATTTAAAAAAATCATTTCATGGGTTGCACAACATTTCTTGGCGACCTTAATATTATGGCGATCCATAATATTAATTAGTTTTATAAATACAGGGTAAATTAGATTTACCTGACGATAACAGAGTTTGCAAAAAACACATTAGTAAAATATTACTTTTTGTAAGTGTTTTCATAAAAATAATTATTGAGACAACCTCTCTGAATTTTGACTTTATACAGGGTGGTCTTAAATAAGTAACAATATTTTGAGGGCCGATAGATCTTGATAAAAAAAACATATTTTCTTTTTACCGTTTAACATATTTTCTTTTTACCGGTTAAGTCCAAAATAACGGAGTTATTTTATTTTGAAAATTTCCAAAAAAAAATGATTTTTTGCTCCAATTTTGAGAACCACTAAATCTTTCTGGGTTTCCTTTCTTCAAAATTTAATCTACGACCTATGTTGCCACATTATCTGTAAATTATATATTTTAATTAAAAACTAAAAACATTTCCATAATTTTTTTTAAATTCGAAATTTAAAAAAAAATCGCGACAAAAATCTTATAATCGTGTTTCTGGGATTTAAATATACTACCTACTACCTCTAAAATATCTGCACTTATTTAAGACACACCCTGTATAAAACATATAGAAGGAAAAGTTTTGTTTAAAACCTTGTGTAAAATAAATTATTAAAAATTACAGAGTGTTTTATTTTGGATTTCTTTTTATACAGGGTTCGGCAATAGTGCGATGGGCATCTGTAGCTCTTATAATACACAACTTAAAGTAATTAGTATGTACTATAGGATGTATTTCAGGAAAATATTATAACTTTTAAAGTGTGAGTGGATTGGGATGATTTTTTTTTAATGGAACACTCTTTGTATTATTGCATTTTTGGCTTTCTTTCAGATCATTTTATATGATCCTAAGATATGAGTAAATATATTTCGATAGTTTCAGAGATATTAATAAATAAATAAAAATATATATAAAATAATAAATTTAATTTAAATAAGATATTATTTAAACTGTCCTGAAATCAAAATTATATTAGGAATTTACTTTAGATGGTCTATACTTAACTTTGCTATAAATATCGTAATCTTAAACCATACAGGGTGTTCAAAATTCTTCGCGAAACTTTCAAAAATATGAAATAATTTTTCTTTGTTTTTTTTTAATAGAACATATTCTTATTATATGGAGACTTAAAAAATGAATATTTTTTGGTATTTAAAGTATTTCCAAATTTTTAATAGTTTTGCAGATACACGCAGTATTATTTTATATGGCTTTTTCAACGGTAAAATACTAGAGAAAAATTATTGGGTGGTTTTGATAAAAATTTACTGTGGAAAATGCCATATGAAATATAAAACCGCAAATATCTGCGAAACCGTTAAAATTTTGAAAAACTTTAAATACAAAAAAAAATATTTTTTAATTCTCCATCTACTGAAAAAATAATATACAGGGTGTTTTATTAAAAAAAACGAAGAAAAAATTTTTATTTTTTAGAAAGTTTGGCGTAGAATTTTGAACATCCTGTATGATTTACGATTACCATATTTATAGCAAACTAAGTACAGACTATCTAAAGTAAATACCTAATATAATTTTGATTTCAGGACAGTTCTTGTGTTTTTAATAATTTTTTTAAGAAAGGCTGAAAAATGAATCTTTTTGATTTATTTAGGTACTAATATTTCTGAAACTATCGAAATATATTTACTCACATCTTAGGATCATGTAGAGTGATCTAGAAGGAAGCTAAAAATGCAATGGTTTACAGAGTGTTCCATTCAAGAAAAACATCCCGATCCACACACACTTTTTTGAGCTACCCTATATAAGTTAAAATATTTTCCTGAAATACATTCTCAGAGATACTTTAGGTTTGCACTTAAACAAAATTCTCAAGTTATTTATTCTAGGATCTCCAGATGCCCGACGCACTACTGCCGGACCCTGTATATCTGAGGAATTATCCGAAAAGTTTTCTTTATAAATTTAAAAACATTCTTAAATATCAAAAAAGTTTTTTATCGCAAAATAATAAATACGCAAAATAGCTAGGTATACGCTTACCTTTTATTCTTTATGTATGTATCAAATATGTCTAAAAACGGGCACTACTACTATTAAATTGGCTGTCTCGACGGGAACAAACCAGCAATAACGTTGGAAAGAATTATTTATATATGATAAGGGAGGAATGTTTGTTTAGCGTAAAAAATTTGAAAAAATAGACCTATGTAGGGCATGCGATGATTACAAATAAAAAACGAGTCTGCCGAGTTTTGTTGATGGATTACACAGGCGCCATGTCATATTTTTTTGGAATGATAGTTTGCTTGACATAGTTTTCTTTGTTGCAAAATTCACCAATTAATCGAATAAAAAAGCTGTCTGATCGGCGTGGAAATGACATTTTAGTTTGAGCTTTGATTGTTAGTCCAGTAAAAGAAGGTTGAACCAAACTGCTTAATTCGTCGACCGGGACTTTTCAGGCGGATTGTAAAAAATGAAGCTTAGGTAATTACCTACAAAAATAATTCTTATCATTTTTTACCTAGAATCAGGACCGCGTTAAGGTGAAATGGCACCATAGGCAGCATTTATTTTGCCGCCCCCTTCAACTAATAAAAATTCAAGTAAAATTTGTTATACCTAACATTCCTAAGTCACTCATACAAAAAAAATCAATTTTCTTTTTTATTTTCATCTGTGAATAAGAAGACTAAGGAAGGAGCATAATGCTATCCATGTATTCATGCATGGGCGGAAAAGGCACCATAAAAGCTCTCTAGGGTGGGGATCCTTGACAGTTCTGTTTGACAATTCATTTGACACATTTGAATTTGATTTGAAATTTTGTGGATTTGTCAGTCTTTACGGAGCTGATTTTATGTTATTTATTATTTATTCTACTACTGATAGTTGTATAAAGGTAGTAAATCTAGATGGAAATTGTGGCAGAACTTAAATTAACAGTGACACTATCGCGATTTATCGAAAAAGACTCTAAAATAGTTGGTTGTGTAGCGTGCGGTAGATCTCGGCAAAAATTGAGTGAAATAATGGAACAACTTTTCGCTAGTAAGTGACTATATAATATACATACGATCATTTATGAAATACACTTAAATTAACTAAATTATATATTTTTCTTGCATTTTAGCTTTTATTTATTACTTGTCAAAGATTAGATGTCAAAGAATTTAGATACGTTAATTTGAGTTCTAAACCAAATGAACAAGGACCGAGAACTCCTCGACATAATAAAAAAGAGGAAAGCAGCCTATTTGGGCCATATCATGAGACATAGCAAGTATGAATTCCTTCAGCTCATCATCGAGGGTAAAATTGAGGGAAAGCGCGGACCCGGACGACGGCAATGCTCCTGGCTGAAGAACATCAGAGATTGGACAGGCCTGGACTCACATACTTTGCTGAGAAGAGCGAAAAATAGAGAGGAATTTGCCATGGTTGTTGCCGATCTTCACTGAATGGAGAAGGCACTTTAAGAAGAAGAAGAATTTGACTTACCTGCTTCAGTAGCGTATCGGATGTTTGTGTTAATAAATACTTATTATAACTTATCTATTTTTATTAGAATTATATATTTTTATAACAATTTTAATAACTACCAACATTTATTCACAACGTAAAATAAAACAACAAATTATTGAGTCTACCCCACGTCTACCCTACATCATAGTTTTACATTTTTTAAATAAAATTAGAACGACACTGATAAACCGGAATTTAAGTCGGCCATATTTGAGGCCCATCGCGGTGTACCTAAGATTTTTGATATGCTCCTTCCTTAGTCTTCTTATTCAAAGATTTTCATAAATTAATTAAAAATGTGTTATTTTTGTGAAGTATCTCTATTTATATTGTAGACATGAAATCAAATTCGGGACAACTTTTTTACTTTTTTAGCTATTTAGTCCATCTTGATTAGTCGATTGAGCGCTAGATATTTGTAGTATGTCGCATGATATCATAATTAATAATCTATAGAATTAGTTTTTTCAATAACTAAATTATAAAATATTTTTCCATTTTTTACGAATTTTTTGGCACAACCTGTAAATTTTTATTTTAAAGGAATTAAACGTAAACTCCATAAAAACAACTTTTTAATACTAATATAATTAGTCGTTACTATAAAATGCGACATATTTTAAAGCTCAAAAAGTGTCGACAGGGACGTATTCACCAGGGACGTGCATATGGGTTATCACTGGAATATTTTTCTTTGCTTGTACGCCACTGACTTTTTCTCTTGTTAGCGAAATAGTGTGAGCTGTTTCAAGCCGATTAAAAGTTGTCTCTTGATATTTTGTCGATTTCGGCCTCCTTGATGAGATAAACGCAATTTTATTAATTTGCTTTGATCCAAGTCGAATGTCGAATAGCCCAACCTTAAAAAAATTTAATATCATTAACTTCAGAAAGTTTTAAATGATTTCTCATCAAAAAATGAAAAACAATTATAGTGATATTGTTGGGTATAGAAATGCATAGTTTTAGAGTTACAGGATGTTAAAATTTTTTTTTTAAAATGATAGGTTTTTTGTAACTATCTTACTAACGTAAGTAACTAACTTATTTTTTTATTTGAAATTGCTGTAGGCTGGACTAATAGTAATAATAATTTAATAATAAATTAGGTAAAATATATAATTTATAACTATATAAATATAAATAATATAATAATATATAAATAGGTAATATAAATGTAATTTTTATTTTAATTTTATTAATTGTGATTAATACAATTACGTTTATAGAGGAGGCGTATGCGTCTATTCAAGGAGGCCAAATTCGACAAAATATCAAAAGATAGCTTTTAATTGGCATTAATCGGCCTACACAATTTTGGTATCAAAAGAAAAAAGTCAGTGGAGCTGTGGAGCACATGTCTATTTTTTTAATGTTCTAGTTATAACCCCATATGCACGTTTCTGATGAATTTATCGAGCTTTTTAGCATTAAAATATGCAGCACTTATAGTAAATTTTACCCTCAAAATTTCGTTCGAAACCTTAAAAGTACGTGGATAAAAATTATAATAAATTGAAAGATTATTAAGACTTTAGAAACAAAGCAGAATCGGACATATTAGTTGGTATGAGAAATAAATCTTATTTTTACGTGCGGAATTTCCCCACGAGAGATGGCACATGTTTTTTGAAACACCCTGTATTTCAGACTTTTGATTTCATTGGCAGTAATATAGGTACCGTGGTTTGTGGTGAAATTGATCTCCGGGGGTGAAACTGATCACTAGGTTGTATTTTTATTAAAACAAATGTAGCGCGCGAATCGTCGGTTTGTTTAATGTTAAACCGCCAAAGGTGTTTAGTATGATCGAAGGGAATGTGTACAGGTCACGTCGTTAAATCGCTGTTTTTTTATCTAAAAAAATACATTCAAATTGTTTAATTGTTTTTGCTTTCATTTACAACTTCTAGAACTGTCATTGGTAAGTCTCAAATGGTTATATAGTAACGAACACACTGATTACATGGCGCTATTTGTTAATGTTTCTGCAAGTCATATTCCGAAATTTAGTTATTTTCGATTGTGAATTATGAGGTTATACTTTAATTTGTTCGAAGGGGTCAGATTAATCGCTTAGTACGGGCGAGATTGATCATCGAATGATCAATCTCACCCCGTGAGCAATCTCACCCTGCGAGTCAATTGTGGTAAAACAAGAATGAACTGTTGGTATTTCTTTCTTGTTTTTGATTCAGAAAATAAATATTTAGTTTGAAAGCCTAATCTTGTATTTTTTACAACGCAGCAATAATTATTTCTTATTGATCATTCTCACCCGCACCAAACAATCTCACCCCAAATGCTAAAAATCCTGTAAATTTAAATCATGACTTTAAAATAGACAGGGGTTAGATTAATCAGTTTCTATGTAGGTATACACTTATTCAATGCATTAAATAAAACGTGATCAATCACACCCCACACGTCACACGTAGTATGAGATTGTTCAGGACATTTTGTTCGTTCCAGGCCTTTAATATATTTTTTTCAAATTTTCTTATTATTTGGTGTTGTTCTTATCACTAACATCTACCGAAAAAACTTATTTACAAAAATAAAATTTTACACAAATGCCAAATCTCTGTTAAAAACTTTTTCTTATGATCAATTTCACCCCAAACGACGGTATTTAAGTTAAAATTTCTAAAAGGTAAACTAAATAAAAAAACACAAATGTTTGGAAAAATACATTTTTCTATAATTTAGAACATAATTTCCCTTTGGCATATATCTTATCCCAAAATTTCATTCTGTTGTCTTCTGGGTTTTCATCAATCCTTAGATTTTGCCCAATATCTAAAAAAGGAATTCTATTGGCGTCCATCACTCTAGGCCAAATCAGACCTACGGAAGGATCCAAATAAGGTGTAGGGTTACCATATTTGGCAAAATTAGTCCATAGTCTTGTCATTCTTCGTTGAGCTACGTCTTCTATACTTCCTGGGCTAGGAATTTCAGTTAAAATTGTCCTGAAGAGGTATCCAAGTTCGTCAGCATGGCATACACCTTTTAAAAATCTTTATTAGTACATAAAAATAAATAGAACAACACTAAAATTGATCGATTAGCTATACTTACCAGGGAGTTCAATGCCTAAAATTTTCTTATAAAAATTGAGTTCTGATTCAAGAGACAACCTGTACATATAGATGGGTACTTTTGATGTGTTTCTGTGAATTTTTACTGATGCATATATTCCTCTTAAAAAAGAATTATCAGTTGTTATCTACAAAATATAAACTTGTTTAGTGTCAGTTGCTATCTATAGACACCACTATAGATCATACGAAATAAACTTTTAGTCACGTGATTAAGCTTGAGCAGCACAGCTTTCCCGACTTTTATATTTCTTTTAACCAAAATATTTTACGAAACAAAAATGAATTAATTATAAATATATAAACAGTAATTATTTATATGAACAAAACTGACCTCCTTAGCAGCACTTAAGAGACATAAAGGGCAATTATTGACCGCATTGAAATAATATTAAACCCGTGATTTTGTCATAATATTTAAGTATTTTAGTTTTTAATAGTGCAGTTATTGAAACTACAAAACACTCAGGTACGAGGTTTGTGTGATGTAACGCTGTTTCAGGTAGTAAAAATTAAGTGAAAAAGAACCCGAATTGGGCGTCGCTTTGTATTATGACAATTTCAAATATTAATAAAATTGTCGAAAAAATATTAACACATAAAGGAGGAGGCAATTACGTGGTTGCTGGGTGCAATAACATTCAATAACTCAACTTTTCCGGATATTCCACTCTCCCGAAACAACATGTTATAGCTTCACAAATTCTCACACCGATTTAATCAAAAGCAAAAATGGATTCAAGCAGCTCGACGAAACAAGTGAGCAAAGAAAGTGCCCATTACATAATCAAAAAATTAAATAGGCATATATTACTATGAGAGGATAATTTTTTTTATCCTCTTTGCCTAATTTGCAATATTAATATTCTTATCAAAGCAATCTACTTTTGACTTAAAATGATATATCTAATAACAACGGTCACTATTTTATTTGGATAGACTAATATATGTCTAATAAAGGAATTAAAGCATAGAAACATTGATAAAAGATGACCTTACTAACATCGTAGAATTCTTGTAAGTGGGTGTCTCTGCTGATATCTCCATTTCCAAAATAAAATTTTATAATCTCTTCGCCTAGTTGTTTGGATAGTGTGCTACCCTTCTTCAGTTGTAACAAACCTGGGACATTAAATTCCTTGTCTGTCCAATATACGTAATTCAATTCTGGTGCTACCATAGCGTCTACAATCATTCCTAAAAAATAGTTAATTCCAATATACCCTGAATGTTTATGATATAAATTAATAAGTTCATACCGTCTCCTGAATTGTATCCCATTAATATTGGTACCTTGTTGTACTTTCCAGACTGAAGAATCTTTACGGGGTGAGTTGAAAATAATTTTTCACATTTACACGACTTTGGTTCGACAACAACACCTATGAATCTTGTTCTGTTTCCTTGTACTGTCTCCTACAACCAACACGGAATGTTTAAGAGATATGTAGAAGAAATCATTTTTACTGTTTAAGGAGGCCTGATTTGTAAATTAAAAATTAAGAAAAAAGACTGAAAGTCTCGGTCTCATGTAGAACGTAGAATGTTTAGGAGGGGGCAAATCACCGCGACCTTACAGATCTATTGTGTGCTCCACTTTCTTGAGTTATAACTCATCATACAGTCTCAAGGCTTTGACAAAAACCAGTATCTGAACCGGCTCCACAGAGGCCAGCTCTCCATTTTCGACATCAGCCGTACCAAAGTTTATGACACGAACGGTTGTCATCTCGGCCTACTCAGTGATAAGGTGTTCTAGTGTTTCCCATTTTTTTCACAGAATCTGCATTCGCCGTTGTTTCTCAGCTTCAATCTACTGAGGTGTTCTTTGAGGAGACAGAGTCCTGTTAGAAACCCCGTGACAATCCGAAGATTGTTTTTACTTAAATCGAGGAAAATATTTTGATTTTTTCGGTCGTAAATTTTGAGGCCCTTTTTCGAGTGCCTTAGACCGTTGCGTTGGAGGATTCCCATTCCAGGTTACGGATGAAGTCTTCCAGGTTCTTCAGTTCCGTTTTAAGTTCGTTTCCGCTTAGAAAACAGAACGGTTCTGGTCCAGTTAGTGGAGTGTTCGCTTCTTTTCTAGCTAGATCGTTTGCTTTTTCATTGCCTTCTATCCCTTGGTGAGCGGGCACCCAGAGTATATTTTATTTTTGAGACTTTATTTTCTTTGCCTAATTTGTTCAGCTTCTCTACGCATTCTTGGACCAACTTCAAATTGATGGTTACTGACTTGATCGCTTTTAGTGCTGCTTGACTATCGGAGGCTATTTCCTGTTTCCGATATAGTTCCTTTCTAAGACAAATTGTACGCATCTTTCGATAGCGTATATTTCTGCCTGAAGGATGTTGGGACAGGTGCCCATTGGTTCGGAGTATTTAGTTCTGGAACCAAATACTCCTATCTCTGTCCCTGCTATGGTTTTGGAAGCATCAGCATACCACGTTATGGTATGGTCTTTTACATGTCGAACAAACGTTTCTCTCTTCCAATCCTTTTTATTTTTCAATACTACAGTGAGGTGTTTCTCAAAGTTGTAAATTCTTGGTATGTCATCCACTGGGAGTTGGAGGAGTGGAATTTCCTTTACGAGATTAGTTTAATTAGATTAAATTTAATGATATATGTGTTTACTGTACCCTTTGTGAGTTTAAAAAGCCTCGGACCCAAAAATGCTTCCAGTACTGAATCCGTCAATAATCATTCTAATCATCGTCGCATTGGCGTAACTACCGACGATATATGAGATCGAGACTCGAGAATTTTTAATTTAATTATTTAGTTTTTATTCTAGTGGAAAACTAACAGATAAATATCCTTCACAGGAATCAGGAGTCGATTCAAAGCAGATTAATAGTAAAGAATAAAAGAGTAAATATTTAACCAAATATAAATTGAGGCAAAGTGAACACCAGCTTATAAAACAAAAAATATGAGTTCTTAAAGCAATCAAAAATAGGTACTGACACTATTAATTTTACATTGAGCTTCAAAAATCTCTTCTGAAGATGCCTCCATGAGATATGCAAGTACCTCTTCTTCACTTTTTTCTTCTAAACCCATAGCTCTTCCTATAACCTTGCCGTTTCTTATACCATAAGCCCAACTACTTAGAGCTGAACCGCTTTGACATAATGCCTTATGAAATAATCCTAAAAGTACAAATTTTATTTTATAACCATTAATGTGATTACAAAGGTTTTGATACCTTTAGCCAAGGGTGAAAGCACTAAAAAATGAACTGCAGCTGCGCCTGCGCTATTTCCAAAAATGGTCACGTTTTTTGGATCACCCATAAAGCACCGTATGTTTCTTTGTACCCATTTTAATGCTAGCACCATATCTTTAAGTGCAGCGTTTCCTGGAATGTTTAGTTTGTGATCTTCTAGGCTTAAAAATCCTAGAATAATAAAACTCTAAATTAATAAAAAGGGAGCATCATGCTGCAGAAATACTTGTTCGCCTTAAAACTTTACGTATTTAATCATTTTGTTCTTACCGAAGATTCCTAATCTATAGTTAATAGAAACGACAACTATATCTTCGGCTACCAAAAATTCTGGACCATGCAGTGATTTTAAGTTTGATCCAGCCAAAAAACTGCCACCATGTATATATACCATAACAGGTTTTAGAGGTGGGTTCAAAGTATCTGATGATGACTGTAGCTGCAATAATATAAAATCAATTAAACTAATATGTTTTAAAACAGAGTTTTCAACGCCCAAAATAATTTAAAACAGTTAGAATATCCAAGAAATACTTACACAGGGTGTGTAAACATTTAAATTGAGACAATCCTCACTTCCTTGCATGGTTTTAGTTAGTGGGTCTTCTTGAACACAAAGATTACCATCATCTATGGCATTGAAAACTCCCTCCCATGGGTCTATAGGTAGAGGTGCCTATGACAAATCTTCAAAATATTTATTTATATCGCCTTACTTTTTAATAGGACATTTTTAATAATCATTAATGAGTGTAGAGCATCTGCCATCTATGATATAAGTACCAAAGTATACTCAGATACGAGGTTTGTGTGATGTAACGCTGTTTCGGGTAGTAACAATTAAGGGAACAATAACTCGAACTGGACGTCGCGTCGCGTTAATTATGTTGTGAGAATTTCAAATGTTAATAAAATTGCCGAAAAAATGTTAACGCGTAATAGTCTGAGAGCCGGGTGCAAAAACATACAAGAGTTTTCTGAAAGCTCATATTTTCAAAATCGATTGCATTTTAGTGTTAAAAAACAAAGGTACAGTCAGCAGTTCTAGTTCCGGGACGCATTTAAGCAAAATGTACCATTATATAGTCCATAATGTGATTTTCCCTGCTTTCATTGGTTGAGACTAAACGCTGGTGCGTTTTGCCAACCGTGACTAAAACGTGGTACGTTCTGCTATATTTTTTCCAGCATCATGCAAATGTTTTAAGGACGATGCAGATTACACTAACATGTTATAAACGCCATCATTAAAATCTTTGATTTTTAGGAATGACTACAGAATTATTCTATTTAATATTTGATCGTCTTTTTAGGACCAGTGTGAAATGTTAAAAAAACGCCTATTTTATAAAAATATTAGCCACTTCTGAAAAAATGTTTTCAGAAGAATTTCTTCTGTTGATTTCCATGTGTCGCATGTCGTGGCGTCTCTGTAACACAGACACAAATATTCTCTACGATCCCAATAATTTACGAATATAAGTTATCCACTAAGTTATATCCACGAAGGGTATTTTTTTGCCAATTCTTTAAGATTGCTTCTTCAAAGCTTTTTCTGCACCTGGCAAGGATGGAGCGATTAAACTAGTTCTGAAAGATTTATATAATAATGGTCGGTCTTCATTGGAAACTGCGTGATTTTTGTCCTAAAGCTACCTCCATACAGCCTGTCCAATACGGAAAGAACAAAGTAAACATTCGCCGTACAATCTAGGCAACTGAATTTAGTCGCGAAAATTCTGAAATCCATGCGTCGCGTCGCGATCTTTTGCTGTTTTTAGTTCAGTATAAATAATGCTACCTTTATCCAAAACTTCTTTTACACTGTATCGAAATTAATCCGGTAAAATATACGTTAAACCTTCAGATGTCATGGTAGATATCAATTAAAAATGCTAAAGTTTATACACAAAAACAATGTCTGTCTAATGAAAACTACTTTAGAGAAGCGTATAATGGTGGCGTGTTTTTGGCGAAGTTGTCATACCAATCAGTCAATTCTTTTTTATTTTTATCAGGGCAATTGAAAAAGTTAATGCCATTGGATCTCAAGTATAATACACCACTTTTTAGTAAAGTGTACCTTTGCTTTTTAACACTAAAATGCATTTGATTTTAAAAATATTAGCGTTATTTCAGAAAACTCTTGCATGTTTTTGCACCGGCTCTTGGACTATAAAGGAGGGTGTAATTACGTGGTTGTTGGGTGCAATAACATTCAATAACTGAAGTTTCCCGGATAGAAAGATAGTTTCCCTCCCCCGAAACAACATTTTAGATTCACAGCTTCTCACACCGATTTGATCAAAAGCAAAAATGGACTTGGTTCGACGTAACAAGTGAGTAAACAAAGTGTCCATTACATAATCAAAAAATTAAATAGACGAGAGGACAAGATATAATTTGCAATATTAATGGTATACTTTTTTTTAATAAACTAGTGTTTTAATTTTTTTTAAATATCTTCTAAAACTATAATTATGTCCCTTTTTGTTATAGCCGAAATAGCCCCAGTTATGTCCCTACTAGCAAAACCGGTGAGTAAAACTATAGTACCTAGTTGAACTCATCTAAAAAAATTTATTAACTTCAATAATAAACTACAATATGATCGAAAAAAAACGGCGTCCAGTTGACTTGGAAATGAACATCAATGACATTCTCTATTTAATTTTATATATAAAATGACAGCGATCTTCATTTCATAGCCATCGCTCATGCCGTTTTTTTTTCGATCATACGGTATAATACAAGTTTCTGAAAGATATCAAAATATTTACTTTTTTTTTAGAATTTTTCACAAATTATACTTCCTAACACTTTTAGAATAATTATATAAACTTTTTTTTTCGTATATTCGCTATTTAAACCCGTGTATTTGTATATGCCGATTGTTTACGATATTCTCCGATAGTGGCAGCACTGTCGGAGAATGCACCAAGCCTATACGAGACTAGTTTTTACCTTTTCTATAAGTTAAAAAAACCTAACCAAGAAGGGGGTTGAAAAATGCAACATTTTCAAGTACGCCCTTCTGAGGCCCTTCATTTCAAGAACTAAGAAGCCTATGACAAATCTGTAGATACACTGCATCTTTAGTTTCGTAAGAAAGTACCACAGTAGCGATGTGAAAACCGCATCTTTGTATCTCTACAGATAAATTAATGAGAAACCCCATAAAATACACGAAAATGAGACCCTGTTAAAAAGAATATACCGGGTGCGTCTCAAAAGTGGCTCACCCCTATAACTTTTTTTAATTTTTTTCAGATATAACAACGAGATTTGGTATGTTAGTATATAACATAAACTGGGATTGATTGACATATTCAATTGTTTTCGATCACTTCCGGTTTCACCGGAAATGACTACAACTTTTGATTTTTAAATGACACCCTCGGTATTTTTTTACTTTATTCGATAGAAAATGACACTCTGAATCCAATGACATATCATATGTCAACTTTTGACATAGTCACTCAAAAACAAATTGTATTTTAAATTTCAATCTAGAGTGCCATGGCTGTGTTAAAAACGCTAATTTTTAATCAAGGAGCCTTGGAAAAATAGATTTGATCGTCTAATGTTTTTAGTGTCTCGTCCAGGGGCGCTATTCTGTAAAATCGTCGGTATCGGTAAGTTACGACAGCTCTTGGTACGTATTTGTATATAGAAAAATGTGTTAATTGTTAGTTATCATAGTTACCGATCGGTCAATCGCAAATTTGTACCGATGAAAATCGGTATCTCTACCGTGCCCTTGTTAACCTCACGGTAGAGATACCGAGAGTTGTCGGTACAAATTTGCGATATCTGACAAAGAACCGATCGGTAACTATGACAACAACAATCAACACGACGCTCATTGGCCGCACGTACCGATAGCTGTCGGTAACTTAACGATACCGACGATTGTACAGAATAGCGCCCCTGGGGGGTTAAAAGATGCCCAAATCATATTTTTAATCATATCTCAATTTTTTCAAACGGAACGAGGGTGGCTCATTAGCATATTTGGAAAAAGCATCTAAATATCTAAAAAAATAAAAAAGTTATAGAGGTGAGCCACTTTTGAGACGCACCCGGTATATGTAAATATATTTTTTAAATAATCTTTTAAAATTTGATTTGTCTTATTTTTTTGAGCTTGTTGATGCTTACCTTAAATCTGAGTGGTCCAATGGGAGGTTTTGCGTATGGTATACCAAGAAAACTATAAAACTTATTTCCTCTGGCATCTTCGGATATTAATCCACACAATTTACCTTCTTTTACAGAAATTATAGGTTCTTCTACCATAGTTAATCCAAATATGTTTATTTAATTTACACTGTTCAAATTAAAAATGTAAATTAACTATTGTTTTTTAAATAAAATACTGGAAAATAATTTGAGTTTATCAAATTATTAAAGGTAACATAATAAATTCCTTATCACAATGAGTTGTAAAATCTTATCACTAAATTTATTTAATTAAAATAAAAATAAATATTCCAAGTAACATTATTTTTCATTAAATCATATAAAAAATAGGTTGACATGGCAACAATGCTTTGCTATATTTCATTAGACTTTTGACAATTGAATTTTTGTTATCTAATTATGTCATAATACGGGCGTTCTGCATTTTCAATTAAATCTTGAAAATCTTTACTTAACCTAATGCTAATGTAATTGGAATAAAATGATCAAAAGAAAGAAAAAAATCAAAATAAAATAATATTTACCGTATTTTCACTTTTTCTAAGAGCCTAATTATAGGAGAATCGAACTGGAGACTGAAATATAATTAAGTTTATTACTTATTACTGAAATGGCATTGGACTTTGACCCCGTGATAATCTATTACCTTAATTTGTGTTTTTCAACTGAAGGCCAGTTTTACTAAAAATGAGTGAGAAGCAATATTTTTTAATAATAATAATAAATAACATTTATTTATTTAATAGTTAATTTTATATTTCAAAATTCTATTTAATAAAAAATAAAAAAAGATATGTCAGGTGTGGGGTTCGAACCCACGCTCCCTTTCGAGAACCAGAGCTTAAATCTGGCGCCTTAGACCGCTCGGCCAACCTGACTGTGGAAGAGAAGAAGAAAATGCTTGTATGTTTATCAACACATATTGAAGAATATATTAAAATATTGATTTTTAAAAGTTATTGGTTTTTCGAAGAGCTTTAGAGCTTTACAAAAGTCATCCACCTCACAGTAATGCGGTATGTAATTTTCAGTATTTTTTAAAGTTTGGTACGTAAAAAAACTATAGATCTTGCGTAAAAAGTAGGTACTAGGTAGGTAGGTACCTATTTAATGGATGTTTTAAGTTTTAATAAGTTTAAATTAAAGGTACTTAGTAGTTTAGTTAGGTATGTTGTAGCTGCGATAAAACGATAAATGCAAAGATATTACCTATACCATTTACCTACATTTAGAAAAATATAACTGATATATTAAACAACATTATATTATACGTACTAAATAATAAAATAACATATTTATTTATATTATTAATAAATGCTAATAAACATTATAGGATAGGAACTTCAAAAGAGAAAAGGAGCAAGAACAATAAGAAATAGTGCATTATCTACTACTTTTGTTGAAGGTTTGTTGTATTGTTTTAAGAATTTGACCGGTAGAAAGCATCAAAAAACTTTCTCTCGTACCTAATAAACAAATATTTTTTAAGTATTATTTTTACCGAGTCCTGAAAGAACCTGGAATTAATTTCGAGACCCGGTTCTGTGAGGGACAAAAAGATCCGGGAATTCCGGGTACTTACCAAACGAAACCAAACCTTAATTGGGAGTATTAATTATTAGGGTTTCCAGGACCGGAGCTGTTTTTCGGAACCGAGAATTTCGGTACTATGCCAGATGCCTCGAAGGAACAGGGATTTCCCGAGTTTATCGGTAGGTACTTTCGGTACTTTCGCTTTGTACTAGCAAATTTTTGTTTAATCATTGTGCAGTTTGTCAATCAAGAACCAAGGAATGGATTTCAGAAGAAAAACCGATAAAAAGTTGAGTTTTAAATAAAGATAATATCAAATTAGTAAGTATTCAACCATGAAAAAATTAACATGGAATAAAGTTTGTATACCATCTCGTCATAGATCAGCGCATCTCGTAAGGATCGTACTAAACATAATATAATATACTACTAAAAACTGAAGTAGCTGTAAAATATCGACATCACACGATAGGTAAATAATGGATTTTAGTTTTTAGTACTGCAGAAAAATCATGTCAAAAGGTACTGGTTTAAAAAATTAAGATTAAAATTAATTAATCAACCTTTAAGGTTTAAAATTTGGTGTTATTATGTTTTTTTTTGGTGTTATATTATATATTTAAGTGTTATTATTAATAAAATAGTTTGTTTTATTTATGTTGTTTTATTTATTTCCTGTGGAATATTACAAATTTGTATTTGTACATAAGTTATATATATTGATAAATATAATAATAAATGCGGGAAGTTTCTTGAAGCTTGAAAGTAATAAATAGTTCTTTTTTATAATTTTTTGGTATGTGGTGTTCTGTTCTTGTTTGTTTTGTATTAACACATACGGTTTTTTTAAAATAAAATAACTCGATTACATTTTTTTCAGTTTTATAAAGTTTTTTTTTCACAATATTTTGAAGTAATCACTTATCAGTCAAATTTTAAATATATTATATTAATTTCCTGCTATCCTGCTATGCATTCCAGTTGTACCATCTTATTTCTTTGTAAAATAAAATAAACTACTTTGAACTGAAAATGACAGACACATCTATCACTGTTAAGGATCTTGTCGTAAGACAGACTATAGATAGATTCACCGAACATATAGATTGGACCAAGGATTGGACTAAGGCAGTTGACAGTTAGTTTTAACGTAGGAAGCGTCAAAAGTTGATGTCGTTCGATCGCGACCAAATTTAGTGGGTAGGCTATGTGAGCGAAGGTGCATACCAAAGATGGATGAAATCATCAGGAGTTTTCTTAATTATGGGTCGATTGGAACCAAACTCGGCACGTCGAATGGAGTCCTCAGACGGACAGACAGACGAAAGTAAGAAGAAGTTTCACTGCAAATATGCGCACATAGTGCACACACAATTTTTTATATAATACAAAAACTATTGTATATTATGGTATATAGTATGGTATTCCATATTTCGTTACTTTCCTCTACATATTATCGCAGCTTCAACATAAACAAGGTCTTAAGCGGCTAAAACTAAAATATACTACACTATTTAAAAGTATCGAACTTTATTTATTAAAATATTTATTAACAAAGAATTATAACAACATTTTCATAAAAAAATAGTAACATTAAGCATATTTTTAAGTTTAGGGTTAAACTTTTAAATGCTCATCATACAACTGATCCCAGAACTGTATCCTTTCTTTATCCACGTTTTCAATAAGGCTCAACTCAGGACCTATATCCAAAAACTGGATATTGTCAAGCGATGAGGGTATCCATTTGACTGAATTCAAAGTCTCGTCATCGTGGGGTGTAGGTTCACCATACCTAGCGAAATTCGTCCATAACTTGACGAATCTCTGAATATATAAGTCTTCTTGACTTCCTTTTTGAATGGAGGGTGTGAAAAATGTAGAAAATAAGTGAAATAAGTCGTCAGCATGTGCAACCCCTTCTAAATCTTTTTTGGGTGTGTTTTTGATAGTGTTCAAAATGTAATTTCTCATGATGGGCGACACTTTGCTAAGGAACGTAAAGAATATGGTCATTTTGAAGTTCTTACAGAGGGCAAAGCGGTGAAAGTAGTTCAAAGGACCGTTTAGGGACATCCTGTAAGTGTATACAGGCTGGTCTGAGTGTTTCAATTGAAGTTTTATTGTCCTTTGGATGGAATGGACAAAGTTAACATCTCCTTTTAACTGAAAAAGTAAAAAAGTGATTTATGGAAAATGTTTTGTCAAAAAAGTACAAGAATAAGAATGTATTATACAGGGTGAGTCTTAAATAAGTGCACATATTTTCAGGGCTGGTAAGTCTTGATGAAAGAAACATATTTTCCCTTTACCGTTTAGACAAGGTATTTTATTTTACTTTCAAATAAAAAAAAATATTTTTTTGTTTAAATTTTAAGAACCATTGGATTTTTTTTTGTATTTTCTTTCCTCCAAATTTAATCTAATCAGTACCTATGTTGCTATATATTTTCAAGATATTATGTTTTGTTTTGTGTTTTATGTTTTATGTTTTATGTTTTATGTTTTATGTTTTATGTTTTATGTTTTATGTTTTATGTTTTATGTTTTATGTTTTATGTTTTATGTTTTATGTTTTATGTTTTATGTTTTATGTTTTATGTTCTATGTTCTATGTTCTATGTTCTATGTTCTATGTTCTATGTTTTATGTTTTATGTTTTATGTTTTATGTTTTATGTTTTATGTTTTATGTTTTATGTTTTATGTTTTATGTTTTATGTTTTATGTTTTATGTTTTATGTTTTATGTTTTATGTTTTATGTTTTATGTTTTATGTTTTATGTTTTATGTTTTATGTTTATGTTTATGTTTTATGTTTTATGTTTTATGTTTTATGTTTTATGTTTTATGTTTATGTTTTATGTTTTTATGTTTTATGTTTTATGTTTTATGTTTTATGTTTTATGTTTTATGTTTTATGTTTTATGTTTTATGTTTTATGTTTTATGTTTTATGTTTTATGTTTTATGTTTTATGTTCTATGTTTGTTTTATGTTTTATGTTTTATGTTTTATGTTTTATGTTTTATGTTTTATGTTTTATGTTTTATGTTTTATGTTTTATGTTTTATGTTTATGTTTATGTTTATGTTTTATGTTTTATGTTTTATGTTTTATGTTTTATGTTTTATGTTTTATGTTTTTATGTTTTATGTTTTTATGTTTTATGTTTTATGTTTTTATGTTTTATGTTTTATGTTCTATGTTCTATGTTCTATGTTCTATGTTCTATGTTCTATGTTTTATGTTTTATGTTTTATGTTTTATGTTTTATGTTTTATGTTTTATGTTTTATGTTTTATGTTTTATGTTTTATGTTTTATGTTTTATGTTTTATGTTTTATGTTTTATGTTTTATGTTTTATGTTTTATGTTTTATGTTTTATGTTTTATGTTTTATGTTTTATGTTTTATGTTTTATGTTTTATGTTTTATGTTTTATGTTTTATGTTTTATGTTTATGTTTTATGTTTTATGTTTATGTTTATGTTTTATGTTTTATGTTTTATGTTTTATGTTTATGTTTTATGTTTTATGTTTTATGTTTTATGTTTTTATGTTTTATGTTTTATGTTTTATGTTTTTATGTTTTATGTTTTATGTTTATGTTTTATGTTTTTTATGTTTTATGTGTTTTATGTTTTATGTTTTTATGTTTTTATGTTTTATGTTTATGTTTTATGTTTTATGTTTTATGTTTTATGTTTTATGTTTTTATGTTTTATGTTTATGTTTTTATGTTTTATGTTTATGTTTTTATGTTTTATGTTTTATGTTTTTATGTTTTATGTTTTATGTTTTATGTTTTATGTTTTATGTTTTTATGTTTTTATGTTTTATGTTTTATGTTTTATGTTTTATGTTTATGTTTTATGTTTTATGTTTATGTTTTATGTTTTATGTCTTTATGTTTTATGTTTTATGTTTATGTTTTATGTTTTATGTTTTATGTTTTATGTTTATGTTTTATGTTTTATGTTTTTATGTTTTATGTTTTTATGTTTTATGTTTATGTTTTTATGTTTTATGTTTTATTTTTATGTTTTATGTTTTATGTTTTATGTTTATGTTTATGTTTTATGTTTTATGTTTTATGTTTATGTTTTTATGTTTTATGTTTTATGTTTTATGTTTTATGTTTTATGTTTTATGTTTTATGTTTTATGTTTTATGTTTTATGTTTTATGTTTTATGTTTTATGTTTTATGTTTTATGTTTTATGTTTTATGTTTTATGTTTTATGTTTTATGTTTTATGTTTTATGTTTTATGTTTTATGTTTGGTGCATCTCAAAAGTGGCTCACCTCTAAAGCTTTTTATTAAAAAAAAACGAAATTTGGTATGTTAGCCAAACCAAACCTATACCAAATCAAACCTATATGACATAAATTATGATTGATTGGCGTATTCAATTGTTTTCGGTCACTTCCTGTTTCACCGGAAATTACTACAACTTTTGATTTTTAAATAGCACCTTCCGCATGTTTTTACTTTATTTGATAGAAAATGACATGCCATATGTCAACTTTTGACATTATCGCTTAGGAAAAAATCGTATTTTAAATTTCAATCTAGAGATTTGACCGTCTAATGTTTTTAGTGTATTGTCCTGGCCGGTTAAAAGATGTCCAAATCTTATTTTCAATAATATCTCAATTTTTTCAACTGGAACGTGGGTGGCTCATTAACATATTTGTAAAAAGATTTTTTTTTACGAATAATTTAGTACCACACACTTGGTATTTCGAGTCAAATTGTCGAGTCAACTCCAAATTAAAATTTAAAATGCAATTTTTTTAATTGTAAATGTCAAAAGTTGACATATATGCTATGTCATTTTATTCAGAATGTTATTTTCTATCAAACAAAATAAAAAAATATCAATGGTGTCACTTAAAAATCAAAAATTATTAGTCATTTCCGGTGAAATAGGAAGTGAATGAAAATAATTGAATACGCCAATCAATCCTAATTTATGTCATATACTAACATATTAAATCTAGTTTTTTATCCGAAAAAATAAAAAAGTTATAGGGGTAAGCCACTTTTGAGAGGCACCCGGTATATCATTTTCAATTTTTTTATAGAAAAAAATCACACACGTTATTAGGGTCGAAATATACCAGAGCTAAAATATTTGTACTTATACCGGGTGTTGCATCGTTGTTGGGAACATAGGAAATCCCATTCAAAATTTAAACTGTCCAGATATTGGCTCCCCTATGGATTTTATAGCGAAGTCGTTTTTTTTTATAGCGAAATAGACTTTTTAAAGATCTACATTTGGTAAACACACATGCCAAATTTAAACAATTTTGGACAAGCCGATTTTAGGTAATTTGAGAAAAACTTAATCGATTTTTATATTAAAACCGAACAGGTAACAATCAAACACCAGTCAAAAACTGACATACCTTAGGTTTACAAACTGTGATTTTATCATTGTCAAAAGTAATTTAATTTTAATAAAATTTTAATATTTAGGGAAAATTAACCGAAACATGTCAGATACACTGTCTAATCTATTTCCCGCGTATTTTATTAAGTTCACTTTTTCTTTATATGTATAACAATAAATTATTACTAGTACTGAATATTAAAATTTTCTTAAAATTAAGTTACGTTTGAAAATGACGCTGACAACTTAAGGAATGTCGGTTTTTGACTGGTGTTTGATTGTTACCTATTCAGTTTAAATTTAAAAATCGATTAAGTTTTTCTCAAATTACCTAAAATCGGCTTGTCCAAAATTGTTCAAATTTGGCATGTGTGTTTACCAAATGTAGACCTTTAAAAAGTCTATTTACGACTTCGCTATAAAATCCATAGGGGAGCCAATATCTGGACAGTTCAAATTTTGCATGGGATTTCAACGACGATGCAACACCCGGTATATGATTCACACTGTATAGAATATCGTCTTATTAACTTACAAATATAATATAACAAAATAATTATTTATTTGACATATAAGAGTCTTATTTAAATTAGTTTCAAATGTCGATAAAGTATATTTACGATTAAAATTGTATGAGTTTATAATTTTTCAAACTTCTTTACTTACCAAATAAACTTTTTCTATAGTATCTTCACTACACTGTTCATCTCCAAAATACAGTTTCTTCATTTTTTCAGCTACCTCTTTGGCTTTTTCTTTATCATTGTGGAGCTCTAATTCAAAAGGTATATCGTGTTCTAGGTCATGTGGAAATTGTAAGTCAGGGTACGTTCTTCGTACAAGTTCAAAGAAAATACCCTCTTTAGAATTATAACCTATAATTACAGGAATCTTATGAGCACCCTCATTCTGCATCAACTCATGTGGACTTTGTGTCAAAATTGCATGATCAGATGGGGGTTCTACTACAGGTCCAAAGGGTCGTATTTTGCTAGCTAAAAAATCCTAAACAAAAACAAAAAAATTAGCTTTTTTTTATGTTCTTTGACCTTTAAAATTATATTTTTATATATGTTTTCTCTTGGTTTTAGGTCAGTAATAATTTTCCTTTTATTTCATTAAGTACATTTATTTTTTTATACACCGTCTTACGTTTCGACCATTTTTTTGGCCTTCATCAGAGTCCAAGAACGTAGATCATAGAAAGAAACTTTATAAAAAACAATCACGGAACACATTTAACAAACAGGATGGTTGCGAATTGCAAAACATATTTGCAATTTTACTATAGGGCCAACGACCTACATACAATAACTAATGATTAGTTATTGTGTATGTTGTGGAAATATTAATATTGCAGAATTAGTTATTGTATGTGGGTCGTTGGCCTATAGTAAGAATAAAAAACGTTTGAAAAACCGCAATTAAATGTGTTCCGTGATTGTTTTTTATAAAGTTTCTTTCTATGATCTACGTTCTTGGACTCTGATGAAGGCCAAAAAAATGGTCGAAACGTAAGACGGTGTATAAAAAAATAAATGTACTTAATGAAATAAAAGGAAAATTATTACTGACCTAAAACCAAGAGAAAACATATATAAAAAAATTAGCTTTAGCTACCACTTTTATCTAAATTTCAACTATTATAGAAATCACGTTAAAAATAATCAAATATACAGAGTTCATGACAAATTAATTAAACATAACAAATAACGTACTTCTTTGTGGTTTCTTTGGCCATTGTAAATACTTTTGGCACTTTCCTTCTTTAATTTTTCGAAAATAGTTTTTTCGTCAGTCTCTTTGTAGTTCATAACTTTGGCTATCTCAGCAGAGTTGTTTTTACCCCATGACCAGTTGTTGAGTGCACTGCCGCTTTGGATTATAGCTTTGTGAAAGAGGCCTAAAGAAAATATTCAAAGACACTAAAATATTATCTAATTTTGAGAGAATAAAATCAGATTAATATGTCCCAAGGAAAAACGCAAATCTATAAAAATATTTTATTTAATGTAGCATTAAATATTAATACAAAGGTTACCCTATGTGGTTACCTTTGGTAGTGGGTGATAGCATCAAATAATGTACTGAAGCAGCACCAGCGCTTTCACCAAATAAGGTGACGTTGTTCTTGTTCCCACCAAATTTTTCTATATTATTCTGGACCCATTTTAAGGCCATCCTCATATCTTTCAGACCTGCATTGCCCGGGACATCCAGAGATTTGTCTTTGAAACTGGAGAAACCTAAACATACACACATAGCCAAAATTATTGCATATATATGGTTTAAAAATATACGGAAAGCAATTTAAAGAATCTTTTTTTTATACATAGCTTTGATAATATGTAATAAACATTTTTTTGATAAAATGGATATGGTAAACAATGTTTATCGTTCAGACCCAATATTATTACAAATTCTTGCACATTTCGATTTGTGGTCTCTTGGGTTTCAGAAGAAATTTGACTATTGTTTTGGCCTTAAAATGCCTAGAAACATTATTTCACAGTTTAATAGAGTCAGAATAGTAACACTGTCTCAACAGGGCTACCGGCAAGTTGCAATAGCTGAAATTGTAGGAGTTAACCAAAGAGATGTTTCGCGAATTTTAAAAAAATTCAGGGAGACGAAGGCGGTTACAGACCGGCCTGGAAGAGGTAGAAAGAGAGTTACTACTGCTGTGCAAGACCGTCAAATATCCCTAATTGCACGACGCAATCCCCTGCTTTCTAGTACTGCTCTTAAAAATGAGTTAGCTCGCCTTGAAGGCAGGGGTGGATACAGAAATTTATTTTAGGGGGGGGGGGCAAATAAAAAAGTTATCTAGAATAATTTAGGGCGCCATTTTTAACGTATCCGCCACTGCTTACTGCTTGACTTACTCCGAACCTTAATTTACAGCACAAAATTACGCGACTACAATGGGCTGAGGAGATGAGAGCAAATGGACCTAATTGGAATTTCGTTATGTGTAGTGATGAAACAAGAATAGGCCTAGTGTCAGACTCGCGGCACGCTGGAGGGGGAAGCATTATGGTATGAGCAGGTATAATGCACGGAGCTCGAACTCCTCTTGTTTTTATTGATGGCACAATGACAGGTGTCTCATATCTTAGAGACGTTTTAGAGCCTATTGTGCGTCCATTTCGAGGAACAGTGGGGGATGAATTTGTTTACATGGACGATAATGCTTCTCCCCAATTTTGTGAGGAAGAGGGTATAAGAAAATTGTGATGGCCACAGACATTAAATGAATTGAAAATTGCTGCGCGCGAAACATGGGAAGCCATTCCTCAACATCTTCTGGACATCTTAATTGAGAGCATGCCACGTCGTCTCACAGCTTGCATTAAGGCTCGAGGGGGCAATACAGACTATTAGTTGTGAGAAATAATTAAAATTGTTTTCAATATTTTCTGTTTAAAATGACATTTGTTTTTGTTGATTTTCACTCATTATGAAATAAGATTAAATAACAGCCTAGTTGCACTTAGATTTTTAATTTTATATTAGTTAGTTGTGTGGTAAGCCAATATGTCCAAAAATATAAAAAAGAATCATATTAGGTCCAAAATAAAATAAAAATATCGTTATGTGCAATAATTTTGGCCATTTGTGTATATATTGTTCTATAATGAAATGTATCCAGAAACATTTATTGATAAATCATAGGCAATATAAATATTTACTGCTATAAAAATAAAATATGTATACAGACATCTCAACGCTTTCAAATTTCATGAGTTATTGTTAGCTGGGTAAATTTCTTCCCTGTGGATTCAAAACATACTGGTTATATTTTACAAAAAATAAACATTAAAATTTATATTTTATATATAAGTTTTCTGCATAATATAGTCATTATTAATTTCTGAAAATTCTTTACGTCAAAAAAGCACCATTTTTACCTAATTATATACATATTTATTAATATAAAATTATAAAGATAATTACCATAATAAACTAATAAATTTAAGCGGTCAAAAAACGAAATTAATTGAAAATACATTTTTCCGCAATTAGATGATTCAGAAATAAGTTACCGGGTGGCCAACTAAGAATGGACGCCGGCTGTATCCCAGAGACTGCTTACCGTATAACTTTGGGGAAAAAACTGTAATAAGTAAATCGACTAAGAGAAATCGCTGGAAATTATTTTCAATTTCGAAAAATATCCTTTAGAGGGCGCATCTGTGATGGCCAATCAGAAATCAGGATTTATTTTTGGTTTGGGTTATCCGATTTAAACAAACTAGGGCTCGTATAAAAGAGCTTTTCTTTCTTAATAATCCCCAGTATAAATTTTGTCTCCATAGATTTTTTCGTGGTAGCTAGAGGGCGCTGTTTGACATAATAATAGAGATTGCGCTTTTGCATAACAAAATTAAATAGCAGGTTTTATTTCTTTTTGCACAGTTCCTAATTTAAAAAAAATGTTTAATTTCTTCTTGCACATTTATTAATAGAGCACAAAATTTCCAAAATATCAGCGCAAATCAATATTTTAGGGAACAAATCATGCTAGGCTGCCATCTAGGACTATAAGGTCTAATAAATAATTTACCTCTTTAAACCAATTTACCTAGGTTTCCTAGTCTACTACTCTAATTTTTATACGTTATAATCATAGGCGGCCGCCTAACATGATTTGTTCTCTTAATATCTCCCGTAGGGAGAGAAGATAGAAAGTTGCGGTTTGCGCTGATAATTTAAAAATTTTGTGCCCTATTTAACTGTCCAAAAAGAAACATATCTTGTATTTTTTCTGCAAAAGCGCAATATCTGTTAAGATCTCAAACAGCGCTCTCTAGCTACGAAGAAAAGCTCTCTTAAACGAGCCCTAGTTTGTTCAAATCGGCTAACCCAAACCAAAATGATCCTTATTTTAATAAATTCAAGTTTAACCTCCCCCCCCCCCCACTTTATTTTAGGATAGAGCTAAACACTCTATATAAAAAAATACAAATTTCCCATTGATTACAACAGCAATTTGTAAAATACCTGTTCACATGTATATTTTTGAGAATAATCCTGTTTTCTGATTGGCCGTCACAGTTGCGCCCCCTAGCGGATATTTTTTTTTCAAACTTGAAAATAATTTCCAGCGATTTCTCTTGGTTGACTTACTTCAAAGTTATACGGTAAATAGTTTCTGAAATACCGCCGGCATCCATTCTTAGTTGGCCACCCGGTAAAAAGCGTAATCTAATTTTTTAATGAGTTTTTTTTTAAATTTTTTATCAAATTTTATTTATATCACAGATTAGAGAGTTAAGTATCTACTTATAAGTCTTAGACCATTTTTAATAAATATACAAATATGTACATCATAATAAAAAAAAGATATTATCTATCAGACAGGCTTGTAACAAATTTATTAACTGATAGCCTTGTGCATTTTATCAGAATAGTTCAAAGTTGATACAGACAAAATAGAAATTTTTGTATATAAAGAGATTTTAGTCTTAGTTTATTTAATTTAACCAACCTACTATTTACCCGAGAGAGTATTATTTCTTAGCAGTAAAAAAAGGAAGAAAAAATCTTACCCAAAATACCTAACCTATAATTTATTGTGACTAACACTATATCTTGGGTCATTAAATAATCTGGTCCATACATGTCTGATTTGTTAGATCCGGTAGTAAAAGCTCCTCCATGGATCCATACCATGACGGGTTTCTTCGTTAACGAATCATCTTTGGGTATCTAAAAATATGTAGGTAACCATATCAACCAGAGATGAGCAAACATGGGGTATATTGAAATTTGGGTAAATACCTGATGTTTTCCGATTTAATGATGCATACTGATTTATCCGCTTTATACCCAATGGGTAAATAAGGGGTATATAATTGAATTTGGGTAAATATTATATACAGGGTGCTAGAAATTCGAGGAACGAGCATTGGTATCTCGGTAACCGTAAGAGATATTAACATGGTTAAACTGGAGCAAAGTTGCTTTTTAGGATGTTCACTAAGATGCCATCAAAAAAATTTCAAGGATTGCTGAGTTTTTTGGAATAAAACGGATTTTTTGAAAATTAATTTTATTTTTTCCTGTCGTTACTTTTAAGAAAATCAAAAATGTAATTGAACATCCTTATAGCCACTTTATAAGGGCTATCTGATAATATTTTTAGATTTTCAAATTAGCTGATAATTTGTGAGATACAGAGGCCAACTTAATTTTTTGAAATACGGACCTGCATTTTTTTATTTCATATTTTGAAAGAACTCGGTCTCCTGAGTACAATGATATGCCACAGTTAATATATTTTTTGTTGTTTTTGTGAACTAATTTCCGGCTCTGTTTTTTTTAATATTTAATCTATTCATCGTTACAATATTGATAAGCTTTTAAACTTAACAATGACGTGGGATAAAACATTGAATATTGAAAATCAAATGCAATAAAATAATAATATACAAATGAATACATTACTTCACGTCATTTGTAAAAGTGAAATCAATACATCTCAACATTTACAATAAAGAGTACAAAATGCTTTTGGAAGTATGAACAAAACAAGAATGTTCAAAGAGCTATAAATAAAATTGAACGAAAAATAAATTTGAGCAATAGGGAGGGTGGTAACCCTTTCGTAGAGCATTAGAAACTAGTTTGTAGAAGTTTATTTATTTATAATAACTACGATGAATATTACGCATATTATTAGATCGCACACTGAAATTTCAAATTCACAATAAAAAAATTAAAAATAATATCTTTAAATTACTGACCTGGATATCATTTATTTCATTCTTCCAATTGGCTCGATTTTCCTTATTCAATGTTAATTAGCGCTGATCAATATTGTTGCGATGAATATAATCAGATTAAATAATTTAAAAAAAAACAGAGTCGGACTTGAAATTATTTTAAATAATAATTAAATAGTTTTTTTGTTGTTAAGGTACCCACAACAAAAAAAAGTATAAAATGTGGCCTATCATTGTACTCAGGAGACCGAGTTCTTTCAAAACCGGAAATAAAAAATGCAGGTCCGTATTTAAAAAAATTAAGTTGGCCTCTGTATCTCACAAATTATCAGCTAATTTGAAAATCTAAAAATACTATCAGATAGCCCTAATAAAGTAGCTATAAGAATGTGCAATTCGTTTTTTTATTTTCTTAAAAGTAACGACAGGAAAAAATAAAATTTATTATCAAAAAAATCCGTTTTTTCCGAAAAACTCGGCAATCCTTGAAATTTGAAAAACTTTTTTGATGGCATCTTGGCGTACATCCCAAAGTGCAACTTTGTCCCATTTTAACCATGTTCGTATCTATTACGGTTACCGAGATATCAATGCTCGTACCTCGAATTTGTAGCACCCTGTATACCTAGTATATACCCACTTAAGTTTATTTTGTTAATTTAACGTACTATAACAAATTTCGCCAACAATTCGTTGTTATCTTACTTGTCTTACCCCACAAAGACTGCACAATAATTGTATCAAAAATACAGCACAATGCAGACAGTTAAATTTAGGTTAGGTGAATAATCGAATTTTATAAGGAGGGTATATACCCTACACCTTCTGGGTATATACCCACTTCTTTTTATACCTCATATCATATCCATCGCTGATGCCGATATTTTTCGATCATATTGTTTTATAGGTTGTATGTAATATGGAGTACAGGTAGCTGGATTTGATAGTTACTTACTTCTTTGGTATAAACATTCAAATTTAAACAATTGTCTTCATTGCCTATGAAGTAAGTAAAGTACATATCTCCCGAAGGACACTCTGGTCCCTCTTTGGTGGCATCTCTGACATTATCCCAACTGTCAGGAGGTTGTGGAGCCTAAAACGTACATTTTTATAATTTGTTGGTAATTTCAACAACGTTAAGCGACGTTAAACAGGGTGAGGGGTTGGACGGGTGACCGAAGGCAAGATTGTAAAATATATTAAGACGGACCGCTTATTCAGCTACTTAGAGGCCGGATAGGATGGGATATCTCGTCAATAAGAGCATAGAATAAGAAGCTTTCTCTATGAAGAGGAAGAGTTGATTTAGACACGCTAGCTTTATCGGGTATTAGGTATATGGATGAGGAATGCGGTTCAGAATCCGCATAAATCCGCACAAAAACCAGGCATTAACGTAAAATTACTTTTAACTGAATTAAGATATATTTAGCCAATCTAAGAAATTTTTTTAAAGGGCAATTTACTTATGTTGTAAATCTCATGTTATCGATTTTGTTATTTTTTATACGCACTGCATAATAAGTACCGTGTATGTAAATGTTTGTATCGATTTTCCTTGAAGCTATAAAAAACGTAGGGTTCACCAGCCCTTTCCTAGAATTAGTACAAAAAAATATATTAATAAAAGTTCAGTGTTATTTTTTTTTGGAAAATAAAACACATTTTATTGCTTTTTTACTTGTAGATATACACGGTGTCCCAATATTCCGTGGACATAGAGCTACTACGTATTTTAGGAATCAAAATAAGATCATTGGACACAATTTACCTGTATAAAAAATGCTTCGTTTGTCCGCTAGGGAGCATCAAACTTTAACAAAATAAACCTATTTTTTTCAGATATTTTAAGAACTGCTATTCCGATTTGAATGAGATTTTGGATGTCTATGTTTTGCTAAGTGCTTTAACATTTGACTTTCACAAAAACTAAGAAAAAGTACGCGAAGGGTAAAACTACCCCCACCCCTACATTAATTTTAGAATAAATATTTTCCAACTACACCGATGACAGATTTTCTTTTCGTAAAAAAGGTCGCTGTAGTATTTACTACATTTTGTTGACTCTCTGAAGTTTTTAAAATTTTCAACATTTTTTAAAAATTGTACCTAAACTACTTTCAGTTTTGGGAGAGGTTCAAATGAACAGAAAATTTAGCAAAAAAAAATTAAATATAAGAAAATCCCTTGGCATGTTTATTTACATTACCGATCATTTAACCGATAGAAATAAAACTAAAAATTGTACCTACTTCTAGGTTCAAAAAATTTTTGAATTTCGAAGTTTTTCCACCATCTTTTTTGGGTTACTCTGTATATTTATGAACGTCACATCCTAAGTTTACATTATCATTTTGTTGCTAACTTAAACCGCTATTTACTGTACTTATTTATCTCATATTATTACGCAACAATTGAGAGATGATTATTCTAATTGCGATTTGTGTATTTTATTTTGATAATAAGTTAAAAAAATTTTAAGTACTTTGTAGTTATTATTTGTTATTTCGTGTCTGCAATAATGTTTGATATATTTGATAGATTCATAATGTTTTGACTGATATTATTTTTAATTTTCTTTAAATCTGTCTATAATTTATTATTAAGTTTCATATCAAAAGATTGCTTATAGACCTTTAACAACAAAAAAGTAAAATTGTAACTTGTTTTGAAGAGTCTATATTTTACTTTCATTCGTATTTAAAAATATATTTATGGAAAAATGCACTTATATGTAAATACAAAATTATAAAATTTAATTTAGTTCAAAATTAACATACATATAAATAAAATATACATAAAAACACAAGGTTACAAATCAAGAATATACACTAGGTGCTCATATGCAATTTTGAGTAATGAAGAATTAAACAATATTTGTTATAGTTGAGGATTAGTCATTGGTACCTTTGATTGTGCCTTGGTGTTACAACAGCAAAAGAAAACACTAATTCACCACAATACACCAAAAAACTTTACTTTTGCGCTGGGCGCGCGTTTCGCAAACTACGTTAGCGAATAGTTTCAATCATAATGCTGATGATGCGAATATACAGTGTGTTCCAATATTCCGTGGAAATGTAACTACTACGTATTTTTGGAATCATAATAATTATGCAATTTACCTCTATACAAAAGCGTTTCGTTTGTACGCTAGAGGGCATAAAACTTTAAAAAACAAACACATTTTTTCAGATATTCTAAGAACCGTTATTCTGATTTAAATGAGCTTTTGGGTGTCTATATTTTGATAAGTGCTCTAACATTTGACTTTCACCAAATTTAAGAGAAAGTACGGGAAGGGTGAAAACTACCCCCTCTCCTCTACATAAATTTTAGTATAAATATTATTAAACTCCACCGACGGCCGATTTCGTAAAATGGTCCTTCTAGTATTTACTACATTTTTTGTCCTTTGTAAAAAAACACCACCGTGCATACATTTTGAGAAAAACAAATTATTTTTACAAAGCTTACTTCCAAAAGATGTTTTTTGCCACATTAAGTTATAAAGACGCATAAAATCTATTAGGTATGTTATAATAATCTAGTTGGCGAAAATATAGAATTTTATGTTAGTATCACCCTTGTATCGCAAAGTACATTTGACAATAAGCCTCATAAAAAGCTTAAAAGATTTAATTAATTTTAAATTAATTAGCGTTCGGGTTCATATTTGATTGAAGTCTTCTAACGGCAAACGAAGCACTTCTGTATAAATATGAGGTAAATTATGTACAATTAACTTATTTTGATCCAAAAAATACGTATTGGTTCTATTTCCACGAAATATTGGAACTCCCTGTATATTTTGTAGGTCTGCTTTGGAAAAAAAAATTCTTCAAAAATTTTCACAAAACTATGCGATGTGGCGTTTTTTTACTAGAGACAAAATATGTAGTAAATACTAGAAGGACCATTTTACGAAAAGAAAATCTGTTATCGGTGGAGTTGGAAAATATGTATACTAAAATTTATGTAGGGGTGGGGGTGGTTTTCACCCTTCCCGTATTTTTTCTTGATTTTTGTGAACGCCAAATGTTAAAGCCCTTAGCAAAACATATATAGACACCCAAAATCTTATTCAAATCGGAATAACGGATCTTAAAATATCTGAAAAAATGTGTTTATTTTTTATAGCTTGATGCCCTCTAGCGGACAAACGAAGCACTTTTGTATAGAGGTAAATTGTGTCCAATGAACTTATTTTGATTTCAAAAATAGTAGTAAGTTCTATATGTCCACGGAATACGGAATATTGGGACACCTTGTATAATAAGTAAGTAAAAATAGTAAAGTGTTTTTGTTGTATTGTGGTGAATTAGTGTTTTATTTTGCTTTGACTTTTGTAACTAAATAATCGGCCAACTCGAAATGGCATGTCGGCGCCTAGACTAAAAATTAACTTTAAATGTTACATAGTACAGTCGTACAGTTTTGTTGTGCTTAGTCACCAAATAAAACAATTAAATAGCCAAATGACACAATTAAAACCATAATTAGCTATTGAAATGAACGTATGCAAGTTTTAACCTTAAGGTCTTGCTAAAAATAAAACGAATTAACAAAATATTTACCTTAAATCTTAGATCTCCTATCGGCGCTTTGGCGTATGGTATATTCAAAAACTTGAAAAACTTCCCTCCATGGTAATCCTTAGCTTCACACCCTTTTAGTTTACCCTGGTCAATTTCCACAATTAAGTTACTCATTATGTTTTTTTTACTGGCAACAACGCCTTCGTTTTTATTTTTCGTGTTTTGTACGAAAATATTCGTTTCAAACCTGCGCCCGAGTTAATCTTGACTACCTACTTGCCGGCCGCGATATTTTTGAGTTTTTAAACGGTAGTTCACTGCGTTGAGGCGCGAATATTTAAGTTAAGCCAACCACGTTGCCATTGTTCCGATTTATTCTTAAAATTTTAGGATTAATTTTTTGGATGAGCCAAACCGTCAACTACGTGAATTCGTACTGTTATCTCAGCATTAGCATTAGACAAGATCCTTAAGACTACTTCCTTAAGACTACTAACATTTAACATTTTAGATCAATGTATAAGACATGAAAAAACCCAAAATATAGGCTAGATGCCATTCTCCGCCGGTGCTACCATCGTCAAAGAATACTGTAAACAGCGCCAGGGCGCGATCTTAAAGAATACACGGGTTTAAATAGGGAATACTTGAAAAATTTGTTAAATTATTATTCTAAAAGTATTTTAATACCTTCAGAAGGTCTAACTTGTATTATAATTTATTATTTAAGCTACTAAAACTTTATAGATGTGTTCAACTATGATAACACGACAGTTTTACTTACGGACTGGCTATTTCGGCGAATTTTTTTAAAGGTATATAGATATTATTTATAATTTTAGATGTTCATAAAAAAATTAAGCACTAGTTGATTAAAAAAAGTATACCATTAATTTTGCAAATTATATTTTATCCTCTCATTGTTTAATTTCTTGATTATGTATTGGGCACTTTGTTTACTCATTTGATACATCGAGCTGCTTGAATCCATTTTTCTTTTGATCAAATCGGTGGGAAAAGCTGTAAAGCTACAGAATGTTGTTTTGGTATAGTTGAATATCCGGGAAAATTAAGTTATTGACTTGCACCTAACAACCACGTAATTACGCCCTCCTTTACATTTTCTCGGCTGTTTTATTAACATTTGAAATTGTCACAACCACAACGCGGCGCGGCGCCCAGTTTGGGTTCTTTTCACTTGATACATTCTGCTGAGAGCGTCGAGCGTCGCGTTTGCGTTGCGTCCGCGTCGCGTCGCCACGAAATGGAATCAATTCCCTTTAATTAAATAGTTCAGGCAAAAAGCGTTGCGTTCGGCGTTGCGCTAGCGTCCGCTGAGCGTCAAGCGTCAAGTTCAATCTGAATTGTTTTTCGGCGAGATTTTTAGCGTTTAGTGGTTGTCATAGCGTCTGAGGACTAGCACGCAGAGGTGCTAATCGCCGAAATACAGGCAAGACTTGCATTTTGGAATGCAAAATTGCCTCATTATAAAAATATAAATCTGTATGATCGACTACTTGAAGAAATATCTACAATTCTAGGTATTTCTAGTAAGTATTTTTTCACAGTACGAGTAAATATATGAGAGCTTTCGAAATTCAAGATATAAATGATGAAATTCTCCATGCAGATATCGTCTTTTGTTTATGGGGCGAATGATTACTTTTTGTCCATTTTTTTGGAATGTAAAATGTGGTGTTTCCAATAGTAATATTAGACAAACTGCTCTCTTTGAAGCCATTTTACAAACTGAAAACTTAAAGAACAAGCTCAAATGACGCTGCGCTGACGCTCCCAGCCTGAACGACCGGACGCGACGCTAACACGACGCGACGCTCGACGCTCTCAGCCTGAGTGTACCTTAATTATTCCAGGAGCGCTTAAATCAAGCAAGGTTGTCATTTAGGGAAAAACGAAAGAAAACAACTAAAGAGGTTGAAATCAAAGCCGGTTTTGATTGCTTTGGTTTAAACCTTTTTGTTTGTTTTCTTTCTTGTTTCTCTGTTAAGTTTCAGGGGATGCACGTGAAATTTAGCGACATCAACAGCCTGTGTTATTACCATAGATAAAGAATATATATATATATATATATATATTGAAAGTTATTACTGGCACGGGACGATCGTCCAATATTTGTATGAATGGCAACGTTGGAGCTTGCTTTGAGATTTAGGCGCTCCTAGTTTTAACTATCCGAAACAGCGTTACATGACACAAACCTCGTACCTGAGCATGTACCTGAGTATTTTATAGTTTCAATAACTGCACTATTAAAAACTAAAATACTTAAATATTATGACGAAGCCACGATTTCAATATTATTTCATCATTTAAAAAAAAATAATTGCATAAGTCTGATCATTATTAATATTTTTTCTTTTAAAAATGTGTATACCGTATGTCCTCGAATTTTTTTTACAAGAGGAATTTTTTTTTTATTATTGACAGAGAAAATGCATTCTTTATAAAAAATTTTGCTTGTTCTAAAATGGCTAATCTCGTTTATACTTTTCCAAATTTCCATACCGTTCTAGAAAAAATTAAAAAAAAAACATGAAAATGCAGCTGAATTTTTCCTAAAGTCATTTAATTTTCAGGACTTTTTTTATTATTTTTCTCAAAATGTCAGACAATCCGAGGACATACTGTAGAATAACATTTTACAATAAGATTTGTGAAAATATGAGTAGCAAACTCTACTGTAGGCACCATCTATAAGTGTGTTAATATTTTTTTTCTCAACGTACTATTGTGATGAAATAGTTTTTTCTTTACAATTTGTTTTACAATGTTTGTAGCGCGACCTGGCAACATTGCCTGGACGTAGTAAAGCTCCAGGCATGTCGCATGCATACAATGTGAGATATGTCGAAGAGGCCTATCTGTCCGATATGCATGAATCCTCGATTTTTGATTGATTCCCACCTGATTGATTGTCTATTCTCTCTTGTGCCATTGTCCGTACTTTTTTCAACGATACAAAATATTGCTCCGGAGAAATAATGAATTATCCTGCCTATTTACTGTGCTTTTTTTAATTGTTTGTTCGAATTTTCTTTAAATTATAATAATTATAAAAGTACTTAATAATTTATTAAAAGCAATTATTTTATAATTGATTTGCCAAATGATTAGTATATCTACATACATGGTGTTCCTTAATGACATGCTAATATTTAATGGGGAGATTCTACGACCAATTCTAAGAAAAAAAACTTCATATGAATGTATGTCCTAAGTATCTTAGTTTCTGAGATACAGGGTTGTAAAGTTATTTAAAAAAAACTTTTTTTTCATAATAACTCTGATTTTATTAGGGGTCGTCATTTTCATGACAACTTCTTGATCTTGTCTTGATCTTGTCTTGAAATCAAGACAAGATCAAGACAAGAAATGATTTTTGGTTTTCAAGACAAGACAAGAAATTTCTTCTGAAGATCAAGATTTCTTGACAAGAAATCAAAAAAATCTTGAAATTTCTTGAAAATATAAAATAACAAAGAAATACTTATTTACTTAGATATTTGTAAATTATATGAATATCCATTAATTGATGGATAAAAAAATTATTAAGCAAAAAATATTTGTACGAAGCGGCACTTTGTCGGATGTCCAATGTCCAAAGTTGACATAAGTACGTCCAAAGTCGGATGTCCAAAGTTGGCATACTGTGGGCCAACAATGTTATGGCCTACGATATTAGAGTAAAAAAAACTTTGGAAAGCGGGTCTACATCAGTGGTATACAGACTTTTTGAATTAACGTATAACGCTACTGAAGTATAGTAGCTTTTATCATTGTTGTTTTGACTGTTTTTATCTGTAGTAGTATTATCACCGTCACTACACTGTCAAAGTCATTAATTAAACTTCTACGTCCAGGTGTCTGAAGTGGTAGGTATTCTGAACCAGATTCAATTACGAATGGCTCAGATTTGCTACTCAACGAACTATCACAATCACTCATTTTAATATTAGATAATTATAATAATAATTAAGAAAATTATGTAAATCTGATGATTTTGGCTAATGTAGACAAAATGGCTAATCAAGACAAGATTTTTTTTAATTCTTGAAAATATTTCAAGACAAGACAAGAAATTGCTTGTCAAGACAAGATTTCTTGTCTTGCCGATCCCTAGATTTTATTACAGATAACTTTATGAAACTCTATACATGTCTTCTATGCATCAAAATACCTTTTTTGGTATACAAAGAATTTCGATATTTCAACCTGTGCCGCATACGGGTTTTGCATTGAATATTGTTAGAGAAAAAATTGCATTTTTTTTGTCCGATGCATATTTTTTGCTTAAAAAATAAAGTCAATTTACTTTAGAATCAAATCGCTGAAAATCTGATGCGGTGAGTGTTGCGGCGAAAACATTTCTTCATCGGCTGGAAGGAAATATGAGAATGAGATAGATAGAGAATGAGAATAAGATATGAAACAATTTTTTTTGTATATGAAAATAAGCATTTTGATACATGGAAGACGTGTATCAAATATAACATCAGAGATATTTTGACAAAAAAAATCAGAAAATTTTACCACCCTGTATGAAAAGTTTAGATGTTTATGACATACATTCATATGAAGTTTTTTCTTAGAATAAGTCCAAGAATCATATCCTTAAATATAAGCATGTCTTTAAGGAACACACTGTATATTTATACTATTTATTCAAAAATAAATATTTAGTTTATTTTATATTAGGGATTGAATTTGTACATATTTGTATATGTATAATAATGTTTTTTTTTGAAAAAAGTTTTAAATATCCAAATATTTTTAGGGGTAGTATATTTCGACCCCAGAAACACGAACATAAGGTTTTTTTCGTGAAATTTCGTGAAAATTTGGAATTTTGAAAAAAAATTGAGAAATTTTTTAGTTTTAGTTAAAAAATGTAATTTGTTGAAAATATGGCAACATATATAGGTAGTAGATTAAAATTACAAGAAAGAAAATCCAGAAAAGATCCAGTGGTTCCCATAATTTTAGCAAAAAATATTTTTTTTTAATTTTCAAAGTAAAATATCTCGGTTATTTTAGATTTATTTCAAAAGCGGCAAAGAGAAAATATGTTTCTTTTATCGAGATCTACCAGTCCTGAAAATATTTGCACTTATTTAAGACTCATCCTGTATATCTTGAAAAGTTTTTTATAATATAATCATATATACCGTTGTCAACGGTTTCTTGTAGACGTATCTGTTTTAAAAAAGTAAAGTGTTCTCGAATAGTTGAATTTAAACATTTTAAATACTTTTTTTTCTTTATTCTTTGTATTTTTTTGCTTCCGACGACGGAAAGAGATAAACTTTCCGAAACGTTAAACATTTTTTTCTTTGTTAGGCAAATTTGTATAACTGTAAACATAACTTCTGACAAGCAGTGTTCGTTTAGGTTTAACGCAGAAGCACAAGCAGAAGTGTTTTGCAAAAAATAACTATTTTATTTTGTAGATTTTCTTGCAGTGCAGTGGCGGAATACCCATAAAGGATTTTTTTGTAGAGATGAATCCGCCACGTAGGTATTGACATTTTTTAATATAAATATACTAATTATGTATAATAAAAATATAAATAATATAATTATTTTGATTAAAACCTAGGAGATTTTTTTCCAACTGTTGAATCATAATAACATTGAAATATCAGTTTCTGTTTGATATCCACTAATTTTTATTGTTGTCATGCTTTGCAGTAGTTGTTCTATTGTTATATACAAGGACTTTTAATGACATGCTAGATTGCAATGCGATGTATTACAGCAAGCAGAAAATTGCTTTGATTCAAATGAAAATGAATTTTCTTGCGTACAAAACTTTTTTAAAATAAGTTGCATTTATAAAGTATTTCTAATAAATCTTTTTACATTCCATAATATTCGTTCGACTATAATATTCATATTATAATCTTTAAAAATATATTTGAAATTATAATTTCTTTTAGTTGGAAAAACTGGAAGAGTACCTAGTACGCTGGAAACGTTAAAGAATTTTAATAAAAGTTCCTATTAGATAGAGAAAATAAAAAAAAATAAAAATAAAAACAATATACAGGGTGTTTCAAAAAACATGTGCCATCTCTCGTAGGGAGATTCCTCACGTAAAAATAATATTTATTTTTCATATAAACATAGGTCCGATTTTGCTTTGTTTCGTAGCTACAGGGTGTTAAAATCTTAATAAAATTTCGATTTATTATAATTTTCTTGCTAGTGCTTTTAGTGATTCGAATGAAATTTTGAGGGTAAAAGTTACTGTAAGTGCTACATATCTTAATGCTAAAAAAGTGTCGTTAAATTCATCAGGGACGTGCATGTGGGTTATCACTCCAATATTTTTCAAAAAAAAACATGTGCGCCACTGACTTTTTCTTTTGATTTCAAAATTGTGTAGGACATTTAATACCAATTAAAAGTTATCTCTTGATATTTTGTCGAATTTGGGCTCCTTGATGGGTTAAACGCAATTTTATTAATCACAATTAATAAAATAAAAATAAAATTAATAAATTACGTATTTTACCTAATTTATTATTAAATATTATTACTGTTAGTTATTATTACTATTAGTCCAACCTACAGCAATTTCTAATAAAAAAAAATTGGCGCCGGGAGGCACGTATAGCCGCCCATACTAAAATAGGTTAATAAAAAGTTGGTAGGCAGTTCTTTTAGTTTCAAAGTAAAGGAATTTTTCCAATTTTTTTTATCTCAAAAACTGCGACTGATTTTGATGTTACTACAAATTTTGTTGCAAATATTATTCCTAACCTTAAATTGAAAACCGCGTTTCGCTAGCTACTGTAACTTTGAAGTTACGATTTTTTAAAATTCCTCCCATACCCCCTTACCAGCCCCTCACCCCCACCAAAAACTGATGGCCAGATTCTCGGCTGCCACAGTATTTTTGTGCCCAATTTGGTTAAAATCGGTTTAGCGGTTTTTGAGTTATTGTGTTACAGACGGACAGATGGACAAACGGACAGACGGACAGACACCATGAAAATATTTTGTATTTAGGTCATTTGTGACCCAAATAACTCATTTTGAGTGAAATTAAAATTTTTTTTTGGCGATCTTAATAGCCTATCATACCTGATAGATAGTTAGTATTTAATATAATTATTACAAAAGATCTAATTTTAAAAAGTTTTAACATAAAACTATGCATTTCCATATTCATGTTTATAGGAACTTTTTTTCATATTTTTTGATGGGAAATCAATGAGTACTATTTAAAACTTTCGCAAGTTAATGATATTAAAAAATTTTAAAGGTTGCTATGAGATTTGGATCAAGTCATATTAATAAAATGGCGTTTATCTTATCAGGAGGCCGAAATTGACAAAATAACAAGGGACAACTTTTAATCGGCATTAAATGATATATACAATTTTGCTAATAAGAGGAAAAACGTCAGCGGCTTATATCTTTGTTTAGAAAAATATTCCAGTGATAAGCCATATGCACGTCTCTGGTGAATATGTCGACACATTTTTAGCTTTAAAATATGTCGCTTTTACCCCCAAAATTTCATTCGAAACGCTAACAGTACTTGGAAGAAAATTATAATAAATCGAAAAAATATTATGACTTTAACACCCTGTAGCTACAAAATAAAGCAGAATGGGACCTATGTTGATATGAAAAATTAATCTTATTTTTACGTGAGGAATCTCCCCACGAGAGATATGTTTGGCATATGTTTTTTGAAACACCCTTTATAAAGAAATTATAAAATGAATATATTTATTTACTTGATCTCCATTAATTTTTTCGATCAAATAATTTATCTTTTCAGTGCTTACAAAGTAGTGATATAAACGACCTATAGTGGAAATTTGTTTCTTTATTCAATCAGCGAACAATTGAACATGCATATGTCATAACTAAATAGTTTTAATTGACGGTTCCATTTTAGCTAAACGTCCAAGGTCATCGAATATACTTCCAATCCAACTGAACATGTTTAAAATACTAAAGCTGCAGCTCTTCTTGTATTTCTTGCATCTGCCCTTTTTTCTAGCTTGATTTTCAGCTTCTGCATAATGTGTAGTAAGATTTGTATTTGATGATGATGAAGGTCTAAAAAAGAAAGCATTAAATTATATCAAAATTCATACAACATACATTTGCAGCAAAAATGTCTAATAAATATACCTATACCGGGTGCGTCTTAAAACTGGCTCAACACCCCCTATAACTTTTTTATTTTTTCAGATAAAAAAAGATATTTGGTATATTACTATCTACATATATATAAAATGCTAATGTTTATCTGTGTTCTCTCTACTGAAGTAACGACTTGCTCTAGAAAGTTGCTTTTTTTACTAAAAGATAGCTAATTTTCTTTTCTAAAAACTGTCGTCGCCGGATTTTTTGTTTTTCATTTAATTAAAAAAAAAAATAAAAAGTATTTTTTTCCTTATGTCGTGGCGGATGTGCCAGGCTTCAACTAGTATGACATAAATTAGGATTGATTGATATTGACGTATTCAATAATTGTTTTTCGTCACTTCCTGTGTCACCGGGAATGACTACAACATTTGATTTTTAAATGGCACCCTAGGTATATTTTTACTTTGTTCGATAGAAAATGACATTCTGAAGAGAATAACATATCATATGTCAACTTTTGACATTCTCGCTTAAACAAAAATTGTATTTTAAATTTAAATCTAGAGTGTGACTAATTTTTAATCAAGGAGGCTTAGAAAAATAGATTTGATCATCTAATGTTTTTCGTGTCGATAGTCCTGGTCGGTTAAAAGATGCCCAAGTCGTATTTTTTATCATATTTCAATTTTTTCAAACGGAACAAGGGTAGCTCATTAGCATATTCGGAAAAAGCATGTTTTTACGAAGAGTTTGATACCACACACGTAGTTACCCACATGTTACAATTTTAAATAAACGATATGCAAAAATGTCAAAAGTTGACATATCATAATATGTCATTCTATCGAGAGTGTCATTTTCTATCAAAGAAAGTAAAAATATACCGAAGGTGCCATTTAAAAATCAAAAGTTGTAGTCATTTCCGGTGAAACAGGAAGTGACCAAAAACAATTGAATACGTCAATCAATCTTAATTTATGTCATATATGTATATGCTAACATACCAAATCTCGCTTTTTATCTGAAAAAATAAAAAAGTTATAGGGGCTGAGCCACTTTTGAGACGCACTCGGTATTTCTGTTTCAATAGCGAAATATTCGATTTTTTTAACTTAAATATATAACCTCGGTATGATATTACAATAGATCGAACTCTAACAATAGAATTTCGCTCAAAATAAAGGTTGATATTTTCAGTTTGATTGACTTCGCATTTATTAAGAATTTATGGCATTTTTAAAAGGAAGAACACGTAGCAGACAGTTGAATTCGTGTCGAAACAGAAATATACTTATAAATTTTTTAAAATGCCTGAGACGAGTAAAAAGTTTCTCATAATGAGAACAACCGAAGAAGACAAAATATGATATGAATTATTTTACATTATAATTTTATGCAAATGCTTATAAAAGCATAATATGAAATACCATACAATCGAAAAAAAACACGTCAAAGGCGGCTTGGGAATGACAATCGATGATAATTTTGGCGAGGTCCAGCTTTAGGCGTTATTACTTTGATAGTACTATTCTTTATTTTTATTGTAATCTATTTTTTATATTGAGTAAAAATGGGGTTTAAAAGGTGCGACTTAAAATTCGAGAAAAAATATTTTTTTGGAAATAGATTTGTGTATTTAGAAAGGTTTTATACTGTTTTAATTTTTCTATAATAATTAGTATTATTTTTTGACAAGTTTTATGTTAATGTTCCATTTTCCAGCCGTCTTTGACGCCGTTTTTTTTTTTCGATCATTATAGTATAAATAATACATTTAGCAACATTATACTAAATATACTAAATAATAAAATAACGTATTTAAACTTCAATAATAACTGAAAAATTGTGTGTGCACTATGTGCGCATATTTGAAGTGAAACTTCTTCTTACTTTCGTCTGTCCGTCTGTTCCTCTGTCCATCTGAGGACTCAATTCGGGTACCTCTATCCACGTGCCGAGTTTGGTTTCAATCGACCCATAATTAAGAAAAATCCTGACGAGTTCGCTCATTTAGAGGCGTCGTTCGAAACATGGAGGGCGTGATCCTGTAGCCCGTCCCCAATTATGCCAAAATCAACCCACATTTTTCTTCAATATCAAATCCTTAGTTCCGGCCTAATGAAGATTTAAATGAAACGTCCTATCCAACTTTGCAGGATGGGAACGTCGCTCACATAGCCTATACCCACCAAATTTGGTCGCGATCAGACGACATCAATTTTTGACGTTTCTTACGTCAAAACTAACTGTCACAGTGACACGTGTCGTACACGGTCAAGTTGGTCTTAGTCCAATCTATTGACATACCAAATTTCATTTAAATCGGACTATTTTTTGATTTGATTTATTGATGATGGGGTTTCGTAGTGCACGAAACGTCGTCAAAATATCATGAAAAGATGAGGCTCTTCGAGCCCCATCTACATTCCGAGTTTTAGTCTCCTGTATCACATAGGGCCCGAGTTACGACGTTCCAAAGACTTAACTTCCTCATTGCTTACCACTTTTTCTCTCGCTAGCTCGATTGTCAAGGCTGTGTCGTGTCAAGGCCATGTCGTGCATTGAATTTTTACTCCCATTGTGCGTAAAGTAGTTTCACTTCAATAAACATTGTAGGAATATCAAAAGAATTTCAGAATTAGGAACAATAAGAAATACCTTTTTCGGCAATGTGAACATGATCTGAACATTGTGAACTCATTTGAAATCCACAGCTAAATTTGTTTTGCGGCGTCGTCGTGCGTCGCTCGAACAACATCGCGCAAAGCTCGAGCGCAGCGGTGCCAATATGAACTATGAACATGTACTGAGGACTAAGCCAAAATGTTTATACTTACGTTAAAACTATATGCACTATATCTCCAAGAACTCCAGTATTTTTCGTAGAAAATTCAGCACTCTCGCAGATTGCTCTCAACAAGCAATCTCTACCAGGATGCCCATGGCTAAAAAATATCAAATTCATCAATTGAATCAACAAACTAAATAGCTAACATAGCAGTTCTATAAATTTGGAGTAATAAAATTTTAATGTTGTATTATTGTTTTATGGTAATATTTAGGACACTAATTTGCGTTAATTTGCAACATCAAACTGTTTTGCTTTTAAAAACTGAATAATTGTCTTTTAAATTTATTGAAAGAACGTTCTTAAAGCATAATTTATAGGGCATTTATAAAATAAGTGTTAATATTGCTTTGTAAGAGTGCCCAGTAACGAAATAAGCTATTCGATACAAAATAATACATTATAGCATTGTAGAATTATACCACCTCCTATAAAATTATTATAAATTTGTTCCGTAAGTTACTTATAGGGTCTTTATAGAACTATTCTGCTGTTACTCAGGGGCGCGCTGTGCAAAACCTATGAAGCGCCTTTTAACATTGAAAATGTTTTTGTTATCCTATATAAGGGAGCCCAAATCGAATTAAAATGCTACATTTGCCACACCATGACGTCATATATACAAGGGTATAGGAAATCTCGGCGCAGCGGCGGCAGTCGGCCAGCGCGCGCAAAAACCATTACATCGCTAATTGTTTATTGATATATCTTTATTAGTTTAAAAGCAAAAAATATGGGGTTTGCTTTGATACCTTGTCAAGACATGAGCGAAACTTTTAAATTGTTTCTTTTTTTCATTTAGGCCTTCGTTTTTCGTTAAATGAAAGTTATATTAAAAAAAAATCTCTATTTTTAAACCAAATTTTCGCATGATTGAAATGATTATTCATGTTTAAAGTTTTTTTTTGGTCATAAGCGCTAATGGAAATGTTTTTTTGTAAATAATTATAAAAAATTACTCCCTACGAAGACTTTATTCTGTACTGGATCAAAAAATAAGTATTTGTTTTCTCTATACGGTGGTATTAATATATCGATTTTTGATGATAGTGCCTTTTTACCCTGTTTAATTTTGTACTACTTTCGGAATAAGGGTCCCCATATCATGTACTGTGATGTACTGTACTTCCATCCCTGAAAAATTCAGCTTGTGACACCGAAGTGAGAGGTAACGTCAAAATAAGCTTTAATCTACCTACATCATCATAGGTAGGTGTAGGTACTCTAGGTAAATTCTACCTAGACAGTAGCTGAACTAGCTGACAGTAGTAATTAATTTGTTATCCGATAAGTAGTTGTCATTATATAAGTTTAATCGTCTTATACCTCCTATAACGGTAGGTTTTGGATTTTTCCTGATTGGTTTGTTAAACAAAAATATACTGGGCATATAAATGTCTGTTACAGGTTAATTCGTTAAAGAAATATGTTACACACATATTATTTTAATAATAATAGTATAATAGTAATGGCTATATTATGTTATAACACATTATTGAATTAACAATTGAAAACAGTATTGAATGTACTTATTTTAACCAATGCATTGTTTTGTTTTTTTAATCTCACAAATAAGAAATATTTTATAGTTTTTATTATAAAAAACAGTGATTATACAATTTATTTACACCCCTTACACTGTTTTCTGTAAGGGGTGTAACCAGGAGTATATTTCGTAACCTTTTACGATATAAGAGGGCACAAAGTGTTTTATTACTTAATGCTTAAAATTTAATAATATATTTGTACATAAAATAAAATAGACTAGAAAGTCAATTAATTAATATTGACGTAATTACTAAATAAGTACAAGATTTTTTTTCTAATTATTTTAGTGTATTTTTAGTCACCGAATTATAAAGGAGAGATATCCAACCATTGCATTATTTTACTCACAAATAAATGTTTTATGGTTTTTATTATAAAACAACGATTAATTTATTATACACCCCTTAACCCAAACACTCCAAGGAGGATATTTCGTGACCCCTTATTTAAAGTGGACAAGCTTTATTAGTCAATGTTTTAATTACCCAGCGTCTTTAATAAAAATCTAATGTAATTTTTCATAGAAATGATCTGACATAAAAAGCAAATTTTATCAAAGAACTTTTTGATTATCTACAAGGACTACACCGCTGACAAATGTCAAATACTATGCCAACATACTAATGCCAAAGTAATGCCAAAAATACAAATTAAATACCAAAATTTCTCATATAATGCCCCACTAATGCCAAGCTGATTCCAATATAATACCACTAATACTACGAATAATATGTAACACATTTGTTTCACGCATTAACCTGTAACAATACTGGTAGGTACGTGCACAGATTTTTTCCTAGCTAACTTAAAAGTCGTTAAAAAGTCTAATTATATTTAAAGAAGATATAATTCCAACAAATTACATTATATATGTATTCTATGTATTTCTTGTTAACTGCATAAAATGCAGTTAACAAGAAAGGAAGCATTTTGAGTATTTAATTTCACCTAGTTAATTTTTGTCACATAGTAATTATAGGTTTATAACATGTCTAGTTTTAATTCTGTAATAATTAAAATATGTATTAAACGTGTATCTTTTTATTACCGTTGAGTATTTTACTCTACAATCTTTAATTTTTGTTAAATTAACAAAAGGTATATCATAGCCCCCTATATTTTTTCAAATAATAAAGATCTACTGACGCAAAATCATAAATATTAAAATATCTAGGAAAATCTTTGTCTGAGGGGTAGGCAATCTTAATAATTTTTGAAGATATATAAATTCCCCATTGAACACCGGAATAATAAACTGGGTTTTTCATTTAAAATAAAGGAGTTACTTGCTTTAAAAAGTGACTACTGTTTCATATTTGTTTTGTCTCACCCTGTATAACTTTTCAGGTCAAATTTCAATTTGGTGTAACATACTTAATGGTTACTGTAATTAAATATCAGGTTATACAAGGTCAACTAAAATTTAGGTAGCTGTTATCGAAATTTAAAATTTACACTTCATTTTCACAAAATGTCAAATCTGTCAAAATCCTTAGATTTTAGGTATATGCCTCTTTAATAAGACTCACCTTTATTTTTTTTCCTAGAATCCGAAAATCAATTAATATGTAGGGTGTTCCATTATAAAAAACACAACTTTGATGTGTAATTTTTTTTGGGGACGCCCTTATAACTCTATATATTTTTATAAAATGCTATCAGTTAACCGACATACGCTGCCAAAATTTCATTTCGATATAAACTATCGTTCTCCTTAGAGCTTCCGTGGCGTATGAGAGGCGCCACCCTGTATTTTCACAATTAACGTTTTTTCGCTTTTGAATTTACTGCTCTCTTAACTAACTAAGCAATTCGTAATGATGTGAGTATTCTTATGGAGGAATAGATTAATTTTATGACGTATCTAGAAACATTCTGTTTTTAAAAAATACAATTAAGTAATTTTAAGTTCTCTAAATATACTAGAGCACCTTTTAATAAAAAAATAATCATTCTGTAAGAGTTCTTCATATGTTAGGTATTTCATACAGACTTTAGAGAACAGCTTAAAGGAACGAAAAACTCCATATAACAGTAGTCATTTTCATGAGGTAAGTGTTTGAAGAACGTTTTCAAAATGTCCTTAGAATAAACATATAGCTCTATAAATTTTGCTCTGCACTCTGGACACTTTCATTCGATTTTTATAGAATATGAAATTGTTAGCTGGAAACTGTACCATCTTTAAAAGTATATTCTAAGACGACTTTAGTGAAACACCTTTTAAGTGTAGAACACAAAGGACAACATTACAGTCTCTTTTTAAAAATACAGATTATTTCCACTATTAATACATTTTCTGTTTATATCTTTGAGATATTATGAAATATAGACTTAATATTAGACCACCAATTCTCTAGACAATAGTTAAACAATATATGACATACTTTTAAACATATAAATTCAGTTCCTCATATAATGGAAATTTTTCTTCAATTACCTGTAGGTGTAAAATGTGTGCTTATCAAATTATCACCGGAATATTAGGACTAAATTATTTATAATAAAAGAAATTATTAAATAAACTACTGACCTTTCGAGTTTCCTTTCAAATATTTCATATAAAATTTGTCTGGCAGTGTCCCCCACTATTGGGGGCCAATACAGGGTGGTTTCATTTTCTGGAAGACTGTAGGAGGCCTCAAAATTCACTGCCAAAAATACATCACCTGGAGTGTTGACTTTTAATGGTATGGCAAAAGCTGTGAGAATCTACGAAAAGAAATGATAAAGTTAAAACGCGGTTCACTTTGTTTGGTGAAACCAATAAGCTCAGGTGCTGTATATGCACTTTACATAATATAAACTCTTAAAACTGAAATTAAAAAAAATATTAATTTTTCATATTAAAGTTGTTTCTTAGTTTTAATTTCTTGTGTGACTCGAAATTTATGTATCTTTATACTTAAGAACAGACATTTTTTTCGTTAATAGGCCTTCAATATTTTCAGGGGCGCAGGTGGTAGGGTGGTGCGGGTCATATAAAATTGGTTTTATTCTTAAAACAATATTATCTTATAGTGACCTAAGCCCCCTCCAAAAAACTTTAGCCCCCAAAAGTATGTATCGCTCCTGGCTACATATTTTAAAATTACGAAAATTACAAATAAATCAAATTATACATGGTGAGTCTTAAATAAGTGCAAATATTTTTAGGGGTAGTATATTTCGACGCCCGAAATACGTATAAGACATTTTTTTCATGAAAAAGAAATTTTAAAAATTTGGAATATTTTGAAAAAAAATTTTGGATTTTTTTAGTTTTTAGTTAAAAAAAAACATAATTTCTTGATAAAATGGCAACATAGGTAGTAGATTAAATTTACTAATTAAAGAAAACACAACTACCTAACCCAACTAGAAAACCCCACCAAGAAAACCCAAAAAAGATCCAGTAGTTCTTAAAATCTGAACCAAAAAACATTTTTTTTTAAAAGTAGAAAAAAGACTCAAAACCAGAGGTCTCTTTGAGAAGAATGGACGCCTTTACATTTTTTTGGAAATTTTCAAAGTAAAATTAGTCGGTTATTTTGGACTTATTTGGGAAACGGTAAAGAACAAATATGTTTCTTTTATTAAGATCTACCAGCCCTGAAAATATTTGCACTTATTTAAGACTCACCCTGTATATAAATATATTCTTTAAAATTCAGTCGTTTGAGGCTGCTATTAATTATTACTCTTCAAAACAGCTAAAAATATATAGGCGGCGCCCTCTACAAGTAGGAGGAGTTATACTGACATCGAATTCGAATTTCTCATGTCAAAATCCACCCAGACGTCAATTTTATTCCAAATATCGGCGTTAGTTCAGAAATTATTTAGAAAAATAAAAATGAAACTTCTACACCCTGTATCTCCGAATCGAAGCATTTTAGGATATACATTTATACGAACTTTTTTACTTATTTTTATCTGCAGAATATACTGCCAAAGTTTCCCGAATACAATTCGGACCACCCTGTATATTATACAAATAAATAAAGCATTAATTTAGTTATCTTTTTATATTCCTTTAAAATCTATTATACGAAGAGAAACAATAGAAATAGGTATACCTAAATGGTATGATAAGAATCTTTGTATTAAGCATTGTTTTTAATTTCTTGAAGTTTATTTAAGACCTTTTGAGTTTTATCACGTATACTTACACCCATGAATGGCGATCCATAAGGAAAATGGAATAGTTTGTTCTTATATTCGTGTATAATCCCATCTGATATCAGGAAAATACAGGACAACACTAACAAGCACAAAATAAGCACTCTGTTCCTCATTTTAAAATGTAGTATCACAAAGTATTATTTTAGATAGTGAGGCAACGAATCCCACTCACACTCGTGCCACTAAAGAGGACTTGCTTGATCTGGTTTAACACATTTTGCGTTGCCAGACATGTACTATGCTGGCGGAAGTGATTATTAGACAGTTTAGTATTTGTGTAAATAGACTTTTACTACTTGACACCTTCGTGGAGATCTTATATTCATATGTATGCTAATGGTTGTAATATGAAGAAAGTAGCAATCTTTTAAACCAGATGAATATTAACCAAACTATTTTGCGCTTTGTTTACAAGAAATTTTGAATTGGATTTTGAGGTCACCTATATGTATGTACCACAAACTAACTTATAAGTTAGTCTGTGTATGTACTCATTAAAATACACTCACCGGCACGAAAAACCTTATAATTTTCATATACCTATTTTAAAGTCTTACATATTTTGTTTTAGAGAACCGATTTTGATGATTTTTTAGGCAATTTGTAGTTAAATTATTTGACTTTTTAGTATCTTTTTCTAAATTAAAAATGAAAGTTGCCATCTGTCAATTATACGAGGGAAAACAAAAAAATTTAAAAAAAAAACAAAAACAAAAAGCAAAAAGAAACAGATATTTTGGTAAAAATTTGAAACACCCTGTGGAGTACGTTAACAAAGCAAGGTATTTAAAAATAATTTTAATATCTGGTGTACCTTTTCTCGATAGTTTGTTTTTTGATTCATCTCAATAGCTTTATTTTTTTGGAGATATTCGCTTTTGAAGTAGACACTAATATTTTTTCGCATTTTTTACATTAAAACTATGCCTTTGCTTTTGATCCTAGTCAACAGACCTATAAAATAGTGTATTTATGTAGTGTAACCATAGACTTAAAATAAAATATAGACTATACTATTTACATCTCAACGCGGACAAACAACCTTTTTTGTACACATGTTTACTTCTGGGTACAGTCGACCGAGCCTTCCTCATCCAGCCTATGTTGTCACGTCTTTAATATTATCAATATTTTTTTTCTTGTTATACACATATATTGAGATAATGACTTTTCAGTGACAGTGACCTTCCAAAACAATAAACACTATTTTATAAGTGTGTTGATGAGGACCCAAAATCAATACTAAAATTGCTGTAAATCGTTACTGTCTTATTCAAAAGCGAATAAAAAATCTCCAATAATAAAAGCTATTGAGATGAATAAAAAACTTACTATCCAGAAAAGATGTACCTAGATGATACAGTGAGTTTTAAATTTCTTTATTTTTTTTATTTTTTATTTTTGACATATTCCACAGGGTGTTTCAAACTTTTACCGAAATATCAACATTTTGTTTTCCCTCATATTATTGACAAATGGTAAATTTCATTTTTAATTTAGAAATAGATACTAAAAAGTCAAATAATTTATGTACAAATTGCTTAAAAATCATCAAAATCGGTTATCTAAAACAAAACATATTAAACTTTAAAATACATCAAAATTTTAAGGTGCTCGTTTATCGTGCCGGTGAGTGTACAGGGTGAGTCAACGATAGAGTAAAGTCCATTATCTCATTTGTTCAAGGTTTATAAAAAAATAGTTAATATAAAAGTTATAGGGATGGTTAAGATACACATTTTAAAATTATTAAAAGAGTATACAAGGTGCTTCAAAAAGTGTGGCGGCTATAACATATGTTTTTTTAAATGCAACACCCTATTTTTTATTGTATTTTTAGATTTTGTGCAAAATTCCATAACTTTTTTATATATAATGTTATATACCTAAAATGAATAGTTTTTGTAATATTCAAGTTATTTAAACAAACTTTAAATTGCAGTGTGGTAAAAAATTGTCAGTGGTGCTATTGTTTCTGATGTTGGAGTACCAAAATTTGGTAGGAGAGTTTTATAGAAATGAAAAAAAATATATATGTAAAGATATTTTAGTTAAATGATACAGGGTGTTCAAAATATATTTCTGAATTTCAACTACTTAAAATTAAAAATCTCAATTTTTTTTAAATGGGACACCCTATATATTATCATTTTTTCTGATAGATTTTACAAAACTCTTCAACTTTATTAAGTATGTCATATACCTATTTTTAATAGTTTGCGATTTATTCCAATTTTTCTATTTTACCCATATTTTTAATACCGTATGATCGAAAAAAATGGCGTCCAGTTGGCTTGGAAATGACGATCGATGACATTCCCCATATAATTTTACACGCAAAATGACAGCGATCTTCATTTCATAGACATCGCTGACGCCGTTTTTATTCGATCATACGGTACAATTACCCTATAAAATCATAGTTGCCATGACAAAACAAAACTCTTTATTACTTACCTTTAACAAGTAGCTTCACAATTAGTTACAATTGCTGGTATTAGTTAAAATTAATTAATTTTACTCAAATAAACTAAATCGCAGTGGTGAATTTCTTGGTGTATTTCTATATTATGAAAGATGACACATGGGATTTTTTCGTCGAGGCGAATAGTCACAGATTAGGGTAATACTAGATTACCTAGTTGTTGAAGACTACTGATATAGGAATTTTCTTCGACATACAGTAAAGTTTTTTTTTTTTTTCTCGTAGTATAATTCTGGTTTATAGTTCATTTGGTAACGCCAATATTACTACTGCCTACTGCCGCGAAACCATCTCATTACACACTGAAGATGTTTTCTAGAGAATTTACATCTATTCTTATACTACTAAGCAAAGTCCTGTATAATATATAGTACTGAACCAAAAAAATATATTTTTCTTGGCTTGTTCGTGTATATCAGTCACATTGACTAATTCATTTCAGGAAAATATATGTAACTATTATCTCTACAATTTATACTTATTACAACAAATTAAACTAAAATTCAAATTTTTGTTCTTAACTTGCTTAACGGACATGAAATTGTGATAATTATTACTTTTTGTCATGGCAACTATGATGTTATAGCGCAATTGTATTAAAAATATAGGTAAAAATAGAAAAAATTGGAATAGATCGCAAACTAATAAAAATAGGTATATGACATACTTAATAAACGACGGAAAGAGATAACTTTCCTAAACGTTAAGCATTTTTTTCTTTTCTTTGTTAGCAAATTTGTATTACTATAAACATAACTTCTGACAAGCAGCGTCCGTTTAGGTTTAACGCAGAAGTGATTACAAAAAATAATTATTTTATTTTGTAGATTTTCTTGCAGTGCAGTGGCGAAATACCCATAAAGGATTTTTTTGAAAGATGAATCCGCCACATAGGTATCGACATTTTTATACTTAATAAAAGTTGAAGAGTTTTGTAAAATCGATTAGAAAAAATGATAATATATAGAGTGTACCATTTAAAAATATTGAAATTTCTTAATTTTAAGGAGTTGAAATTCATAAATATATTTTGAACACCCTGTAGCATTTAACTAAAATATCTTAACATCTATCTTCTTTTTAAATCTCTATAGAACTCTCATACCAAATTTTGGTATTCCAACTTCAGAAACAATGGTACTACTGATAACTTTTTACCACCCTGCAATTTAACATCCCATATAAAAAATCAATTTTTCTGTTGATAACTCTTAAATTATTAATTTTAAAAAAATTATACTAAAACAATTAAATTCTACGTAAAAAGGTGCTTCGGAAATGTTTTCATAGAAATACAAAATTTTTCATAGCAAAAAAGTTACAGCGATTTGTTAAAAATGCACATTTTTGAAAAACACCCCGTAACTCCGAAACGGTAACAGATATGGATGTGCGGTTTTCACCATCATGTTTTTGATGAAAATTGAGCTCCAGACACCGATACTAGTTTTCGTCTATCTCCTATAGAAAAGGGTGTTTTCATTTAAAAGCGTCGAATTTGACCCACCCTGTACAATAAACAGTGGCGCAACTAGACACAGGCTTTTATGGGGGCTCATGCCTTGGGGGGGGGCTAAGATCACTATAAGATAATATTGATTTGAAGTTAAAACCAATTTAAACGACCCCCACCATTCAACTGGGGAGGCTAAGACCCCTTGGCCCCCTAGTAACGCCACTGATAATAAATATATCGTAAAACCTGAGCTAACCCTCTTAAAGCATTTTATTAATAAACTTGTGTATGTATAAACAGAGATATAAACAAAATACTTATCGTTGCCTTGAGCATTTTTTGAGAGGTATTTGAAATTATTTGCTTAAAAAATATCTACATTCAATACGATTGAAACATTTGTAATCTTATATTTCTACCTGAAAATTATTATACCGTATGATTATGATTTGGCCGAAAGCAGTGGCGTTAGAGACGGCTGGGGAATGACAATTAATGATAATTTTGGCGAGGTCAATTTTTAGACGTCATTTACTAAAAATTGACATAAAACTTGTCAAAAATTCACACTAAGTATAAAAACATTAAAAAAGGATAGAACAATATAAAAATAAATAAATGACTACCTTTTTAAGGCAAACTGGTAGAAAGTTCAATTAAAGAGTAAAGAAGCCAAGTAAATGACGCACAATGGTTCAGAATTTGAAAAAGCTTCTCATTGATGCGAAAGTTCGAGTTGCAAATTTAGTTAATTTAAAACATTTATTATTGATACCAGACCTTAATCTACCTTCACTTAAAATGGTTTTGACCAATAACGCATAAAACATATTTACAGCGTTTTGCTTACCTTGTTTTGTGACCTATTTTTAAAGATTTGTGAAATGTTGAGAAGTGGATTCATTCGATAGTACCGCATTGGAAACAAAATATTTTTCTGTGTAGAATATATCAATATGGAAGACATAGGTAAGTGTTCATTTTTATATTTTATCCTTTGCAATACATATGTTACCGGCAATAATATATTGAATAAAAGAACATGTTATAATTTTTTCAAATTTTAAATTTAAATTTTCTTAATTACTATGAATTTTCTTGAGAACATGATTGTTTATTTATTTATTTATTGAAATCCCTTTTGTAAAATGTAAAATAAACGTTGTTTAGTTCTTTAATTATTTTTCCAAAGGGTTTTCTAATATTTCACGTACTTTAAGTTGCTAAATTTATTAAAATCATACTTTTCGTTGTTTTGCCATAAGTCTGATTACACAGATATTATCTACGTAAAAAGTTGTTTTAAGAAAGTTTTGACAGATATCAAAAATTTTCATAAATAATGAAATTACAGGGTGTTTTCAAA